GACCCCGGAGACTAGCGCTGGCTTGCGGAGGGGCTGGAGTTGGAAGTTGGGTGGACCTCCGGGGCGGCACTAAGATCCTCAGGCTGAGGGTTCGACGAGCACCCCCTTCTTCCCCCCTCTGTGGCGCTAGTGCGACAGTGCCTCGGTGTATGATGTTATGTGTGCATTCCTTGGACTTTGGGTGCAACTCAATCGTGGGTTGGGGGTCGTTGCAGTCTTTGAGCATCTGGAGGTCTATTTCTGGAGAGGATTCACTTTTTCTGCGATACTTGGAAATTACAGGCCGTGGGGCCCCTTTTCGAATTCAACTATGTTTCGGAGCTCGGAGCCTACTTTTTGGCAGCAGGGCGATGCGGACCCGGCAGTTGCACAGACGGATGGTGGCAGTTTGGGATGGGATGGGAGACGTGAGCAAGGCGGGGGTAGGGTCTACCCCGGGCGCCGACGCTCTCGCTCTGGCCGCAGACACCGGCGGTGCCGGAGCCGTGGGGATAGCAGTTTACGTGACGACCGTGGGCGGCGTGGTAGAAGTGCGGGCGGTGCTCGCAGTGCGTACGCTACGCGGTAGCGGTTCGAGCGGTGCTCGCGTTGGCGCAGACTCGAGGACAACATCACAAGGCAGAGAAGCTGGATATTGGGAAGCACGTGGTGTACAACTCAAGACTCATGGATTGGGAAGGAAATGTCAGCCAAGTAAGGTCGCGAAGTGAATCAGTGGTTATTGAGTGCGAGCGGGGATCAAGCCCCCCTCCAGCACCGTCGACGCCTGGTTCATCCGGCCTCTACCCGCGTGGTTTCGCCTCGTTTTTCTGCTGCAGCTTCACAGGGTCCTCATCGAGATGCTCGCGCAGGTAGAAGCGGTAAAGGACGTGAGCCTTTGGGTGGTCAGGGCGAGGGCAAATTAGCTCGCCATGGAGGTCCGCAGAGCGTTGCGTTGTCTCGTTCGTTTCGCGTTGCTGTTCCTTTTTGTTTTGTGGTTGTCGTGTCGTGTGTTGTTGGGGCCGCCCTTTTGTTAGGCCAGGCTCGTGCCTCGGTCGATCCTCACCTCACCTCACCTCACCTCAGGCCATGCTCGAAGGGCTGCGCTCGCGACCTCAACTTGCCCCGTTGCTGCCGTTCGCCCGCCAATTCTACGGCAGCGAGAGCAGCTACGTGTGGACCGACGACGCCGGCGCCGAGCATGAGGTCCTGCAAGCCGAGGGCGGAGAGCAGGGTGACCCCCTCATGCCTGCGCTCTATGCGGTGGCCCAACACCCCGCCCTTGAAGCCGTTGCAGCTGCGCTGCAGCCAGGCGGTGTTTGCGTTCTTGGATGACATCTACATCGTCTGCTCCCCAGAGCGCGTCGCCACACTTTATGGTGTCCTCGCCGCTGCCCTCTGGGATCATGCCCGGGTCCAGCTCAACCAGGGCAAGACCCGTGTTTGGAACGCAGCAGGGGAGGAACCCCCGAACCTCGCTGCGCTCCAACCTGACCCGAGTCGGGGCTTGGACCTTGCCCCCCGAGCAGCAAGGGCTCGTCGTGCTCGGTGCGCCCCTAGGCACTGAGGCATTTGTGCAACGGCACTTGCGGGACCGGCGCCGCAACCAGGATGCCCTCCTCGAGCGAATCCCCACACTCGGCGACTTGCAGTCGGCCTGGTTGCTGCTGCTTTTCTGCGCATCAACCCGCGCCAACTACCTCCTCCGTATGCTTCCTCCGCACTGCACCGCCGATTACTCCCGTGAACATGATCGCGCCATCGCCTCGTGTCTCCGCACCTTGCTTTACGGGGAGGAAGCGCCCGAGCTACCGGCTGCAGCCCTTGCCACGGCGCTACCGCTTGGGTTAGGGGGCCTGGGTCTGCGATCTGCCACCTCCGGTGCCCCGGCCGCGTACTGGGCCTCCTGGCAGGATGTCTTTCCTGCGCTGCTCCAGCGCTTCCCGGCTGATGCAGCGCGGCTGCAAGCTTGCCTCCGTGAGCCGCATGCTGGGATGCCACCAGCCCTTGCCGCCGCCTGCACGGCCGCAACACGAGTGCGTGAGGCTGGCTTTCCGGCGCCTGACTGGAGCGCTGAGGCCGCGCCTGCCGCGCCTCACCCTCCGCACGGGAACGGCCACCTGCGCGGCTGGCAGCGAGCTGCCGTCGCTGCTTGTGACGAGCGCGCGCTCGAGACGCACCTTTCTCACCTCACCCCTGCGTCCCGAGCGCTGCTGCTCTCGCAAGCTGGACCCCACTCCGGTCGTGCCCTCACAGTGCTCCCTACGTCTGCCGCTGTCGCCCTGCCCCCCGACCACCTCCGGGTGCTTCTTCTGCGACGGCTGCGTTTGCCGCTCCCCTTGGCGCCGCGCACCTGTCGTTGCCGAGGCCGCCTCGACCCGCTGGGAGACCACCGCTCAGCCTGTGCGACGTCCGGTGTGTTGGCGTCCAGAGCCCTCCCACTTGAGCACGCGGTCTCCCGCGTCTGCCGGGAGAGCGGCGCGCGAGTTGCACGCAACGTCAGGCTCGCTGACATGAACATCGATGTTCCTGTCAGCGACGCGCGTTGCATTGAGGTCGTCGCGAACGGCCTGCCCCTTTGGCACGGGGCGCAGCTCGCGATTGACGCAACCATCGTCAGCCCGGTTACGCGGGCCGGCGAGCCGCAGCCGGGCGCCGCCGCACGCCCTGGCGCGGCAGTCCAGGCCGCCGCTCGTCGCAAGCGGCGCCAAACATACCCCGAGCTCGCGAGCGCGCGACGGGCGCGTCTCGTCGTTGTCGGGGTCGAGGTTGGCGGGCGCTTCGGTGCTGAAGCCGCCTCCTTCCTACGCCACCTCGCGCGGCACCGCGCTTCCAGCCTCCCGCCGCCGCTCCGGGCCGCTGCCAGTGCCGGCTGGGTCCAGCGCTGGTCCGGCTTCCTCGCGGTCGCCGCTATGCGCGCCTATGCGGCCTCCCTCCTGGAGCTGCCGCCTGGGGGTGACCTTTGCGATGCGGGAGAGGCGCCTGACCTGCACGAGGTCCTCGCTGAGGTCCGCGGTGGCCCCGCACTGCTCGCAAGCCGCCTTCCGGCGCCTCGAACCGGCCCGTAGTTGGTAGGCTTCTTGCACAGGGACCGCGGCGACCGTTCGTAAAAAAAAAAATGTATTGGAGGGTCCCTGGAAACTTGTGTGAAGTTTGGGAATGTATTGGCGCACCACGCTCCCTGAATACAATCGGGGACCCATCCAATACATCATGACCTTCGGGGCGCAGTCTGGAAGCATGAGCCCTGCAAGCAGCATGAAGGGCACGATGCTCCAAGATCACAGATGGAAGCCATGATAACATGCCTGTTTCCCAAACTCTTGACTCCCCCTCCCCGCAGCCATCCAAAACATTCCAAAACAAAGGTGTAATGTATTGAGTACTCTCCCGGAACCCCTGAGCGGTTCGGAGGGGGGATCCTGGTACCGTGGAGTGCGGGGTAGGTTTGGCACTGTTTGCGTCGGGCTGCGTCTCACTGGGGGACCATGCACTGGCCATCACTGGCCTGTCCCCAAGCGGGATTGCTCGCCACGGGCGTGGCTCCGCGTGGCTAGGGAAGCAGTCGGTGCCGAAGGCCAGCAGTGGCTCGCCCACGACCAGACGACCGCAGACGCCTCGACATGGTCGTCTACGGAGCCACAGCCAACGGGGGGGCGCACACAGCAGGACCAGACTGTCCTAAAGGAGGTACCGGATCTTCATTATAAGGACTGCAGCCCCCCAGCTGTGCACCAAGCGCCCAGGGGCGGCCGGGCGCCCAGCTGCACAAACCAGTTTGCAGACCAGTGCCCAGGGACGACCGCTATCGACAAAAAGTGGCAAGAAAGTGACTTGAGGCTCTTGGCTTCTACGTGGGGCGACCTATGCGGGTGGAATCACGAAACGGGACAGAATCCGCACCTAATGAACAACATGTTTGGGATGTTTGCATACAGTTTATGTTTTGTTTTGTATCGTTACAAAAACAAAACGCCTTAACATTTTCATGGTAGTGGACCGCGTGTCTTGAGAATCACACCGCGATGATCTACACCAAAAGGAATCACAACAATGTGTCTCCAAGACTGTGACGCGTGAGAAAAAATTTGCAATTATGCAATCAATCTGTCGTCTGTGGACCAGCAACATGTCCAACTATTTTGCGTTGTTGCAACACTGCCCGTTATACTTGAAATTTGAAGGCCATGACTTTCGATCGATCGAAGCAACATCGCCCCGCGACATTTCCCCATGCGCATACAACTGACACATCACCCCCTGGTTGCAAATCGAACAGCATGGAAATCGCCCGCTGTGATGATGCCAGGGCGGCTCAGATTGCCACCATGCAAAAGTTCTTTTGCGGATGTCTTGAGCGGTCTTGAGAGCGAGTCCTGACAACGGGAAGACCTTTCTCGGCACAAGTTTGGCAGGCTCGGGCTCTTTTCCGATGTGGCCAAACATGTAAAAGAGAATCATGGCCAAGCTGTGTTTCTGGCGCCAGCCTTCTCCGTGAACTGGCAAGTGTAGCACACGTATGCTGCCCACTGCGCGGCTAAGCATGCTGCATCGAACAAAACATATAACCCAAAACACTGAACGTCTTCGGTGTGGGCCGAAGGAGGTATCGCTACCGAGGGAGGTATCGTTACCGAGCCGCTACTGGGAGGGATGTGTGTACCCTATGTGACAGCGCTGACCTTGCAGGCTGAACAACAACATGCACTCCCGTTGCATGAAGTGGCAAAATCTATGATCAAACTTCTTGATATGCTTGTAAGCTCAAACACAGCGGGAACACAGATTGTGAAATCCTTTATTCGGTACGATTTATGCAGGCGGGAATGCGTGCGCTTCGTAGGCATGGTCGGGAATCTGGAACAGCTCTGGTGTCGTGTTTCCAGGCATGGTGAGAGCCAGTTGGCTACACGACCGTGCCAAGCTCGGTTGGAACACAGGCATGAACCCGAAGGAACCATTCGTTGCGGCCTCACGCAACCATGTGTCTGCAGGCAGACATTGAACAGTTCCTCAACCACATGTTGGTTTTCTGCACGTTCTTGGCTGGATTTGTGTTGGTCTGAGCAGTGGTCACCAAGGAAGTCTTTGCATCATGCGTGTGTGGGGCGTGACACTGGATTCTAAGGGCTTCAGCGCCGTCCACGCAACGGCCAGCGCCAGGCCGCGCATTCCGAAGACATCTTGAGTCATGCATCCTAGGTGAGTTCGCAGTTGTTTCAAGCGTAAATTCCGTACGAAAACCAATGCTTCATGCTGGTGCCTTCGATTTAGCTGCTGGCTGTCAGTGGTGAGGAATGGGCTGCATTAGAAAAGAAACAAAATGCAGGCACTGCTATGCCGATACCACGTCCGATACTCCTACTTGCCATACGTTCACCTTCGAGATTGTGTGGCGCGAAACCTCAGGCAACTCATGCATTTAAAGTGAAGGACGCATTTGGGATGCAGACTTGGCGGGCCGTCTCCCCATGGCTTCGCTCGAAATCGTTCTTGCGGGTTGGTCGACAGCACGCCACACGGTCGCCGGGTGTTGGCGAGTTTCCTCGAGAAGTGGTAATTGCCGGTGCAGCTCGCACTCCCATTGGTTCGTTCTGCGGTGGCTTGGCGTCTCTGCCTGCCATGCGCTTGTTTGCGGCGGCCATGGGCGCTGCTATGCGACGTTCTGGCATCGAACCGCATGAAGTTGACATGGTGATGATGGGGCAAGTATTAGCGGCCGGTTGCGGGCAGAATGCTGCTCGGCAGTCGTCGCTGCTGGCGGACATTCCAGCCAGTGTCGATTGCACCAGCATCAATAAGGCCTGTGCTTCAGGTCTCAAGGCTGTCGTGTTGGCTGCACAGGCCATTGCTATGGGCCAAGCGGATGTGGCAATAGCTGGTGGCGTGGAGAATATGTCCTTAGCGCCGTACATTCTTCGCCATGCACGACAGGGTGGGTATCACTATGGCCACGGTGCGCTTGAAGACCTTGCCATGCTAGATGGGGTATGGGATGCCACGAATGATTGTCATATGGGCACTTGCGTGGAGCACACCGTCCAAGAAATGGCCATATCTCGCGAGGATCAAGACAGATATACGATTTCTTCTTACCGTCGCGCTGCCGATGCTTGGCAGCGTGGTGCTATGGATGGTGAAGTTGTTCCTGTCAGAGTCAAGAATCTGTCAGCCAAGCAGGGCATGGAGAAGCGTTCGACAATAGTCAGCGTTGACGAGGAGTATGCTCGGCTGAAGTTGGACTCCGTTGCTTCCCTCCCTCCTGTGTTTGAGGAGGGTGGCACAATCACGGCAGCCAGTGCTTCTTCACTCAATGACGGTGCTGCAGCCCTGGTGTTGATGAGTGCAGCACGTGCTCGAGATCTTGAAGTTTCGCCACTGGCCAGGATCGTATCCTTTGCGGATCATGCGGTGGAGCCGCAGCACTTTGCCAAAGCGCCAAGTGCTGCAATACGGGCAGCAATGCAAGCTGCACATATGTCATCAATCAATTTCTACGAGATCCATGAGGCGTTTGCTGCAGTTGCTTTGCTGTGCTAGTGACGTACTTCAGTAAATCAGGCACATCCCATCCGGAAAGCATTGGTTTCCTATGGTTTGCATGTGCGCCGCCAAGGTAGCACTTGCCAATATGCGCTTGCTAGATCTGGACCATTCGCTTCTTGGATTGAAAGAATGAAGACTGTTGAGAATCCTCGTGCTGTCTCACCTGCTGGAAACATCCACGCCGTCTTAAACGTGAGGCGGGTGAACGTCAATGGAGGCGGCGTGTCTCTTGGCCACCCTCTGGGAGCATCCGGTGCTCGCATTCTCTGCACGCTCCTGAACGTCCTGTCCCAACAGGACTGGGGAGCCACCTTTGCCGTTTGAAAAATTGTGCTTTTGTCACTTGCTGCCTGCACAGACGACGCTCTAGCTATTCTAGCTCTTGCAGGATGCAGAGACAGGATGCGCCGCCATTGCGAATGGTGGTGGGGGTGCGACCGCATTAGTGATCGAACGCTTGCGATAAGAGCCCAACGCTGAAAAAGAATCCGGATGCCCTGTGCTACTTCCAGCTGTTGTCATGCGTGCTATCGGGGTTGAGGTCATGGTCTGAGTCGGGACCTCAGCATTTGCAGTTTACCTGCACATTACGCTGGAGGTGGGTGCAGACTGGCTCATGTTGTGAGCTGCCAGATGCTACCAAACTATGGCTCAAACAGTAGAAGGCTCGCAAGAAAGCAAAGTGCTTTTAGCCAAGTGCTACATCGAGAACCACACCCGATCCGATATGTACTTCAGGAATTCTTCATTTATTTCTTTTTGGAAACCTCTTGGCTTTTCAGCTGTCTAAGGGTTGCGTGAAAAAGCGTTGATGTCTGTGTTGGACAAGCTTTTGGACTGGAAATGCTGGCCTCCACTTTCAGAGCCCATGTGTCCACTGCTTGGCGAGCTGCCAAGCACCGTGCCGCCTCCGCAACGGCTGAGTCTGCACATACGCCTGCTGCCTAACGACTTGGTGTGCTGGCATGTGCATGTTCTGGCCCACTGCTGCGATTGCTGCGCAGAGGTCCGAGGTACTCATCGCGTCGGCGAAAGGAGATGTCTCCAAGCTTAGTGGGGCAGTGGCCTTCAGGAGCCCTGCGGACCTACTGATTCTGGAGACAGGGATGAGCAGGGTGTTGAAGATTTTTGTGCGAAGCGATGCCCGCATGCGGCAGGCTCCGCCAAGGCCAAGTTGCTCGCCTTTCTGCCATCGGCCCGCCAGCACTCCAAACAGCCTTGCGCTGCCTGACTCTGTCGGGGCACTGGCTGGCGGAGGACAGGGAACCAGTAGGGAACCATGGGCACACTGCCGCATGGATGCTTGAGTTGTCGTTCTCCGGCTCACCGATTTTGGGGCTTGCGCAGTATGCGCAGTCGCAAGTTGAAGCCAGGAAAAGCCGGACGAAGAAATACTGTTTGTGCCAGCGCCTTGCCAGGATAAACAGGATGAACCCATGATATCCCATGCCAAAGGACTTTGCTGTATAACCGCCCCAAAGTAAGCGTCCAAGTGACCCAAGCGAAGGGGTGTCCTAAAATGCTAATGGCCTAGGGCATGTGCGTGTGCCCAGGAGAGACATGTCAAGAAGAAGGACATATGCGAGCTTGCGAGACGTTGGTGCCGACATGACATTGACATGCATCGACCACCTTATGACATTGGACCAGAGGCGAAGCGTCGCACAGGGCGCCTGCTTGGTTCAGGATGCGGACGAGTATGTCGAGATGCAGCTCGTGGTGCAGCTTTCGGCAAAATCAGGAAAGAAAGAGACAGAGGCCTGCATCTGACCTGGGCAGCCTGGTTCCGAGTTCCGATTTGTTCTTGTGTGCCGACTTGCTGTTACGCCTGGCGTGAAAATCCAATGGCAGGAAGTTGTTCCTATTTCTCAGATGCTTGGCGGCTGACATGCATGCACTACCATATGTACATGTGATTACATGTTACATATTCTTGTCAAAAAACTTTGTTGCGTTTGCTAGAAAGTATAACAGCCAGATAGTACATAACAAGGATGTACGTAGGTTGCTGCTTGTTTGTGAGGCTTGGCCTCCTGTCTATCCACCAGAGAAGGGGGGGAAGTTATTCCGTTTGCTCTGTGAGTTGGAGGCTCGGTAGGTGCGCGCGCAAGCGCGCGAAAACCAATACCCTTGACTCAGGCCACCCCGTTTCTCCCGCTTGAGAGCTCACAGGGCACAGGCTTCGCGTGCCCGAGCCAATTCCTATCCCACATTATCCCACCATACGAGCGTTGTGTACCCAAACGCAAAGAGGCTGCCTCCAACCCCCCCGTCCGTTTCAAGCTGCAAGCTTGCTTCAAAAAAGCGTGCGCTGAATACGGCTGGGGCGCAGCCCCGAATTGTAGTACGCCGCGCATCGCCGGCGGCTTTGATAGCTGGACAGAAATCATGTGGTATTTGAGGGAATGTCCCCGCAGCCCCAGCTGCCCCGGCCCGACGTCGTCGTACACCTCTGTGTCAGAGTACACGCCGGCATAACTTCCGGTATCCCAAACTACGTTTGGCTTTCGGGTGCATGACGGTGCCGTTGTGTGCATACAAGCAGAAAAAGGGGGCGTAGCATGGGGTCCGCACGCCTAAGGAAGACCAATGTTGGGCAAGCCGCGGGCTTCGTGGCAAGCCGATTGGCGGAGGAGCTGAGATGGCGTCTGGAATTCTTCAATACATGAAGACCGAGCTGTGAAGTTAGCTGGGTTTAGGGTTTCGGCGTGGTAGCATGTTCCGAGTTCGTACCCGTCACTTTCAGGGAATCCCAAAAGCATGCATGATCATGCATGCACTTTGACCCGCAGCTCGCACGGCACGAGGGCGGATTTCAACACATGTTCCTTTGTTGTCCACAGGCTATCACGTGAGCCCACAGCTAGCGGGCAGACTTCAACACTTGTGCCAGGAGAGCACTTGTGCCAGGAGCTTGCATGGAACTCGCTGTCGCGCATGCGTACGCGCAATCGCGAGGGCAAGAAGCGCACAAAGCCACAAGCGAGATCAATTTATCCGATATTCTTGAAGTTGCAAGAGCCAGAGTAGCAACATGTTGCAACCCGTAGAAGCAAGTGCTTGCTTGACACAGCGCTTTTAGGGCGTTAGTTAGGGTCGTGGTCCCCGTGTTGCCGGCTGAGGGTTCCAAGGTTCGTTTGTGGTGTATGTACATTAGGCGTTCTCTGGATGCTGGGCTGCTGGGCTAAGATGGGTTTTGCGCTGCTGCAGAGGATCCGGAGGTCACGCTGACACTGCGCAGTGGACTCCTCAGATGGCATTTGCCCTGACGTGATCTTGCTGCCTGGAGAAGCGCGCTCCAGTGACATGTGTTGCTGCATTCTTGTTGATGCATATGTTGCGTACATGAATAGTTCAGGTATGTCGGACAAGACGGCCTGCAGTGTGTTGCCTGCTCTGGTTTGTCACAGTGCGCTCGCTGAGGTGTTGGCGCAACTGCGGCCAGTCAGGCCATAAAGACCCTGGTAATTGCGAGGCAGTTGCCAGGCTGCAGCAGAACCCCCAAAAAAGTTGGATGCACGGAGCATTGCAGAGCACTTGGTTTGAGGCACGTCCAACGCGCCCATCCTGGGGAGGATCTTGTGGTCTGTCCGCGAGAGGAAGCCAAGGCGGACAACAGCATGGTGGCTCAGCTGAAGGCTTAAGGCGTTCAAGGCGTGTGTGCCCATGTGGCTGATTGACTGATCTCAGCTTGAGGCTTCAACAAGCAGAACTAGTCCATCCGTGCAGAATGCAAAGCAGCTGGTTCTTGTGCCTTCGATGCAGCACATACTACACAGCTATGTAGAGTGAGCAATCTGCCAACAGCATGCCGGGCGTCAGGACTGCTAGGACCATTGTAGTGCCAAGGCCTGCCGACGGCGGCCGGAGAAAGACCGTCCTGCGATTTAGGGAGCTGTGGTTGGCAAGACAAAATGCTAATGCGGATTCTGCTGTGCTGTGGCCTACGGCCACCCAACCGCTTCTGCAGCCAATGCCAGAGTCCAAGACGTTCTGCCCTGCACATTGACAAGCAAGGTTGGCTGCTACTGCAGCTGATGGGACCGTTATAATTCGAAGAGTCTGGAGCCCAGTACCCGCCGGCACGTTCAGTCAAGCAGGAGCTAGCAAGAGGAGTTTGCGGTCTTCTTTCCAGGCAAGAGCAGATCATCTTGCATGGATGGGCTTAGCCAAGAGCGCAGCGGGCGGCACGGACGGCACGTCTCAGCCTACTGCTGCTGCCGCGGCTGCTGCTCCTGCAATCCTGAGTACCGTTCTTGCCACCACAGTGCAGCCTGCCACAACAGCCGTCATCGCCACACCTCTAGCAACTGCGAGACCAACGTTGGCACCTGGTACACAGTCTGGGCTGCCAGGCAGAAGCCAGCAGCTAGGTCAACGCACTTCACGGCCAACCCTAGTTCCGCAGACCACGGGCATCAAGAAAACACCTCTGACTCAGGCCAGGCTCAAGACAGCACGTGCCAAGCCCAGCAAGGCGCTTAGCAAGAGAAAAACAGCACGGGCCCTCGAAAAAAGAGATGGCGCGAGGGGCACAACCCCGGTGACGGCAGCCGCTTCAGCAGCCAACGAATCGGACCCTGGCGAAGACAAAGACGATGGCAGCAACAGCTCGGACAGCCTGTCGCTCAGCGCATGCATCTTCTGGCCTCGGAATCGTTGTCTTTGGTTGTCGATTCAGGCAACGACTCCACTTCGGAGCGGAAGAAAGAGGGCAAGGTGAGGACGGAAAAAAAGGACGTTATTATTATTATTATTATTATTATTATTATTATTATTGTTATTGTTATTGTTATTATTATTATTATTATTATTATTATTATTATTATGATTAGTATGTTTTTTTTTTTTTGTGTGTGTGTGTGTGTGTGTGTGTGTTTGTTTGTGAGCGCGGCGAGGCCAAGTCAAGCCCCGAAGCATCAAAGCCATCCCCACCTTCGCAACCATCACAGGGCTGGATCGCGCGATTCTTGGCGCCTGCCATGGGCATTCGGAAAGTCTTTTTGGAAGTCTGTTGACGCATGTTTGGCCATGGGCAATGTCGGTTCAGTCCTGGATCTTCTCCAACTGGTTCTACCTGGCCTTTGTTTTTGGGACTGTCTTGCCAGGGACCCAGAAACAGACGGTGATTGGTGATGAGTTGTTCTTTGCTGCAGATCTCGATCCATACAGGCCGGCTTGCATGGGATTAATGGCTTGGTCCGGAGCCTGGATTCCGACCTGCCCGATGCATTCTGACATGTGGTTTTTTTTGCAATTTTTTGCCCTGATGCGGAGTGATGGGGCTTGAAGGATGCCGATGCTGATGCGTATGGCTGGGCGTGGCTAGTCATGCGATCTTCACCTCTGAGCACAGCATGCCTCAGGCATCGCGTGCCGCCAGTGGTCAAAAAGAGGCTCCCTACCTAAGTCATCCTAAGTCATCCTCATCCCCGTCCTTATAGGACTCCACGAAGTGACTGCTTGACGCTCAGCACCATGCAGTTCGCAGATCTTTTTGCAGATTCTGTGGGTCATTGCCGCTCGCCTCAAGACAGAAGGAAAGCAGGCCGGGCTTCCCAAAGTGGATTTTTTTGCCCGAGCTGAGCCTGGCCGCTGCAGCTTGCAGCAATGCACCTTGGATTCAAGAAACCAAGCATAGCCAAGCCCTAAAACCTGCTCGGTAGTCAAAGCAAGCCAGTGTTAAGGGAGGGTGCAGGTAGAGGCTCGTGGAGGCTGCCACAAGAGCCCAAAAGGCTTGACTTTCATGCCCCTTTTGCAATTTCACATTGGCTTGTTGCACCGTGCGACTTTTGTACTGGCAAGGTCTGTGCGTCAGTGCTGCGGTGGCAGTGCCCGAGTCAAGGTGGATTGCTGTTGCGATTTGATTTCTGTGTCTGGCATGGGTGGGCCATCACAGGTGAGCGCAGGGCTTGCCACGGCTACACTGGGGATCGTTGCGCCCTGCGCTCAGCTGGCCCGTGTCTAGTATGACAACCGAGAACTGGCACGCAAAGATGCATGAAGGTGGGCAGCCGTCCACGATAGCGGCTTCGATGGTGCAGGCGCATGAGTTGCCTGTGGTGCCTGTCATGGTCTTTGGTTGCGGCTGCAGCGCCGCTGTGCATCTGTTCCTCGAGGTATAGGCAGGCGGCTATTTGTTGAGCATGGGGCCCAGAATGCAACCACGAGAGCTACAAGACATGCCGACGGCCCTGCTGCTAGGCGACGTGGTGCGAATATGTGCGAATGCTCAGGTCGTCAGACGTCGGCTATGACTATGTGACGCAGGTGGGGACACAGGCTCCGCCGCTCCGCTCTGCAAGTGTTCCAGTTGGTCGCTTGCCCGTCTGCGCATGTCGGCTTCGTCGCTTGCTTTCCAAAGGGCGCCTCCTCGCAACTCAGTAGCCTCAAGCACCCAAAGTGCACAATTGCCCCCCAAAGTTTGTTACCCGACCCCCCTGGACCACCATTCGCCACCTTATCACTTGCAGAGTTTGTGAAGACCCATTCACCGTGACATGGCGTGGGCCGGCAAGCGGCCGGGATGAGCTCCTCCGACCAAGACGGTGGCGATGATACCCTGAATGCCTCTTGCCTGGAAAAATTCTGCTGGTTCTGCGAGAGTTTGTGCCTCAACCCGAAGGAGCCTGAAACCTCCAAGGAGATTCTGGCAGATGCTTTGGACGCAGAGGACGACAGCCAGGCGGATGTGAATGTGGAAAGTCCTGCGGTCGGACGCCTTCAAGCTCTACAGGGTCTGCTCAGCCAATTCGACGATGGTGTTGAGACTGACGGGACACCAAGTCCTAAGATGCCGCGACGGGAGATGTCTGGACAAGCGAAAGATGATCTCGGTTCCAAAGATTGTGAGGATTCAGCCCGGGCAGCTCTCAGCAAAGACGATCCTGAGGCAGGTCGGGCCGGAGTACTGCGCCAACAGCAATTCCAGTTGGCCCAGATGGAGAAGGCCTTGCAGTTGGCACCTCTGCTGTTCAGACCCGAGAGGGCTTCTTGACCCTGAGTATACCCTGAGTGTTCAGAGTTCAGGCTGAGGGCCGAGCTTTGGGTGCGCCACGGTTTGCTGGGTGTGCTGGCGTGTGTGGAGTTGGCAGCTGCAGGTACGGGACGCCTCCGCAAACCCACGCGCAGATTCCGTCGAACTGAAAGACTTCCAACTCCGCTGCCTCGGTCCAGTGATCCCACAAGCGGCTCGATCAAAAGTTTGGTTCAGTTTTTTTCTTTGAACTAGCTAGGAATTCAGCCAATTCTAACAATTAGGAGATCATGTTTGGCCCTTTCCTGACAGACCGGCTCTGAAGGGGAAACTCAGGAACTGCCCGCAAACTTGACCATGCTGTGCCTGTCTGGTAATGCTTTCGAGAGTATGGAGGAGCTGTCGCAGCATCTAAAAGGTTTGCGGAACTTGCGCACTCTCGATCTGTCTCACTGCCGCTTGAGCTCTTTGACCTGCCTCCCGAAGCTTCCGCTTGAGAAGCTCGATGTCTCCAGCAACCTCTTATCGTCCTCAGCAGGTATTGCGAAATGTGCCGGTCTGCGAGAGGTATGTTTTGCAAAGAACCGATTGGCGAAGACAGACCAAATCGAAATGCTACTGAACCTGGTGGTGCTGGACCTGTCGGAGAACCGCTTGCACTCAAAGCAGCTTCTTCGCCCGCTGACAGCTTGCTCCCGGCTTGAATGTCTTCAGATCCATGGCAACCCGCTAGCCTCGCTAGCCCAGGCAAAGCACCGGGCATGGGTGGCCAGCATGTTTCCAGCATTGATTTGGTTGGACGACCATGCGATTCGGCCGCAGCGCCTGCGAAAGAAGGGGCAGCCAGATCGGGACAATCTACACCCAGACCGCAGCACTGCTGGCTCAGGCGCAGCCCTTCGCAAGGACATCAAGGACTGCTCTGTGCGTACGGAGTACCTGGAGCAGGCCCGCAGATATGCGCGACCAACCATAAGCAGCAAGATGCAGGCCGTGCCGACTTCCCAGAGTGAGAAGGCGCACGGCCGGGCATGTGAGCGCGAACTTGAACCCTCTGTCGAGCGAGTCGAGCGAGCCGAGCGCAAGATCCAGAGGACCTCTGCACCACGCTCTGGGGCTTTCGCACCTGCAGCCAGACCTCAGAGGAGCAGTTCGCAGCCATGCCCATTCTTGCACAGAAGCTCGGATGACAAACGTGTTTCAGCATTTCCGGCAGAGCCGCAGCTGCGCGACACCCACATTCATGATGCACGTCCCCGCGACGCCGGCAACACAACTACGACCGAGCCACAGCAGTTGCAGAACCTTACGAAGGACACCCGGTGCGCGGCAGTTTCAGCTTCGATGGGCATGCAGTCACGGCACTCCTCTTTGTGCCGTGAGCTCATCGAGGACCTCAGACTTGCGTTGGTTATAAGTTCCTTCATATGGGTTTAGGCGTCGGCCTAGCTTACAGCCAACGGGACCTTCTTGTTTGCATGGTTTTGCCAGGAGAAGCGAAGGCTATTGCAGCAAATCAGCGCGAAACTGGGGGCATCTTTGTCAGAAATTCAAGCATGCAACGCACGCAGTTGGCATCGCGAGAAAGCAGCACAGTCAAGGAAGGTGTGGCCACGGCAATGTCAGCGAGACCCATGCCTGTGGTGAACAATAGTGTGCGGGTGCTGACCTCAAATAGTAAGACTCTGGCACAGTTGTTTCTGTACCGGTTGGGTTGCAGGCGCTGCCGTACCCTTCTTTGGTTACAGAATCAGCTCAGACTCAGGCTGTCCCGCAACATGAAGACCCTGGGGAGATTAGGCTCATCTGTCACGAGACAGGTGCAAAGTAGCCCGAGGTGGTGCCGTGATTGAGCCCTGGTTGCGAGGTCTCTTTGCGAGAGCCTGCGCAAAGACATCCAGCGAAGCTTGTCATTCTTGCTGCGGCAGTTCATTGCCTGAGGTCGACTGGGATTGCTTTCATCATGCTGCCAGTGTGTCTTGAACTGTAAGGAAAGAGGCTGCTGATCAAACAGACTAAGCAGATCTGACCCGCTTTACGGTCTGCAGCAAATTGCGGCAGCCACCTCCATCAGACTGTGCAGAGCACAGCTCTGGTGCAGAGTCCAGAGCATGTCCGGCTTGCGCTGAAAGCCTAGCGCAGCAGTCCAGGGCCCTGGCATCACGAAAACTTGTCTGGAAAAAAGGCTTTCTCTAGATGATTTTTTTTCTCCGGCAAGGGACGTCTCTGACCAGCTACGGAAAAACTACTTCCCTGACAGGTGCAGGAAGACCTTCCCACGCCTTTGCCTGAGCACGCTGAGACGGAAGAATCTTCCTGAAAGTGCATGCGCTGATGAGCCCAGGTGCAAGACTCTGATGAGGCTTTTCAAGACTGTGGCAGCCTCGCCACAGGCCACAAGCCTTCTCAGCGGGCGGCTGCTTGTAGGAGCAAATGGCATCTCACAAACTCTGTCTGTGGCTGTATCGGGCAGGCAGCCCTTGCCCGAATGTCCAGCACGGGCAAGCCCACCTTGCAAGAATGGACGGATTCCATCCAGGTGCTTCAGTCGCACGGGTGTTGAGTGCTGTGCAGTGGCTCTGATCCTTGCGAGGATTGGAAATGGGGACTTTCCAGGTCGCAGGTGTGGTTGCAAGTTGCGATGGTGGATGCTTCTGAAGCCGTGGAAATTGTGGAAAGCTCTCCTCACAAAGCTGCTTGCAGATTTCTTCGATCTTCCGTGGTATCGATACAGAGATGGATGGACAGGCCGCCCGAGAGTTGCCGCGGGCTTCCCCAGACACCAGACTGCTCCGCCATGCTCTGCCCAGGTTGACATCCACGAGCTTCTGAGCTGTTTCAGGCCGTGTCCCAAAAGTTGGGGGCATGTCTGGGCTTTTTGGGGAGCATTTGAGAGGCGCGGCGAGTACGAAGGGCAGTTTTGGCAGCCAGCCAATGCACCCGCTGCAAGCTTTCAGCCAGACGCTTCCGCAGTGCAGGCAGACACGGAATGCTATCTTGTGATCTGATTTTTCCATCCTGCGCCTGCTTGTGCAGGGGTTGAACTCTCAATACAATTGCCATGATGGCCTGGAGATGTGGCGGCGACTCGGCTGCCAGTGGCAAAAAAAGGCAAGTCCAAGATATTCCAAGCATTGCAAAGTTCCAGCGCCCAGGTTTGAGTGGTCAAAGGAGAAGCAGGTGTCATGCAGTCTCATAAGCGCCCGCTCCTTGTCGCTCTGCTGAGATGCTCGTGGAGCACAGGAGATGCAGTAGATAAGTGGATAGCCCGACGCATATCGGTGCCCTTATGTACCCTTGAGGCCAGCGAGTTGCGTGGAAGCCTGGCTCCAAACCTGACGCCTGCCGAGGCTGGACGATGCTAGGGCTACCGCGTTTGTTCGCGCGGGCGCGCGCGCGGGTGTGTGTGTGTGTGTGTGTGTGCGCGCGCTTTACATTGTGTGAGGTCCTCAGGCAAATGGATACCAATGGGGATGGAGTTTGCCACCCGGGAAGGGCGATGTTGTTTTGCAGTTTGGCTTGTTGAGCTCCCGGATTCCGAGGTAGTTAGCCACGATGAGTGGGTTGCAGCTGCAACAGGGCTTGCGGGTCAGGGCCCCGAGAGTTTTTTTTGCCATCTCATTGCCCTGATGCCAACTGCTTCAGGTCAGGGCCCTTTTGTGAAGACCTTGATCGAGCCTCGCGCGGAATTCGTGCGGCTGGCATGCTCTATGTCTGACGCTTCTAAGTGCTCGGAAGCTTAATTGGCAAGCTGCGGCAGGCCTTCAAGTCCATGGATGTGAGCCAGGACCACCGTGCTGCTAGGCATCGAAGTCCCGCACGATAGCTCTGGCTACTATGTTCGTGTGCCCACACGCCCCAGATTTACGTACTTTGGGTGCTGAATGGGCCCGTAAGGCCAAGATAGAAGTAGCCGATCTGTTTTTGGCAGCACGTCGGCTCAGATGCTTTCGCGTAGCCTAGGGTCCGACAAGATGTATGTGTGGCCCACTAGCTCCTCTTGAGAACTTTGATCGTCATGGTTGGTCAGCGCTTGCAAAAGTACATCTCCAGTTGGGGCCTTGATGCGAGCGACGTGCCCAAAGTCATCACAATTTTTCTCGGCGCCAAGTATGTCACTCTTGGGGCGTTCATCATTGTGGGGGCCAGGTTCCAGCCTCTGCGCAGGGTTTTCCCCAAGAGGCGAACCGTCACATCAGCCTGGTCTCAAGTCAAGAGCCGTTTGGCGGGACGGCAGGATGTGCCCGAGGGCACTGGTTGGTATGAGTGGGCCTCTGACAAATACTGGCTCTTGTCTGATAAGCTGCAAGCGCGGCTGCAGGCAAACCGATGGTGGCTTAGCCTGGCCGAACGAACGGGGCAAAATCCTACAAGACTTGTTCTCGGTGTTGCTGAAGGCACGCTTCTCTGCAAGCTGACTTACCCCGTGTGGGGACCGTTCGAGCTTTGGGCCATTATGAACATGCTCAAGAATCGTAGCATCCATACTGCTCATGGTTCCGAGGGGCCGGACGGTGACCTTATGGAACAGTACACGCACGCAGCTGCGGCTGCAGAAGATGCGCAAGACTTGTCACCCGGACCTTTGTGAATTTCGCTTCGCAGCATAAAAGGAGTGCAGGCAAGGGTAGTTGCCTCTCAAATAGTTCTGTTGCGACTGCGCCTGCTCTTAGTTAACACCGATGGCCTCAGTACTGTCAAATGAACCATGATCAGTGGGGGTAGTCCTCATAATCCAATTTTAACAACTGCTGGCATTAAGTACCGCTGCAAGTTTGTCAAAAACTCGCCTCCTCCTCCTCCTGTTGCTGCTATTGCTGCTGCCGCAGCCTATTTCCGCAGGGAAGGTTGTGTGTAAGCTTCGCGACAGTGGCAAGAGGATCACACTTCTTTCGCAAAGAAAGGCGGTGTCTAAAGGAAAGAGGGCAGGCAGAGAGAGCGCCTGGATTTGGCAGGATGGACTTCTCAATCAGAAGGACCTCGAAAGCTCGCTAGGTCTGGGCTCAACTCCATTGGGAGCTGGGCTTGCTGCTCGGAATTGCTCGTTTCCTGCCGGTCTGCTAGTTCCAAATCGCGCTCCCAATACACCTGCATACTTGTCTTGAGAAAGGCCGCGCACCTCTTCAGGTCTGCCCCTCAGTGCTGTCAGGCTCGAGCAGCATTTGGCGGCGGCCGTGGGCCAAGGTGTGTCGGCAGCTGCACTGAAGGATCGAGTCTTGGCTGGGCGCCTAGACCATTGTGCAGGCAGCGCAATGCTTCCTAGTGCTGCATTATGAGTGAATAAAATTGATATATGTTCCAATCATATGACATACATACATACATACATACATACATACGTACGTAGGTACATACATATATTTATACATGTAATGCCTGTCTATATATATATATGTATATTTATATGTATATTTATATGTATATTTATATGTAATATTCAACCTTCCGTACAGCTGTTTTTGGGACTCTGAGGCTCGATGGTCCACGCTGTCCAATGCATTCCAGAAGATTGACCAGGATGACAATCACCGACTGAGTCGGGCAGAGTTTGCTTCTTAAGCAAGACAGACCTGTCCGAATTCCTCCATTGGACATCGCTGTGCTTGCTATGTCCGGAAGCCTCAGTGTGCAGGGCCTGCCAGACGGTGAGGTGTAGAAGCAGCTTCAGGTGAACCCACCACAACATATGCAACCAGAATACCCAGTGTTTCAGATATTGAAGTTTTGTACCAGCAACTTTCCCCACGAGCTCATGCTGCGCCCGGTGTGGCCACACTGGCCAGACCTTCGGACATGCTCCAGGCGCCCCCTACTTGCCTTGAATCTGATCTCCTGCATCAATCGGGAGGGGCTTATAACCCGCATCAAATGGCATCCGTGCGGCGCGTGCCAGCATCAGCTGGGCAGAAACCCCTTGCTCTCTCGTCGCAGCTGGAGATCCGAAACCGTGTGTCTATCCTGACACCCACCACAGCTTCCCGCAGCGCCTTTCACGAGCAGCTCTGGGGTTGCTTTACTGCGCAGACATGGCCCGACAAGGAACTGATTGTCGTGGAGACTTACGAGGACCAGCCTTCTCAGGTACTTGAGGCTCTTGCAGATCAAGATGAGCGGCTGGTACATATAGCTCTCCGGTGCCCTGCTGGTCATGATTTCAGTGTTGGCTTAAAGCGCAACATCTGTGTACATCTAGCCAGCGGTGAGATCTGCATTAATTTTGACGATGACGACTTGTACGCAGATGGCTACTGTGAGTGGATGGTTGCTGAAATGCAGCGACATGGCTGGGGAGCTGCAACACTATCTGGCTGGCATAACTACTTTGAGCAATCTGGGAAGTGCGGATACTCGGATCCAGAGTCCTGGAAGGTCGAGAACTTGGAGGAGTTGGCAGAGACGATCTACGGATACGGCTTTAGTTATGTGTTCAAACGTTCACTGGCACTGTGTTACCCGTATCCGAACGTGGAGTTCAGCGAAGATGCTCCTTTCATGCTGCGTTTGCGAAGTGTACTTGGGGATGCCAGGGTGGGACTACTTCGGGATGAGCAGGGCATGTGTCTACACGTCGTTCATCGGGACAGTACATGCATTGACCCGGAGATTTCTCGCCTTCTTTCAGAAGACGAGTTTGAAGACCTGCAGGTTTGTCAGTCGGAAGCCTTTGAGGCCTTTCGCAACGTGCAGACACCATGGTATCTCGCGCTGTGGAGCTTGCTGCGTTGTTAGCCTGTTAGCTCTGCTCAGCCTGTGCTCCCCCCATGTGTCAACAAGCTGGCATCGGCGGATGAAAAAGCACGAGAGGCAGATCTCATTAACAACCGAAGGTTCGGGCACTTTGGCAGGCGCACAAAGGCTGCGCGCTGGCAGTACTTTTGCCAAGGTTCCTCACTGGCCTGGCAGAGCTTCGCCCGCCGATCGAGGATGCCGCCGAGGTGGCTTTGGCCTCGGTCGGCAGACCTGCAGGTGCGTGGCCAAGGGGTGAAGGTAGACCTGGCTGTGGCATTGAAGCTGCCAAGGCGCACCTGTTCGAGGGCTTCGATGCACTGCACGATGACAGAATCACGCCTCCAGAGTCGCGTCCCCAGACCACTCCTCTGAGTTGGTGCATGCTGAAGCTTCTTGCGGCCCTCCGCCGTTTCAGGTGGCATGGCACCCTGCAGACTGGACAGCTCTTCCAGACACCGGAGGCTCTGCATGTGAGCAACATCAGCTACTGCCGGCTTCTGGCGTCGACTTTTGCAGCTTCCGTAGCTGCCGCAGAGGGAACATCTGCATTTTTTCATGCTGGCGCTACTGAGCTAGTTGCCGACTCGGATGGTGGAGGCTCTGCAGCAGGTGCTGCACATGGGTTCGGTCGTAGCCTCAGTGTCTGGAGACGTGCAGGAGTCGGATGCAACTAGATCCATCATGTCAGGAACACAGCTCCAGCTGGATTCACAGGTCGCCTGAGCCTCAGAGCCGCACTTGGGGTCTCCAAACCAACTTGCTGCTATCACTTCCATCAGCCGAGCATTTGCCAACCCAACCCAGGCCGAAGCATGCGGCCGCGTCGCAAGGCCCGAACCCTGCTGCACGGGCACTTCGTTTCAAGCGTAGAGGATGCGTGCATTGTCGTGCACCTGTACGTGCCGCCTTGGCAGGAGCAGTTGCCGAGAAGCCGCAGTCTGAGAGCTGCAGAGATTTGCTGGTAATTAAGCAGTCCTTGCAACGTTCTTGCGGATGCTGCTGTGCAGGACCCCTGATCAAGCAGCGGTGCCGGAGAAGGATGGTCGACAAGCTTGTGTGTAGGCATGTTTTTGGAATGCTTTTGGTGTGCTTGCTTGGCGGACCAGGAGGGCATCACGGACAGCCGTCCGGGCCACAGATTTGGAGGTGTCTGTCAAGGCCAACGTCTTTGGCATCTGCCTGAACTAAGTGGACTTCTGAAGGCTTGAAAGAATTGGGCGGCCACTTGGATTCTCTGGCTGCCCACGTCTGCTCCTCGACCCTCAGCCTTCAGCTTTCATGCTTTGCTACATGACTGCATTCTGCTCAGCTATAGCTTCTTGCTCAGGCGGAAAGTACATTCCGAGAGAAGGCACCGTGCTAGGATTCGTGTTTCTCCCACATCTGCAATACAAGGATGAAAGTGTGCTAGCTGAGACCGAGGCAGTGAAATGGGCGGGGAGCATGCGGAATGCATGCATGAGGATGGGTGTCCTCCGCGTGCCCTGACCGAAGTAGCTGCCATGATGTGTAATGTAACGTTGCAGTGGGCTCGGCTTGGGTGACATATTGTGGCACGCACACTGGGGTGTGAGGAAATTCATGAATGGGAATGTGTTGGTGGTTTTGCCATGGACCGCAAGAACTTGAGCTTGTGCGGGCCGGCAGGGCAGCTACTGGTTGCAATGCTTATGGTGCTCCGATTGGGCGAAGGGTGGCCGGCAATTCGAATCTTTAATGATCTCCAGATGCGGTAGTCCATGCACTGCGTGACGAGTTTTCCGCTCCCCTTTCAGTCCTTCCTTTCTGGTCTTCGGTTCCCTTGCAGCTACGAGTTCTGGTCTCAATGGCCACATGCTTGGGTCGAACAATCCATGTCCTTGCTACAGTCTCTTGAGATGTGCTGCCGCCCTCAGTCCATGCTCCGGGTTTTGGGGGCTGGTGTGCGTGTTGGGGCCGGGTTCTGGGCTTGGATTCCGGGGTTCGGGTCCGCTCGCAAATCACGACTCCATGAGAATCACATGTCGTTCTTTCGGGTGCTGCACACGACGGCACTTCTGCAGTGTGGAGCACAGGGTTTTCTCTCAAATGTGGTCTTCCCTGTGCCCCCAGTTTCAGCATGATATGGATGCTGGTCCTTCATGCTTCGAAAAGGCACTAAAGAGCGCCCATCAACCTTGGGTGAGGTATGCTTCGACTGCCTTTCTAGATGATCCCCTTTTCGTTTGTGCGGGTAGATCAGCAGAGCACTCCTGGTTGCTGACACCTTGCCAGCAAGCCCGCATCGTCCTGCAACTTGCGAAGCGCACGTGCTTGTAGTGTAAGAAAGTGGTGCTTGTGAGAAATTGTGCCCGATGGTGGGTATGAAAGTATAGTCAACCCTCACCGCATGATGCCCGTGGCTCCGTGACTGCTGGTGTCGGTATTCCTGGCAGACTTCAGCGAGGCCAGGTTCCAGATCAAAAGGGTGGCACGAAACGGCGCAACTTCACATGAATCCTCGTGCTCACACGAGGTAAACTCTCGGAATGCCTTCGGGAAAGCCCTAGGCTTGCCTCCAGCAGATGAATGCAGGATGGCTCGGATCACACGCCGGGTGGCGAACAAAAGCTGGGCTGGGGTTGCGGACTCGCGTGCTCTCGCCGAGCATGTTGTTTTCGGGAGTTCTATTGTGGCTCCATGTCAAATCTTCTGTAGCATCTTGCCAACCAAGCCCACAGTTTTCAGCTTGCTACTTTTTCCCGAATGCGAACCGGAGGGTTCTTGTTGGGAGTGTTTACGTATACCGGGGTTTTGCTTATCGGGGCGTAGGTACGAACACCTACAAAGTGTTCCTGATTCCAGGTTTTACGTAGGGGGGGGGGGTGAATGGTGGACACCTACAAAGAGTTCCTGATTGCGCAAGGTGAGCATCTACAACGTGGTGCGTGGTAAATACCTACAAAGTGTTCCTGTGTACGGTTGTTTTTTGGGAGGGGGGTGAGCGGTGATACCTATAAAGTGTAAACCAACGCCCAAAGCCGGCCTTGGGTTGTAGCTGAGGGCCCCTCACTCCTCCCAGAAGCCCCCAAGGATGCGATCTCGCCGAGCGACTTCCAAGCTGCGATTGGGGGTTTCGAGCCGCTTTTGGCAGCCCCGTGGTCGCACCCGAAAATACTCCATTGCCCTCTTTACCCCTCGACTGCGGTTGCAAGTGCTCGCAATGCTTTCCCGGCAAGCGCAAGCTCAAGTCTCGGGATTGAACCGAGGATGAAACCTCGACCGCACCTAGCCCAGCGGGCAACGTCTCCCGAACGGCGCAGCGTGCTGTCCATTCTTGCCGCCCCTAGGCCATATTCAACCAGATGGACGCGGACAAGGACGGTTTCATCAGCAGCGCCGAGTGCCTTGGCTGCGCTCGCTGTATATCTCTGTATATCTCCAAGCATTTGGGAAGCTGGACTAAGTGGGACCTGATTGCCCAGGTGCTTCATGTCACAGGAAGAGCTGGCCAAGCAGCTCTCATCGGCGAGTTCCTTGCGAAATCTGTCAGCGCCCTGATGCCGATGACGCGAATTCTTTGCTTTCCAGTTTGCTTCCCAAAGCTGATGGGCTATGCAGGTTTTGTGACGCTGACTTCAACAACGATGGTCAACTGTCACGAGAGGAAGCTCGGCTGAGGATGGGCGAGGTTGTGCACGCGTACAGCATGGTTGTGGGGTCATCGGCTACTCGTACGACATCTCCCTCACAACGTTTGTTGAAACCCTGTGCTTACAGCGAACTGAGGAATTTGCGAAGTTTGGCAAGTTGTTGAACCAGGGATCTGCGGAGGGGAAGTTCTCAGTCAGAGACTCTGCTTCGGCTGATGCATGGCGAAAGATTGCGCAAAAATCGGTTGTTATCTCGAACTTCGCTAGGCTTACTTCGACGAGTTGGCTGGTGCTGGCAAGCCGCCTATCACCTTGTTGCAGCCTCAGCAGCCCAATTCGAGCCCCCACCATGTGCTGCGTCAACCTGACGTCAACCCGACGTACAGGGCGGCCCTTGAGAAGCTGGCTGGCAAGTCCACTGCTGGCAAGCAAGCCCTGCTTGAGCCCAGCTTTCCAGCTTTGCGCATACCAGGCGGCACGCCCGCGATGCCACGTTTCCTCTCCCAGGTCCAAGGAGGATGGTGCAAAGTATGGACTCCCGGCAATCATCCATGGAAAATGCGTTCTGGGAGTCCGGGCCATGGCCTGTCAGAATGTTTAGGGGGCGATGGATGAGCTGATTGTTGAGCTCCTCTTGCCTTCCAGGTGAAAGGGAGCAATATCCCACCGGGCTTGAGTGACAAGGCATGTGCCACAAACAGGTTCAGTTTGCTGGACAAGAAAACAGAAGTGTCCACTATTCCACTATGCTGAGGTGGGCGAGTCTTTCTCCTCAACCCTCTCCCAACGGCTGGGGGTAACGGTCAGGGTTGCAGGGGCGCAGGACTGGACTTCGCTGTAGCAGTCCGTGTTGTGGCTTCGCACAGCATTCCATCAGCTGCCGCGCAATGACATCTGTGGAGGGTGTGGCATCACATGCCCGCGACTAGCGTCTGTGCGGCGAGTCTTGATGCTTGATGCAGAGAATTTCAAACTTCTCTGAAAGGAGCAGCAGGGCACAACATCAAAAGAGTTCGATGTACTGTACACCTCCAAGACACAGGATGGTGCAGCGAGCATCCCAGCCATAGTTTGAAGACCTGTGCTTGTTGCCGTATCACCGGCGTCGGCGAGAAAGAAGTGGCGAGGCTGTCATGAGCAAGCTGCAGGAAAATGCCACGCTCCCAGAAATAGAGCTCTGAGATCACTCATTTCCCATCTACGTAAAGAGGCGGCATCTCATTCATGAGGCTGACAGCATTCAGACAGAACTGGAGAATCGAGTTGCAGCAGAGGGAGCCTCGGAAGTCGTATGCAAGCAGCGGGTGCCATGAAGTGAGCGGGATGCTTGACGCACATCGGCGCATGGTGCCATTTGTTGCAGTTGGTCTCCCCATCTGCTTCTGCCTCTGTGCGATGCCCAGAAGCGTCGTAGGGCAGATGCTATGTATATATATATATACATGTATATACGTACAACACACAATATACACCTTACAAAAAATTGTGTGTGTGTGGACGATTATAAGTCTAAACATACACATACTCTCTCCCTCTCTCTATATCTTTATCTCGAAGACTCCGAAGACTGAAACGTCAGGCTTGGTGCCGAAGCACCATGGACTTCTATGGCCCGAAGGTGCCTCAGGGAAGCTTGCCCTCTTAGCCCAGAATGTACGCCGTCTTTGCAGGCAGGTGACCTTCCGAAAGGGCAGAAGGTGACGCAGGAGTTTGGCAGGGGAGCTCGGCTTGTCGCAGATTCTGCGCAGCTTGAGGGCAGGAATGCTCAAAAGCTTGTCGTAGGTCAGCTTGCCGGCAAGCCAAAGGAGACGGGATCTCCGTTGCTTGCCCAGCTTGCATCTAGTCCTTTGAGCGTGGGCTTGTCGGGGGATCACCCAGGTTTGTTGAAACTCGGTGAAGATGAGAGTGGGAAGGTGAGGCTGAAGACGTGAAGCATTCGCGACTAGCACGTCTGCAAGTGCAGATACGCTGCAGTCCATCTTCTTGAAAGGCATGAGCCTCCGTGGCTACAGTGCCATGTACATTTGGTGTCACTTTGTGGGCTCGCTGTTGCAACTCGGGCTTGCTTGCGCGGCTGCCGCGCTAGGAATGGTAGGAACAAGAGCTCGCAGAGCACTGGAGCACGCCTGCGCATAGTCGCCTTGCGAGCCTGTGGCGCATAATTCAAGCTGTGAATTGCAGCTATGCAACGAACACCCGAAGGCAAAGCCCCCCGCTAAAATGCTGACTGCAGCATGAGGTGGTGAACAAGTCCAAGCGGTGCGGGCTAGGCCCGCTAGGCCAATCCGACGACCGTGTGCTGCAGCCGTGTATGCTCCGGCCAGCATGAACTTGAAAGCTGTGGCGATGCTCGAAGGCGGCGAAGGGGGAGGTTGACAGGGAGGATTCGAGGTGTTGCTATACATAAATACAGAAATGGGCATACATATATACATACATACACACGTACATACAGCATATATACATATACTGTACATACTCGTAAGTCGTAAGTATTCGGCATTCGTATTGTTCGTAGCCTTGTATTGGTATTCTGATTTTGATTTTGCTTTGCTCTTGTGTTTATGTTTTCTTGCTTGTGATGCCTTGAGCGAAGGCCCAGCGCCCCTGCGCCTGGCTTCAAGCCGCCTGGAGGTCCGCCCCTTCAACGTGGCAAATGCCATGAATCAGACTCACACCGCCACCACCACTACTTCTGTAGTAGTATCAGCAATAGCAGTTGCAGTAGCAGTGGCAGTGGCAGTGGCAGTGGCAGTGGTAGAAGTCGTGGTCGTGGTCGTGGTCGTGGTAGAAGTCGTGGTCGTGGTCGTGGTCGTCGTCGTGGTCGTGGTCGTGGTCGTCGTCGTCGTCGTGCCAGTGCTGGTACTAGTGCTAGTGCTGGTACTAGTGTTAGATGTATTAGTACGAATACTACTGGAACTAGTCACGACTAGTACTACTGTACTACTAGCTACTAATACTAGCACGATGACTATTGCCACTACTGATGCTACGGCATACTGCCACTCTGGAACTTGAAGAAGCGCCTTGTCGCAGGTCGGCCATGATCTCCAAGTGCGCCAAACGGGCCGAACATTGCCCTCCCAAGGCCGACTTGCTTAGATTTGCGGCGCCCCTTCCTTCGTACTGCCGGTGTCCCCTTGTGCTGAGGTCGAACCTGCGTTGCGCTGGCAACCTCCCTCCTTGTCGTGGGGCCACGCCCCGTTCGGCGCTGCCGGGCATCCCTGCGGTATGTCGGGAGGTCAGTGCTGAGGGCCAAGAAGAAACAGCGGGAAAAGACGGAGTTCGATCCTATTGAAGAGTACCGCCGCGTGCAAGAAGATCCGATTGGCTCCTGGGGCTTCTTGGACGATGGCGAGTTTGCAACACGCATCGTCACTTGTTCTGCTGTTGCATTCTTGCCGGCACTGTTGTTGACGACGGTTGTCTTTCCTCCAGCCGATGAAGAGGGCATAGTTTTCGAAAATATGGTTGCGTCTTTTTCCTATGCCTTTGCACTCTCGTTGAGCTTTACGTTTCTTCTACTTCTGCGTGTTGGTGGATTGCTCGACCCTCTGAACAAGAATCTTCTGGCTAAGTCCTACGTCGTAGAAGACAGCCGGGATCAGCGAAGCCAGCGGAGCTTGCTTGGGACTGGCGGCTACTACGCAGAGGTCCGGACAAAGCCGGAAGACGAGCGTCAGCGGGATAAGCTCCTGGGCGAGTACACCACGGCGCCCGCCATGGCCAGACTGCGGAAGTATCTGCTGGGCGCGATCGCCCTGGCAGCTCTTGGATGGACCGTCGGGGCCCTGTCTGGTGCGGAGATGCGCCAAAATCTGGAGCGAGAAGAGGAGGAACAGGCCTGTGGTGTTGGATGCATACCAGGCTTCGAGACGACGGATGACACACTTGTAAAGAGAAGCTCCTGGATATTTAACCGTGTGTAGGTGCGGGCCGAATCGCTGGCAGGCAGAGGTTGATTGCCTCACCAAGAGCTAGCGGCTTGAATGCATAGGTCATCTTGTGAATGTACATAAGTTATAGACACATGAAGTCGTCCCTCCGGGACAGCCAGCAATCGTCACGTCGGCATTTGCCTCATCAAGTCAAAGGCCAGGGCCGGGCATGTGTGCCATGTTGCGAGGTTCGTGATGCTTCGCAGTGTCAGCACTTGAACTACCTTCGGCTTCGGCTCCAAGCATTTGAAAAAAGCAAACGCGTCAAACGCAGCAGGCGGAAGCAATACTGGGCCGTGGCAGAGATGATATTCAGGATGGGATTTAGGACTGTGACGTACGCTTGTGACACCACGCGCTTTCGCAGCCTGTAAAGCCTACCTTATCTCAGCCCATGGCTGGTACATGGCGAATCCTGATTGAGGCCTGCGGGACCGTTTGTGATGCGTCCTGAATCTGCAAGGTGATTCCATTTATAGTATCAAGCAGAGGGCCTTCGGGAATGGCCCTGGACGTTCGATGGTGGTGGTGCGTCGTGATATTAAGGTATATGTTCTTACTCGAAAAAACGTGTGGCACGTGCAGGTAGACTCGGAACAAGTGGAGTGTGAATAGGGAACAACTGACGGGCGTGCAACCTGACCGGAGAGGCTAGGTCCAGACAATTTTCGTTGTACGGCAACCTCCCTTGCCTGGCAATGTTCAAATAGGGCAGAAGCAAGCAGCAATGCTGGGCATTCATGACCCTGACGCAGGACCACGTTCAGGTTCTTCAGGTCTTGGCATCATATGAACACCTACTCATCTAGCGACGGCAACCCGCTCCCCATCGCCTCTCAAGTGACCGTTGGTGCCCAGGGGCTGCATGACCTCGGCCGTGCTTCCTATCGTGTTGGCGGCCCAGCAGTGCCTCAGTTTCCAAGCTCAGCTGGACTTCGGCCCGTTGGGAGGTAGGGGACCACATCAAGGGCATTGCGCACGCGTTGCAGAGCGCCCTCGCCTAAGACTCTTCTCGGCTGCGCGTCTTTCAGACGGGGTCAGATATGGAACGTCTTGGGTGAGGATGGGACGGATCCGACTCTCAGAAACCTGGTGGTAGAGGCCAGGAAGCGCCGCTCGTTCGCCCGTGTTTGTCTAGAAGCGAACCGAAACAGATCGGCTAAACAAGGGGCTAGCCTTGTCATGTTCCCTGTGAAGTGACTACATGAATCTCCCTTGCTTGTCCCCAGTGAGAAGTAGGTGCATCCGACAGGTGAGGAGCAGCCAAAAGACCATGCGACTCGAAGCAGTCACAAGGAGCAGCAGTTGACAAGGTTGAGTTGACCTTCCCAAAGGCGAACGGCTACTTTTCATGCACCTGACGGGCAGTCGGACGCCATCTCCTTGAATGAGGCGCTTAGTCACAACAGCTTAAGAGTGGGGCTTTGGAGTCACGTCGGGAATGCGAGAAGAACGATAACTACTAAAAAGTGCCAATCAGTACTCAGTAATGTTGACTTCGCATTAATAAACCCCCCCCCCCTTCATTGATCAATCTCTCCGGCCAGGGCCTCCTCAATAGTATCCGCCTAAAAACTGGTAGGACGTAGTATTAGTTTTAGTATTAGGTAGTAGTACCACTAGTAGTACTTATAAGTTTTAGCTAATAACATAACATCACCCGTAAAACCCGGATTTCCCGGGTCGGATTTTACAATTGTGGCGGGCTACACTATTGTGTTCCGGCAGCGGGATTTTACAATTGCGGCGGGATCCACTAATGTGAAGTCAAGATTACTGGCAATATCTAGCAATCACTCATACTTACGCATGCTTACTCATACCATACACTACGATTCGCTCGTATTTGCTGAGTTTAAGCTTTGAATGATTCCTATAGCTGTTGCCTTTGTTGTGCTTATTTTGTGCTGCTTTCTGGCTGTCGCGCTTCGGAGGTCATGTTTTTTCCACAGCCACCTCCCGGAGAAGGTGTTGCTAAACTGGCCGGTTTTTCACCAGGTCTTCACAGGTCATCCAGGGCTCCAGGTGCGGTGCTGCTGGCCAGGTCATCAGCGTGTTCAAGCAGCACAGGAAGCGATTGGAGGAGGCCGGGTAGTACTTTGCCGCGGTCGTATGGCAGCCAGGCACCAATCTGACGCCTTGGTCGGCGAGGCTTGTGTGTCTCCTTGCGCGCCTTTTTTGCATGCCCAACTGCATGCCTCGGCTGCATGGACCTCACCATGTGTGGAATCTGTAGCACTGTAGGCGACCGTCATGCAGCCGAAGGGTGAGATGGGCCTCGACCTGATGAGGAAAGGCTCGAAGCAGGCGGCTGGCGGCAGCAGCTAGACATGCCCACACGGGATGCAGCAGCAAGTCTTGTACGCCCGAAGCATCAGCGATGCTTGATGTGCGCAGGGCGTCATCATGCTGACCGTCACTAGTGGGTTGCCCATGAGACAGGCAGAATTAGCGTTTATGCATGCCTGGATGGTGCGTCGCTCGCCAAGTCGACCGGAGTTATTTGCCACGGGTGTGCTAGGCACCGCCGGTTCCAACACACACGGTGCCTCATTCTGGGACTGGCCTTGTTCGGTTGCCAGGTTTTGTTGAAGTTTGCGTTCAAGTCTCGATCAGTGTTCGGTCCGTGAAGGAACACGCCTCAGCACTTGCCGCCGGCCATAAAACGAACCGAGCACGACGAGCTAACCCCACAGAGGCGCTCCAACGTGGTAGCCCTGGCGGGGGGGTGGGGCTGGGGGGTTGGGGGGGCAGAAGGAAGTCAGCCCATGTGTCAAGCAGCCAGCGGTAGAACTGACAAAGTTCAGCTAGTGAGGCTCCGAACCCGTCGAATGAGGACAGGCTGCATGCAAACTTGACAGCATCTTGCTTGTGGAATTCCTGCTTGTGCCCATTCAGAAAGCACCTGCAGCAGCCGTGCTGCCGCCTGCGACGATGGTACCTGCAGAACGGTTGTGAGACTGAGTTGCCAGCATCCTGCTTTTGGAAATCCTGCTTGCGCCCGTTCAGAAACCACCCTCGCCGCGGCCTGCGATGGTGCCACCTGCAGAACAGTTGCGCAAGTGAGTTGCGAGCATCTTGCTTCTGGAAGTCCTGCTTCAACCTGTTCAGAAATCACCCGCGACACCAGTGTCGCCGCCTGCGACGACGGCGCCTGCGGAAGAGAAGTGGTTCGCTCAGAGAGCTGGACAAAAGCCCCTCTTGATGCCATTTTCTGATCGGCATGCTGAGCGCCCCTGAGGGTGGATGTCTTGGCGAACTTGATCGCTTGCACTACCGGTGTCCTGAAAGGCACCAGTCCAAAGCAGTCCCAAGACCCTGTTGGGCATAGCACGGGCAGAAAAAGGTAGCGATTCTGAGTCTGTAAGACTGCTGCAGGTGTTGCACAGCTTTGCAGCCAAGAGCAACAAGGCGCCGCAGGCGCGAGAAGTTCCACTCCTCACCTGAGTTCTTCCGGTACCAGGTGCCCCTGACCAGCGCCGTGGGCCGCAGTGACAGGGATTTTTGCCAAGTCGGGCCGGACAAGGCCAACGTCTCGCAGCTGTCTGCCGCTTTGGCCACTTGAGGCCCCGCATCTCTTGTGAGGTCAAGCAACATCAACAAAAAGAGGGTTGCTTCCTGCAGCTTGTGTGCTTCCCTGCTGCCCACAAATCAACGCCCAGAAGCTTACGTTGTGCACATGCGCGACCGTTCCTCAGGCCGAAGTGGCTAGCGGTTAGCGGTTGGAAATGATGACTGAATGAAGTTTAGTGCCATGAGCTGCTGTTCACGTGTTTTTGCAACGAGCTCAACTGCAGGAATGTTCGCCAGTTATCGCGCCAGCAACTTAGCAGGCTTCCGGGCACAGGACAGCTTGGCGGCATGATGCACCGACGTCGCGATGGCGTTCTTCAGCCGCGCGCCGGGCGGATCGGGCGGCAGTGGCGCCTGGGGCAGTGCTTCGCAAGGTTCGCAGGGTGGAGCTTGGGGCAATCGCAATGACAGCCCCGTGGCGGCGCAGAGTTATGGCAATCCGACGCCTGGCCTGCCGAGCCGGGGCTTCAGCCAACCTGGGGGCGGCTTCGGCTGGAATGATGGAGCCGCTGGCCAAAGCCTGGGCAACTTTCAAGCACAAGATATGGCAAGCCAGCCAGACATGCCTGCCCGATCCAGTTGGGGAGGCTTTTCGCGCGGGGCTCAGGGATTAGTATAGGGAAGGCCAGGAAAGTCGGGGAAAGTCGGGGTTTCGCGGTTCTGGTGTTGAGCTGGTCCTGGAAGCTTCTCGCCTTCTTGCGATATGAGGTCCAGGATGTTCGGCCCCAGTTCAACAAGTCTGCAGCCGATAAGCGAGCAGGCGAGGGAGCTTGTGCCGTCTGCGCTCTCAAAACGCTGCACGGCAGAGGCCACGTGGCAACCACCAGGAACTGGCTTCGGCTAGATGCCTACAAGCACAAGTTCTTGTGAGGTATGGACCGGTATGGATGTCATATGCTCCCACATGCTTCCATATGGTTCCAGAATTGTTCTGCTCTTCCCTACCGGGCAGCCCCAGGTGCGCCTGCTGGACCTGCTGGACTCGGGGATGCTGGTGGCCAGTTGCAAGGTGCAAGTATGACGATGATTAGCTACGCTTCTGATCTGCCTGTGCAATCCTGGGCTGGAACTTCGGTTTGCGTCAACCTCCTGCCGCAGGTTGGTCCATGGACCCACCCCAGTTGCAGACTCGAGTGGGGGCTGCTAGGCGCTAGCATGTGCTGGCCCTTGCTGATGTTCTGCGCACTTCTCCGCGACACACCTCCAGGCGCCCGGCTCCTTTCGCAGGCCTCTCGAGCAGCATGAACATGATGGGCGACTCGGCCATACTCGGCCAAGAGAGCCACAGATTGTCCCTGCAGGCACACGTTGGTATCTGAGGTTCGCAATTGTTGGCTGGCAGGCGGCGCATGTTTGGAGAAGGCATTGGAGGTGCCTTCCTCCTGTTGCAGTTGGCAGTCGCAGAGCAAACACCCCCTTGTCCGTGGCGGGGCAGGATACCCCGGGCGTCTCATCGAGCAGGGCCCAGAGTCCAACTTGGGAGGTGTTCCTGCAGCTTTACTCGGAGCCTGCAGTCGAAGAGTGAGTGAGTGTGAGTGAGTGGGTGGGTGAGTGAGTGAGTGTGTGTGTGTGTGTGTGTGTGTGTGTGTGTGTGTGTCAGGTGGCACGCGGGTGCCCTGGCTGGTCAAACAGCAAGATCCCGCAAACATCCATGCAGAAGGAGGGGCGGTGAGACGGGGGACAATGGAGGTCAGGCACAGGCCGTTCATGTACCTTCCTCATGCCAGGCCCGCGCCCTCCACCTCCCATGGACGAGGAGCGATGTTGTACAAGTTGTACTTTTGCAGAGGGAGTAGAAGAAATCGTACAGGCGAGCCCTCCAAGGCCAGGCAGCCAGGCCGATAGGGATGATTTTGCACTGCTTGTGCCTCGATGTCTGCCAGGGCTGCTAGCATACGCAAGCACGAAGCTTCCTTGCCGTTCCTCTGCTGCTTGTGGCTCAAGTGGTGTTCCTGGATGTGGCCTACACTTCACTCCAGGAAGACGCCTCGTGTTGTGACTTTGCCTGCACTTGCGTTCACCGGCAACTAGGAAGGCCCTGCCTCCTGTGTTATTAAGCTTGATTGTTGATGCCCTGATGCCGTGCGCAAGGCAACTCGCCTATCGAACAACCTGGAAGGTCAGCCGTCAGAGCAGCAATAGCCAAGCACGCAGCAGCTCGACACGCATCTCTTTGACAGGCCCGTGAAGACATCAGATGGAGTACCTGCACTATCCTGTTCAGTATGGCCAGGCTCGGTGACTGAGATATCAGATCATCTCAGTGCAAGCCAGCATAAGGGTGGCATCCCTTTGTCCTCCGCCTGCTTCAGGGGACCGGCACCCGAGAACAAATGTTCTGGCTCTGTGGCATTATTTTCGTGCAGTTCCTCGGCTCATGAACTCTCAACGCCGAGGCTTCAAGTACATGAGACCCAGACACCCCTTTCACCCTGATGCTGAAACCCACCGCCAAAAAAGCCCACAATGATTACACCTACCTACCTGGTTCCTATTTAGTGCTGGCAGGGTTTTTTTTAGGATCTTGATTCGCAGAGTGGCAGATCCCTGGCCCCAAGCCTCCGGAGCAAGTCGCTTGCCAGACATGCCAAAGGGGCGGACCCCCCCCCCCCCCCTCCCCCCCTGGAGGGCTTTGGATTCTAAGGGCTCTTCTGACTGTTGCGCGCCTGATCTACCTTTTCGACACGCTTGGAGGTGCGGGGCGCCCATGTCTGGTGTAGGAGGTTTGCCAAGAGTGTCCTTCTTGCGCATGTTGGCCGAAGGTTTCTTGATGGGTGTCGTAGACCCTCAGATTGAAACTAGATAGTCTGTGCCAGTCTCCGTGAGTTCTTCCGTGTGTATTGCAGTGACCTGTTGGGGAGGGCTTTTCGACACCCGTAGGGCCAAACAGCTTAGGCATTCCTTGGATGGTACTGCGCCAAGAAGAACATGGACATCACTTTGACAAGCTTGTGGGGCCTTGCCAGCGGGTTTCTCTTCATGTATGACTTCTTCGGTGCCTTAACCGAGCCTTTGCTTGCCAGGACTAGGTACAGCTGCATATACTCCTAGGACGAGGATGCAAGTGACGTGCACCAAGGGCGCAGTTATCAACACCTTCCGGCTTGACTTTGTAAGAGCACCTGGCCTTCAAATGGGAAGCATGGGATACGGTGCGGATGTTTTTGCATGCTTACAGACGAGCTTCGCAAGGTAGCAGTCCTGCTTGCCCTACCGCTAACGGACTTTCTGGCTGCCAGCTTCGCGTGGGAGCTCTTCAAGGAACATGCTCCGCGGACTATGAATTTGCTCCGCTTCTGCTCGTATTAACGCCGCAGGGCCGGAAGGAGCCAGGGGAGCTCCTCATGAGACTCATGAGCCCATGGACTGCAGGCCTGTGGCACGGCAGCCAAGGAACGGAATGGTGGACTTCTGAAGCCGCTGTTCACAAGTGCACAAGCTCCTCCTCCACAGCATGTCGATGAAGAGCAGGGCAAGCCGAAACCTGCGCCCTGCTTCAAATCATGTCATTCTGAAGTTGGACAATTTGGCGAGGTCGGTCTGAAGTGGGTTTGGCAAGAGGGCCCCCACCCCTCCCCCACTGATGCAGCATGTGCAGGATTTATGGAAGGTGGCAGACGGTGCAGCGCAGTACCCGCCACACATTCCTGGCCAGGACAGAATGTAATCTTACAAATGCTTTGTCCGCCACTCAAGGTCACTGCGACGAAACGGTTGTGGAGCATGCGAGAGAGTTGGCTTCTACGTACGTATTTCCAGATAAGGGTGCGAGTTGACGATGTCTGGCGGGTGATGGTGCAGTTGTTTGGCAAGCAGGGTGCGAGAGGAACCATGGCAATCAAGTTGGAGGTTGAACCAAGCTTTTTTTCAGATCGGATATTGGTGCTTGGATTTTAAATGGAGGGGGGGAAAATGATAGAATGTTGCGCAGGGTTTCAGTCTTTCTGATATGCACGTCTCACCAGAGCGGCTGCTAAGCTGTCAGTGTTGATCATTGCAAAGTATGGATGGTCCCCAAGTACGAAGGAATTGTAGCTAGCTTTGCAAACCCTAAAAGTTCCACTAAGCCTCATAAACCTCTGCAAGCCCCAAAATGCCCAACCGTTGGGGGCTGAGGGCCCTTGGCCCACGCGAAGTTATGCAGAGTGTCCTGTCATAGAGACGCACAAGATTCACATGAAGTCGATGCCCGGTGTCTTCGGCTCAGGGGGTTGCTTATGATAAGGAAAAATCGTTGTGCAGTCCGACCGAGCGAAGTAGAGGTGGGCAAACTGGTGCCCCGATATACGTATACATATAAATATATACACATGTGTATGTACGTTTTTCTGTATGCATGATATATATATATATGTACATAAATATGACTGCATCGTATGAATCATTTGCAATATTGTCATGTTCAATATGTGTACGCACATGTATATGTATGTTCTTCTGGAACCCGACAGGAGCTGCAAAACCCGGCAGATGCTTTCGCAGCCCGTCGAAACTAACTTACTGTTTCTGTGCTGTCGTTTCTTTGGCTCAGCCTCAAATCGCATGCCATGTTTGCCTTTGCTTCTTCTTGACACTCTTGATGCTGCAGCAGCCCAGGGAAAGTCGGCAGGACGAAAAGACAGCAACGTTTGCTTTTAGCTGGCAAGTGCAATTGCAATTCGGGTTGTTGTTGCGCGGAAGACTTTCGCGCAGCGCGTTGTCTGCACATGCAGACGCTGCCTGGACACAGGCGATCGTAGTTCGAACTCACCTTACCAACAGCTGCCGGCACATACTTGTCGCAGACACAGGAAAAATGCTTGTCCGACTGGCTCATCTCGCTGTGCATGACCGCGACTTTGCCAATCTCCTGTCTGCAGGCTGCCAATCTTTTGCGCCGAAGCCAGTTTATTGAGGCCGGCCAGCCCGCGTTGTTTTTAGATGGATGCAGAAAGGGTCTTGGGTTTGTCAGCGTGTCGTGCAGCAGACTTTCTTCAAAGGGTCTTGGGTTTGTCAGCGTGTCGTGCAGCAGACTTTCTTCGTCGGGATGCCTCTCTTTGGTATGTTGCAGACACTTCGGCGGAAGCGAGCATTGGCACTGGCGTCACAAAGGGAGGCCGCTCAGCCTAATTAATTGCCACACACATCAACACGACCCTTGCTGCTGTGCCTGTATGCCTACTCTGGCCTTTCATGCGTCCCCCAAAACCCCTAATAGTCTTAACCACCTACAACATCTAGGGTGCGTTCCTTGGTTGTTTGCCTGCCCAGGACAGCGGCGCACCTCAAGCAGTGGAGATTAAGTCTCTTTCCACCCTTGTCGCACAGGCAGGTCTCACAGCCGCAAAGCCTGGCTGTTCCATCACTGTGCATGATTGTTGTAGCTAGTTTATGAGTGATGGGAGGCAGTTCATTGTCTTTGTAGATGTTGCAAAAAACACAAATGACAGTACATGTTTTTGTATAGCATACTTGATAGTCTACATTATGAATCTGTACTGCGCATATGATCGCGTACATGCTGTTTCTTGGTTTGGATCTGGAAGATGTGTGTGTTTTTTTTCTCTCCTGGCAGGAGCGATCATGGCTTCGCCCTCTGCTGCTGGCCGCATCTTCTGGCGCACAGCGTTTGGCGAGACACTTGGAGGGCGGGGGCGAGAAGGGACACACCACCACCCCTCCACCCTCCACCCCAAGGAAAAAAAATGAGTGACCTTGGGTGAGTCATGATGCTGTCTGTTCCGTGATGCTGTGGGCATGGGCAGTGTGGGAGGTTGCTTGTAGGCGTGTGGTCCGAAGCCATGAGACACCTGAGGCTCTCAGAATGCAAGCCCTGCTCTGGCGCTGCGTGGGAGTGCTCACAGACCCCGAGGCGAACTGATCCAAAGACATCACGTGGGCATTGCAGTATTTACCCCACCCCCGCCCCCCCGTCCGCCAAAGCGACGCTAGGTTGAGGTACGCCTCATCAAACAGTCTCCAGACAGAATCAACATCCATGTCCGCAAGCTCTCCTGAAAGTTACTGTTCGATGGGGCAACCTGTTCTTGGGAGGCTTTGCTGGAGCCGCCCCAGCCTCAGCTGTCCAAGCCTACCAAACCTTCGATACCAGAGAACCCCCGGACTCCGACCCCCTACCCCACATCCGGGCCCTGTGGCGATCCTGATCTCAGACCTTCCTGGCTTACCGGGTTGGCGATCTTCTTTAGGAAAGGCTTTCAAATTCAAGCCGGAACTGCTAACTGTGACCGGAGCCCGTGGATTCCCTGAGACCTCTCAGACTCAGGATGTTTCTCGGCAGCCAAGAGATGATGCCTCAGGGAACAGGTGAGCAACCGAGCGTGAAATCAGCAATGCCTCCTCAAGTGCAGCAACTTATGCGGTGCGTGTGTAACTGTCATACTCCGCTGAGCCGACGGCAGGGCTTCCAACCTCTGGTGATGACATGCGCCAGTGGGTGGTGCAAGAGGACCGCTGTCCATGTTGCTGCCTCTTGTGGCAGCAGGAACGTGCCAGAATGTGCCAGAAGCCACGTGGGCCTGCAGCTGGCATGTCGCAGGATGGCCTGTTCCGAGCTGCGTTTGGGGCCCACGTTACTGAGCCCTGGAACCGCGAGCGACTGTATCTGCAGTCAGCGACCCGGCATCCCACAGGTTCGCTTCAAAAGCCCTGCCTCACCTGGTTTTCACTGGCATTTCTTCATCGTTTTCCGGTAAAGTGCAAGTCCTAGGCTGGAGCGCTGCCTTGCCTGTGAGAGAGAGAGAGAGAGAGAGAGAGAGAGAGAGAGAGAGAGAGGCTGGAGCGGTCAGTCCTGGCCAAGCCTGGACCAAGCTTGGATGAGCGTGCAGGGGAAGCAGAGCCCTCAGCCCCCGTGCTCGCCCTCGTCGTAAAGTTGAGCGAGCGCCTGGCGCACTAGATTCCACCAGGTTGTATCCATAAGGGGTTTGCGACTCAGGTCTGGGCCGACGAAGACCGTGAGATGCTGGGCTCGGGCCTTTGTGCACCCCGGCTGGTGCCACTGGAGGACCGCAACCGCGCATTGCCATTGCCGCAGGGCAAACACAAGCATCTGGCATCCTGGATGTCCCTGACAGGAAGTGTACTGGCTGAACAAGCGCGGGACTTATGCCGAGCTTGGCCACAAGCTGGCAAAACTCGTCGGCTACGCTTGCTAGTGCATACTTCATGACTCCATGACATGCCGAGGTTGGGTCTCCGCTTTCGATCTCAAGTAAAGTCGAAAAGGCCACAGATCTGGCGAGATCTGGGAGCTTCGAATCCGAAAAGCCCGCTCACCCAAAGCTTTGCAGCTGCACAGGCGACACCTTGTGGCGAGTCAGCTCTACGAGCTACGCCCCCTGCCAGAAGATGCAGGTTGTGTTCCTGAAAGTGCGAGGTCTGGTTGAACTTGAGGAGTTTAGAGCAAGATTCGCCAAGCCAAGGGCTGGACATCAGCCGAATTTCGCTCCTCCAAATTCCCTTGGCATCTGGAGACCTGGACATTGCCTCAGAATGCAGCGGCAGCGTGCGGGCTGTGACCAAATGTGCGATGCGGGTCACAAGGCAAAGAAGTTCAGCTCCATGGATGCGCTGGATAGCCGTGAGACGCGCGTTGCGGGTGAACTCCAGGATGTAGATGTGTACATCTACTGCGTCGGTGGGAGGCCGTATCGCATCTGCGCAGTGCAGGAGTTGTTCCATCGATACCAGAAAGAGATGGAGAGCCATGTCGTGACACAGCTTGACAGCCGCATCGCTCTCAGGGCAGCGCCATTCAGCATATTCGAGGTCTTGTGCAGCCCAATCCCGATGCCTGGCCGTTGCCCTCAGGTTTAGATGCCCTGGTGGAACGCGGCAAGGGACTCCGCGCCACATTGCTCCAGGACGCAACGGATGGAGTGACCCTAAACCCTAAACCCTATACCCTAAACCCTAAACCCTAACAAAAAAAACCCTAAACCCTAAACCCTAAACCCTAAACCCTATTAGGGTTTAGTAAACCCTAGACCCTAGACCCTATATAAACCCTAAACCCTATAATGAACCCTAAAATGGCAGTGTGCAGAGATGTCCCAATGTGCGGAGGCTGAAGCTCAGCCGAGCGACTCTGATGCGCAGGCGGCCCGGGAGGCTTACCGAAGCAACCTCCAGGCCGAGAAGCTGCAGTTATATGAAGCAGGGTTTAGGGTTTAGGGTTTATATTCTCGTATATTTGTAAAGGGTTTTGGGGGCTGTTATAGTATTTAAGATAGGAACCATAAGGGAATATCGTTAGCAATTGACCTTGAACAGACTTGACAGTTTCTGACTCGAACGAAGCGTCCTTGTCAGGAAAGGAAGAAGGTGCGTGCCAGGCACGGTGGTACTGTACGGCAGCCATCGGTCATCGGGAAGCCTACTTTCTTCTTTTGTAGATGTCATGTGTGGTGAGAGGCGAGATGAGAAGGAAGCGCTCTTCGAGCAGATCTGCAAGAATCTGTATGGTAAATGGCGAGAGCTCCGGCAGGTTCGCCAGGCCGGCGCGTCTCGCTGAATCTCACTGCAGGGCCCGTGAAAACAAGCAGCCGAAGCAAAATGAGGATGTTGGGCGCTGCTTGCCATGGGACATAGGAGTTGGACAGGATTTCGGCTATGTGTCAACACCGTGGCGCCTGACGGCGCAGTCCCAGGAGACTTTCATGGTTACAAACACTTGATGATTTTTAGTTTCATCGGTTTGGTCTCTTGGCCGCCACGTCTTGATATCGGATTGCCGGCGCCGAAACTGAGAAGACCATGAGCAGCGAGGAGCATGACCTCACGGCCGATACCCAACGGAGAGCCACGGCCCTGCTTGAGTCTGTTGACCTGTTTCGGTGTGCAACCTATTGGAACCTGCGAGTTGCCAGGGCACCATTCGAAACCACATCTGCTTGCTTTAAACAGAGCAGTTCCCCGTACCAAAAGGCACGGAACGTGGACGCAGAGATAGAAGAAACCAGCTACCTCCAAGGCAGGTTGCGGGTGAGCATTGTCTCTCACAAGCGATTGGAGGGTTTTGAAACAATGTGCGCAGATGTTGTGGCAGCATACATCGTAATGTCGCAACGCCCGTCAGGGCTTGCGGCGGAACAGGAGCGCGCTTGCTTCTTAGCACCCACGCGTGTCCACCGACCCATAGCATGTTTGCTAAGACGGGCAGCGGGCAAAGCTCCAGCTAAGGATCGGGTTCAGAACAAATGGGACATGGCAAAGCGCGGGCCAGGCAACCTGGCTGCAAGGGCATGCCACGCAACGGCGACAGGCAGGAGTAGCCTCCGCTTCAACAAGATGTGAAGGCCAGCCGTCCTACCGCTTTGAACTTTCTGCGACAATGGAGCTGACTTCTGCTGAGGCCCGTGCCTTTCTGTCACGCATATCACATGTCATGCACAACTTGCTGGAGGCCTTGCGGTCCCGTGCTTATGATGGGATTGTTGGAGATGCTGATGCATCCGCGGCCGCAGAGGACCAATGCATTTGCTTTTTCAATCTTGTTATGGTACTCGTAGGTCGCGCCGGCATACGGCTAAAAGAAATGTACCGTGACCACATTTTGGCGAGAGTTGCCACATCAGCAGGAGCTGGACCGCAGACAGCTGGCCAGCCGCGTGCGAGTTTGCGTGGAGTGCCGGGTGAGTGACCGGGTTGTGGGGAGAAGCCCGTCTCTTCCCATCAGTGGTTCGACTGCACATGAGGCAGACAATAGCTCGAAGGCTCCGGTTGTGAGATGCGAGTTCCGCAATTCCTGACCCATGCTGCTTCTGACTGCTTTCCGCGATTCCGCATCCTGAGGCTGGGACACGAACAGCACGTCTTCAGCTGCAACCTTGCTGGAAGAGGTGTCGATTGTGATCTGAAACCTGGGAAAGTAGGAGCAGTTGCGCAGTGCGTTCGAGTCTGTCCGACTTGCGCAGGTTCCGGGAACGCTGCCGGGGGCACCGGATTCTATTCGGCCTGTGCACAGCCCGGTGCACAGCACACGGAGATTCGGCCGGGTGCTTCCTTGTCCTTATCTCTTCTCAAACTCCCGGAGGCTTCAACCTTGCAGTGCACGTTATGCCGCAGAACATCTCGTTGATGGTTTATGTTTCAGCTGGAGGCCTGGGTGAGATGTGTAGAGCTTCTTGCAGCGGCCATGCACTGCCGACCCTTTGGAGCTTTACGTGGCTCGAAGGTTGGTGGCCTCGCTGGCACGCAGCTCGAGAGGTGGATTCGTACGATCACCCTGACTCACGCATGGCTACTTCAAGAACAGTCTCAGGAACAGTCAGTCCGCCCTCAGAACCAGAAACCCTAATTAAACCCTAAACCCGCCTTGTGGCATCCTTGTGCACCTGGCCTTGGGATGCCCCGGAGGTTCAGCTGGACATTCCGAGCCCGGAAGGCAGACGAGTGAACCCCGGCTGAGGTTCAACATTGACATGGGAAGACGACACACCGGTCAGCACGTTCTGTGTTAGAGCCAGTAGGCCAGGGCCCCTGTAATGTTCTCATCGGAGGTCAGAGGTAGGCTCCTAGAACCTACTCAGACCTACTCGTACCAATACAGTTGGGCCAAAGATTTGTCATGTGGGGCGGGGAATGGAGGATTGGGAATGCTTGTCACTGGGCCCTCGAAAAAATGTTGAGGGTGGTCACGAACATGGCGGTTTCGATGTGAATCCACTCCCGGTAAGACCGGACTCTGCAAGAAAACTTACGGTCTCGGCCCGGAGACTGTGTTCCAAATCTTTGCATCAGCATAAGAAATGTAAAGCAACCTCCCATTCTTCCTCGAGCCCAGAGCCAGCAGTTCCATAGACACCAGTTGACAATTGGCTCGGCTCACACACATTATGCACTGTGCCCGCAAACTTGGTCTTGAATCTGCGCTGCCGCCAGTCAGCCCATCAGTGGCGCCTTGGGTCAGCTGAAGGGGCCTTCTGGAAGCAAAGAATCACAATAGTGCGGAAGTGATAAATTGATTCCGGGCGGTCAAGTATAGCCATCGGTATGCAGATTTGGGGTTTGGTGTCAGTTGGAGTTGCGTAGGAAGTTTCAGAAACAAAGAATCACTATGGTGCAGAAGTGATACTTTGATTCCCGGCGGTCGCCGATCAACTGATTGGATTGGCTGCCGCACGTTTTGCGGCCAAAAGCCAAACAGACATGTTGCCTTGGAGGGTGGTGGTGGTAGTGAAGAGCTGCGTCGAAGCACGAACACCCAGTGTAGGGTCCCGTGACATGATCGTGTTTTGCGGGACCCGCAAGTTTTGGGGAGACTGGGGCCGTCTTTCTTCCTTGCATCTTCAGCGCGCACGTTCAGTACTCGTATGCCACACTGCTCATATTCAGTCTCCGCTTGGCCAGTGCCCTGCACGCGTGAGCTCACAAAAGATGTCACTGTCCAAGGACACACGCGGCCACTTCTGACCAACGTCTGCTTTTTGGACCAGGTGCCGGCGGGCTTATATATGTAATTTATGCAAAGATTTGCGTGTGTGTGTGTATATATACATGTATATACACGCCTAAGATGTGTATTAATATGCAGCATATATAAATCAAATATAAGATATGAATCCACATCGGTGAAAACCGTCGTGCTTGCCCGTCAGGTGTGGATGACCACGGTGAGGAAGACAGTCTGCTGCAGCAATCTCAGCACTCCATGAAAAGTGGCCTTGGGAATACTGGATCCCTCAATTTAAATACTTTTGATGACCTTGACTAGTCTATGCGGGCCCATGTTGTTCTGCATAGGCTTCTTCGGTCGTTGCTGTGGCACGCCCAAGGTCACAGGCTTTCAAGGGCGAACTGGCGGTGTGCGTCTCCTGGCCTGGAGGAGGCGCGGGGAGCATGGAGCAAAGGAGCATCAAGTACCGGGCTAAAAGAGCCCATGGGTCCACGGTTCTCTGTGTTAATGGCGCAGGACGAGGTGATTTTGTGGTGCCGCCGCCGGCACCATTGAATGCGGAAGGTGGGCTGCTTGGCAGGTTGCTGGCAGGATGAATGCAGGATGAGTGCATGGCAGCCTCCGTCTTCTCCAGGCCAACTTGACCACATCAACTTGAAGTGCTTGCCTTCGGCCCAGTTCGCCATTGCTTGCCACTGCTCAGCACGACGAAATCTTGAGAACACTGAATCCACCGAGTGGAACGGGTTTGCAACGTAAAGTCTGCAGGCCATGCTTTGGCTCCCGATCTCCACTTTCGCAAAAGCAGGCCCAAAAACATCCTGCATCCAAGTCTCCCAGTATTCGCAGTACTTTTTTTCAGTACTATGTGCTGAATCTGTTGAGGAGGACGTGCCTGAAGAAGAGGCTCAGGAGCGCAGCCAGGGTGTCGTGTGGTGTTGCTCCTATAGCCGGTTGCGGGTAGTCGCCGTAGGCAGTGCAGTGCAGCGAAGCCAGGCTCCGGAAGGAAAGACGTCTGCAGACTTCCCGGGGCTCAAGGCGCAACGTTGAACTCTGCGGGGGATATGGCGACATAGAGAAGCAAGACTTGGCGAATCGTCGCGACTTCAAGGGCCCAGACGCAGCGCGGCTTGAAGAAGCGCACCTGTGTGTCGCACCCAGCTGCTCGAGTCTCCAGGCAACCGTGCAAAGTTCCGCCATTTGCGGTGTTCAGGGCTTCTTCACATCTGGATTAAGCAGCTCTGCAAACACTCGCCTTGTGACCAGCATGTGCAGCATGGGGCCTTACATGTGAGGCGACCGTCGAATAGACTACCATAGACTATCCAGCCGCGCCGATGAGTACAGGCTACTATAGGATTTGTTGCGCCAGAGTTTTTCGAGTGCATGTTGTGCCGATCACGCCGAAGTACTGGCGAGGAAGTTTGTCACCATCAAGAGTTGCAAAACGGGTCCCACTTCATGCATTAAAGGCTACGAAAGCATCTTGCAAAAGCGGCCAAAGCCAAAGTGAGTCGGCTGTCTGTTGTTGACACTCGTGACTCAATTGAGGTCGCCGCCGCCTTGCGGCTAGCCAGGACTTGCAGGCATCGGTGGTTGCAAACTCTCAGGTCCTGGGCAAATCCCACCCAAAACATGGGCCCGGGCCCTTGGAGCTTGCACTTTTCCGGGACCATTCTCTCCTCCTGAAAGCCTCAAAGCCCAGGTTTGAGGGCCCGAAACCGAAAAAGCAGCTACGAAGGATCGAAGTGGGAAGCTCCCCTCTCGACAGGCTGGCCTTACACAGCGTGGTCTGCGAGTGGCGAAGTTGCTGCAGCGAGAAGAGCGGGCAGGCCAGCGTATGTCAGTGTGCTGAAGCCTAAGTGCTAAAGCCTGAAAACCCTTGACCCCCGGTCAGGCCTAGCTGGTGCAACAAAATCCTTGAACCTTGAGCAACGTGCGTAGTCCCTGCAGTGCGTCTTCCAGTCAGCTAGGCGGACTTAGGGTTCCCTAAACCCTAAACCCTAAACCCTAAAGCCTAAACTCCAAACCCCTAAAAACAACCCTTGAGTGTCATGGATCCAAAGCTTGGCTAGTGGACAAGCGTTCGGAAGGAATGGACAGCGAACGGCTCCTGGTCCCGGGTCTCGAAAGCGAGGCAGAGAAAGGGTCCTGACAAATCTGGGGCCCGAGGGATGGAGGTTCGGGTTTAGGGTGTAGGGTCTATCTGTAAGGTTAGGCTTAGGGTTTGAGGTTTAGGGGTTAGGGGGAAGACAACCGCCCATGGTGAGGTGAAGAAGGAGACGCAAGAGAAGCAGGAGAAGGAGGCAGCTGACACAAAAGCCGGAAAGATAAAGGAAAGCGTGCACCATGCCTCCAGCAAGCTGCACGAGTTCGATTTTGATTTTGTTCTTGTTTTGCTTTCCTTCGCTAGAGTCGGTCATGAAGCAAAATCCCGCGGCTCGCTCTTGATCTGAATCTCAGGTATCAGATGGACTTCCGCAAGAGGAGTCCAAACTGAATTGGCAGCCAACGAACATGTCTTCCTTGGAAAATGCCGTCGGCCGATGAGGCAGTGACGTGTGTGCACTTAGGATTGAGGAGAGGACTCGCAAGATGGCCATGGTGAAGACCCATATGTCCTACAAGAGCCTCTCGGATGCAGGGAGGAGCAACTCGCGTGATCTTCGCCAGCAACAGGACACCCTTGTGCAACTTGTGCACGCCTTGGTGCAACGTGTGCACCTTGTGCAACTTGCGACGACAAGGCATAGTGCGGGAGTATGGGGAGGAGGCGGAGGAGGGCAATTTGATGGAGCACCTTGGATGGAGAGTCATAAGAGTCATGGTGATGAACTTGAGCTCCAGAGCTGCCGGGTCGCTTGGTAAGGCTGCTGGAGCGCTTCCAGCGGATCTTCCAGCCCAAGCGCACGTTGCGGCCCACCGGTGCGCGGAGGAGATTTGAGAGCAGCGTGAAGAGCATTCGGGCTTCTTGGCAGGCAGTTCCACCACGCAGTCACCACGTGATGTGTTGATGTTTCCACTTGTGATGCCAAGGTCCACATATCAGTCGCCAAGGTGTATGATGTGCCGGTCTTAAACGGCCGCATCCGCAGCACCGAAGATCTTCGCGGGGATGCGGACACAAGGCGCCACTGCGCTGGCAGCAGCAAGAAGTGCAAGCTGCACCTCCTCCACCGTTGGGAGGCCAGCCTTCGCCGTACACAGCTGTGAGTAGTTGAGCAACTGCAGCACGTTGTAACAGGCAGAGGGGCTGGATGATTGGTGTCGATATTGAGGGCGCCCAATGGGCAACTTCTTCCTCCCAGTTTGTGGGAGGCTTGCCTGGCTTGCAGACGTATGGTGGAGCTGGGGGCCAATTCACGGCAGGCCCGCAGCAAAGGTAGCTCACTTCTCCACGCAGCCTTAAACGCTTGTTTTCTGCATGTTGCAGGTGGGTTTCCACGACCCCAACACATAGGGAGCCCTCTCATTGGCTCTTCCGAGGGTGTGTCGCCACCTCAGGCTGCAAATCGTAGCCTTGCTTTGAGTTGCCCTCTGTACCGAGGTTTGGGGCCATTCCCGCCGGAATACAGAGCCAGCAACTACCGGAGATCGTGATCGAGATGACTCTTCAGGAGTCATCCATGCGTTCGTGCTCAAGCCTTCTGACCATTTCACTGGCGCAGGACTTCCATGGGAATCTTCTCTTCAAGCGAACCGAGCGGGCTCAGCAATCTACTGACCCAGCAGCTCTTTTGCAAGACTCGGCGCAGCCACCTCGACTGTCGAAGTTCTTGCACAAAGCCACATCCAGTAACCACAAGTCACAAGACGCTCACCAGACACCTATCTGTTTCAGGACATCAACCAGATTCTGGAGCTACCGCTTCACGCAGCCGGCACTGCGGGCAAGGAGGAACTCACCCAAGAAAATTTGTGGCGGACTCGGTCTGGTCTGAGATTCCAAAGATCTTCCAAGATGGATGGGCTTGGACTCCCTTGCCTTAGCAAGGATCAAGTACAGCGGCGAGCTCACCATCAACGTGTTCGACCTTTGTTTGCAGTTCGCTTGGCGCCTTCGGACTTTGCGAGGGGCGACCGGGAGGAGGTGCAACTTGACATGCTCAGGATGAACTGTCGCAAAGACTGCCCGGAAGTGGCCAAGACTTTCGAGTTCGAACGCAACTGCGCACTCAAGCTGCAAGGGAGATGTGGCACCAGGGGCCCACTGAACAGCACAGTGCAGCTGGAGCCAAGGCCATCTTGGGAAATTCGTGTTGCCATGGGATACTCTGTATGCTGCCAAATGCAGCGTGAAGGGGCATTTTCGTGTAGATCAGTCCGGTGCTCAGAGCCACTGCTCGGCACTGCTCGGGCTGCTGTGCAAGGCTCGCGCATGTGACGGAACAAGGCACGCAGTTCTCTTCGGATACCGCCCGAAGACTGAGAAGCAAAACATTCTTCCAGTGGCAGCGCAACCTCCCGAAGGCCCGACAATGTCCGTCAATCTTGCTGCTTGACATGTTGGCTCTGTTTGTGCGGGGAGGCACACCGGTTCCTCCACCCCCGCCAACCAGCAGCCAAGTGCAAGCAAAGGCGATGTCCCTTGGCCTAGAGGCCGCTGCCTCAGGCATTGCACAAGCATGCCCTGGCTGGAGCTTGCACATTCCGTGAAGGATGGAGCTGTGCAATCCTTACTCCTTGAGGTCACAGTGGATCCTCCCCTCGAGCATCCGACGCGAGCCATGCCTGCACATGATCTGCAGGGTGGAAGACCGTCGCAGGGTCAACAATTGCGTCGAATGTTGCTGGCAAGGAGTTCAGCCTCAGATCACCCTGGGGAAGGAGCCGAACATGATGCTCAAACATGTTCAGATGCTTGGCCGCGATGGTGCTTTGTGTTGGTTCGAAGTTGGCCTGGTAATTTGGCAAGTGGGCATGTCGCAAGGAAGTGGCACGATTCGCTCAAGTCACGGCGCGATTCGCGCCGCTCGGTGCGTGACCATCTTTTTAGAAGTGACAAGCTTCCGGAGCTCGTCACTACCTCACCCTGTCATGACGGCTGCATAATGCCCAAGGCCATAAACGGCCTAATGTTTCAACCTTCCGGGCAAGTTAGGTATCTTGGCATTGGGCACCGACGTGGACGGACGCTCGCGTCTGATCTGCCGGTTTATTCGGCCGCAGAAGCCGCCAGACATCCTGCCTGAAAATCCTTTTGCAATTGCGGCTTGGCAACATAGACATACATAGACCGTCATGAGACGACTGACGCCAATGGGTGGCGACTGCATGTGGATCGTGCTTGAGACGTGTTCAGCGACGCATCGCTCAGGAAATGGCTGCGAGGTACGTATCGTTGATCCCCACACTTCAGGCAGCTCGACCGGCTGTTGCGGTAAAGCGGGAAGCAGCTGCTCAAGGGCAGAGAGATCTCACGAAAGACAGAAGTGGAGACAGTAGGGGCGAGCAGCAAACACCCAGACTTGTCGACGGCGCCTTTTCGGAGTCCGTTTGGGGGGGAGCAAATTTGGATTGCTGAGGGACTCTTCTTTGGATTCTTTTCCAAGACTTTGACTTCTCGCTGTAGTGAGAACACTTACTCTGCGCAAGTTGCGCGCTCTTGTGATGGTCTGGCGAAGTAGTGAGAGAAGAAGCAGGGAGGTAGGGTAGTGTGAATGTGGTGCGGGTGAGGGCATGTGAGGGTTCAAGCGGCGTTCAATCATTTCAATCAGGGCTAGTCGGGTTGTGACAGGTGGACCTTAACTCGTCAGTTTCCACCATTCAACTTGACCCTGGCACATCTGACTTTCGGGAAATGTGTGGGTGCTGCATAGATTGGCATGAGATGCTTGCATCATGGTCATTTCACTCATGCCACATCTAGGCCGCCAGACAAGTCTGCGTGTGCGTCAGCACCTGGAACCTCTCAGGACAATGAGATGTGGAATGTGGACGACTTGTGGCAGCAAGCTTTGTCCAGCTTGGTTGGGTGGCGTGCTGTGGCATGAATCTGACTGTAGAAGGCGTGGTGTCTGGCAATGCCCAGGTGCACTGACCAGGAGTTTCTCGACATCCAGTGCGGAGATTGGGAGGAAACTCTGTGAAGCGTTCGCAAAGGCCACGATTCTAGGTCTGCTCGTGCCAGGAGCACTGCATACTGCTGTGCAACTTCTTCAACTACATCGACCGCTATCGCCGCGAATGCGTAGGTGCAACCTTGTGTGATCCCACAAGGCTCATGATAGATCAGTAGGTTCCGACAAGACCCCAAGGAGGGTACAGCACAAGCGACATCCAGCACCGGGCCTCGGCAGTTGGGATGCGCCCGGGCCCACGAGTCCCTATATATTTGAGCCCGGTGCCGAAGCAAGGTCGTACTGCGTGATCTGCGATTTGGTGCCGGAGGGGGAAGCTGTGGTGGTGTTGCGGATGGCACTCCTGGCAAACTGGTATAGATTTGGCTTGCCGATGCTCATAATGCCCCCCCCCCCCCCCACTGCCAGGACAGACAGTCCGGGAACTGTGAGTTTTGGCACGCGCTCAAGGGCAGATGCGCTTCGGCTTGAATGTGTGTGGAAGCTTGTGGTAGCTCTCCAAATAGCACCTGATTTTTGTTTTGCGATGGTAAACCAGGTCATTTCTTGCCAGCAGCTGCCCAGAAGCGGCGTGCATACCTTACCAGGGGCATGTGCTTTAGCAGCTGCTCCGTGAGGTGTGCCGTGGCATTGCTGTAGCATGCAAGTGCCACCCATACAAACATACAAGCTTGAGCTTGGTTGCCTGTCACGCTGCAAGATGACGGCTTCAAGATGACCCCTGCTAGAGCGACGGCAAAAGGCCATGGTGTTGTTTTACCTGGGGACAAGATGAGAACGGCGTGACCGTTCTCCACTGCGCAAAAGCCGGATGCAAGCCTGGGCTCCTGCTTCTCTTCCCTCTCGGCTACCGCCATGCCAGCGTATCCTCAGGCGCCCGACGTTTTTCGCAGGAAAGGGAAGGCCGGGAAGGCAGAGCGGAGCTCTGGTGAGACGGGCACAGGGAGAGGCTCCAAAGCTTGGTCCAGTAACCCTGTGGACGCTGCTCGCCATCTCCTGCCTGAACCTCATGAGCTTTACGGCGATGTACCCCATCACGCCCAAGCTCATGAAGCGCTACGCCATGAAGTCCGAGATCGGGGTCGGCTTGGTGGCCTCATCCTTTGCCCTGGGCCGCTTTCTCACCACATCTTGCTGGCCGTGCCTTGGCATTAAACAATCGCCCCTAACCTGCCACAGAAGAGCCCTTCAAGAGCCGTGTTTCATCGCTTTAAAGGGCACTCCTCTGTCATCCTTGGGTCCTTGTGGGCTCATCTGCATCTGAGGATTCTGAGCGACTTCGTCGGCCGCCGCAAGGTGCTCTTCATCGCTTTGCTTGGAGGTGTCCTGGGCTCGACACTCCAGGGCCTGGCCATCGCGCGCCTTGGGGAGAAGTTTTCAAGGGCGCTGTGCGAAAGAGGCGCCAGACTCATGTAGTCTCGCATAGACAACCTACATAGGTTGGGAAGTGCCTTTCAGGTTCCGCTTGGGTTCAGCCAGAAGTAATGCTGACGGAGGCTGCAGCAGATCACTTGCTACGCCTAGTGCCCAGCGCAGTCATTTGAAAACCTGGACGGCGCACGAACGCCAGTGGGGCGTTGTTCGAAGCTGTTTCAGATCGGGCGGGGATAATGCCGCAATGCCGCAAACGAGTTTGACTTCCCATGCCGAACCCCAGTTGAAGTCCATGAGATCCATTTCATGAGCGTAGGAGCGGACACATGACATGGAATGCTTGACAAGTCTCCCTTTTGATTGTAGATGATGTGAGATGTGACCGTGCTTTTGAGACGTAGCTAAACCTAGGTGCTGTTGGCCGTTTGCAACTTTCCTCATCGCCACCTGGCTTTGACGCAGCCAGCTTGAGAGTCTGCACGTACCCTGGTACAGCTGAGGTCAGGGGCGTGTCCGGAATGTTCAGCGGAATCGTGCCCGTGGTAAAAGCATATATTGTGGATGCTTTCGACGCAGAGGAGGTGCCCAAGGTCTTGGCCTACCGTGCCTTGGCGCAATCAGCTGCAAGAGTGGCTCACGTCATGAATCTGCGCGGAGGCTTGCTGTCTTGCTGTTCGCGCACTCTCGAAGCAACACCATGCCTCTGAGGAGAAGCTGCTGGTACGATGGCGCCCCTTGGATGATGATCGCCTGTGCCGCCCTATAAAGCTTGAGCACGAGTAGCAGGCAGAGACCGTGTCCTTTTTTGTCTTGTCTTGTGGCTCTTTGCAGAGGTTTATCATTGGCCCAGCTCTTGGGGGAGCTCTGGCTTCGAGGATGCCAACTTAAAGAACATGTAGAAGACAAGATCATATCATTCCATATCTTGTACTATGTATACAAAGACATGACCACACATTCGCATATTTTGCAAAGCTCGGGCACAAGTGTGAGTCGTTCAGGACGCTCTCAGCCCCAATGTTCTTCTCAGCCTTGTCGGGCGCCCTCGCGGCTGCCTTGGCGCTTAAAGTACTCCCGGAACCAACCCAGCGAAGGACCTTGTGCTGGTGATGTTGCTTTGAAGCTGCTTGCTGGAATTGCACCCGTTGGCAGAGCCCGCCCTTCACACTGACAGCTTGGTGCCAGGAGCACAAATGGGCCAAAGAAGTCCATCACTTCGGCTGGGACCAGATCTCCCGTGCTGGCTGTTCCGCGTCCCCACATTTCACGGCACTGCGGCCTTGCGAGACAGCCCGTTGCAGCCTAGGTGACGTTGCTCTTCTGCTCGTTTGTGTGGGCCTGCACAAGGACCTTCCGTGCTTGTGGAGGACAGTTGTCGTGATGCAGCCGCAGCCGAGAGAGTCGAAGACAGGACATGTTTTCATGCTTACTTTCCTCTCCTCCTCGCGCGCCGGTATGCACTTCCTCTTACGAACATGGGAGCCGTTCGAGCCTCAGCCGTTGCTTGTTTCGCAGGCAATGTGCTGATGTAAGACCGCGACAGTCCAGGTGCTCACGGGCATCTCCTTGACAGTCGCAGCCGAGCCCCGTTGGCAGTTACTCCCTCCCATGTCAGTGTTCAGCCGGGCTCTGCTTCCCAATCTGCCAGTGCAACCGAAAACGAAGTACAGTATCTCCGAGGTGCAGATTGCCGGGTTTGAGCGTTGTCGACGGAGACATGGGCTGGAGATCACCATGGTCCTGGGTGCATTGCTGGTTGTGGCTGGGCTGGGCCTCGTGCTTAAACAAAGGGACATGCACTGAAGTAGTAGAGAAGCGCGCATGTCGCATGTTTTCGTCTGTAGAATTGGGTTCTTTTGAGTGCCAGAGAGGTGCCCTCTTCTGCCTGCCTGTTTATACTTCCCTCGCCGGTGTCTTCACCTGTGGTGCCATTTACGGCGCAGGCTCCCTGGAATGCAGTGGGCACCTTGCTTTGCGGTTTGTTTCGGCATGTGAACACTTTCAGCCTCTAAGTGATGAGTGAGCATGTCAAACATCGGGAAGTGCTGAAACACGAAAAGCTCTTGGGACTTCCTCCCTCCGCCCCCCCCCCCCCTCCTATCCCCCCTCCCCCTTCCTTCTCCCCCCTGTCCTCCCTGTTTTTGCTCACCCGGGGCCGCTCTTTTATGAGCCCCTCGCCCCATGGATATGCCAAAGTCCAGTCTTGGGTGTCTTGGGCCACAATGCAGGTTGCGCGGCTCGGCTTTGTTACAGCGAGGGGAAAAGAGACCCTTCCGAAAACGTACAATTGTGGAGATTGCTGGAGCCATTTTTAATTGGGGTTTCGGAGCCCTTTTTGAAAGACTTTTCGAGCCTGTGTGGACCCTTTGGGAGCCGCGGAATGAGGGTTGGGTATTCTCAGCACTCCGAGCCCTGTAATTTCGAGGGATGGGCGGGGGGGTCCCGGAAACCGAGGCTGCGCGCTTGTCTCACCAGCTCTGCCCTCGCTCCTGGTACAGACGGCTCCTGAAGGTCGTTGCGGGGCTCTCTTGGGCAGCCTGGCTAAGCACACCCCTCGCAAACATCCCTCGGGCATGGCCCCCCCCCCCCCCCCAAAGCACCAAAACCCCAAGCCGCAAAGACAACTTCCTGAGTTAGGCTCAGCTTGCATCCCTAAGAAAGGGTTCGCAAGCACTGATGCAGCAAAAAGCGAGGAATACATACATGCCCAGGCAGGTACGTCATCGACATAGCTAGCCAGGCATGTACGTCATCGACATAGCTAGCCCACCCCCAACCATCTCGCACTTCTTCCAACCGTGTGCCGCAAAGCGTGCGTGCAAATAGAACATCCGGATAAGTGGGAAGTACTGTAAATGAATGGCAGACTCTTTGCACATGTTAAAGCAATGTCGGCCCGCTTGGGCTTGATTTGCTCATGATGATGCTTTCTCATTGCGTGCACTTAACGCGTGTAGTTCCCATGTAGCTTCGAACCGGGCTTGACAACAGCTTGGCCTTTGCTGTGCATCCGCTCCTGTGGCATCAAAGTCAGTTCTGTGGAGCGGCACAAGGGGTCATGAGCTAGATGTCCTTGTATTCCGGCTGATCCTTTCTCAGGGCTTCTCGATGACAGCGCTGGTGGAAAGAAAGAGCCCTAAACCCTAAACCCTAAACCCCAAACCCTAAACCCTAAACAAAGGACCAGAACGGGGGGTGCAAAAGCCCTAAAAACCCTAAACCCGGCGAGCTTAAGGCATCGACTCGGCCATCGTGAACTTCGGGCGCATTGTGGCTCCGTCAGTCTTCGGCTGCTCATCTCCGAGAGTTGGACCGCATTCCTTCAATGCATCTGATGTCTGTGTATATGGGGGGGTTTACGGAAAGGTACCCCTCATTTCGGAAACCCCCATGTATATGTATATGTATGTGTTGTGTGATGTTATGTTATAGTATCAAGTCCTGTATCATTATTTTCTATGGTGTAACAGACATTACCATGTATGTATACGTAGTTGCGTTCTACATTATCTCTTGCATATCATCTTGTCGGGCATGAAGGTAGTCCGTTGCCTCGATCCAGGTCTGCTGTATCGCAGCGATCAAGAGTTGACCCGGACAGTTTGGGTGGTCAAGATTGTCACAGTGGCCAGTGTCTTGGCTTTCAATGCTCATGTAGCTACGGGCTGCCCATGAACGCACTGCAGATACTATTTTGATACACATGGCAGTTGGCAGCAGGCTGGAAATCTTCTTTGGGGTTGTTCTAAACTGTCAGAATACCCTTTTCGGCTCCTGGCAATGCTATACTGTAGCAGAAGCTGCCTATTCGAGGTACGGTCTGCTTCCTGGCTCTGTTTCTGAAGCGCCACCGCGCCAATGCCAAGTAGCAGCCTTCTGAAAGCGAATGCGTAATCGCAGTTCCCTTGTGCTGGCCTGCGGGACGAAAATCAAGGCTTTGCCAATTCCCCCCCCCCCCCCCCCCCACCCCCCCCACAGCCCAATACTGCAGTCCTTGTCAGAATCCCTATGTCAAGAAGGGTTTATTGGCTTGTTTCCTGGAAACTGCCCATGCAAATGTGTGCCAGAGCCTGCAGTCAGAGAGTCGATGAGCTCCTCTTGCTATTGCTGCGTCAGGCTGGGGTTTGTGCCCTCGCCGTGCCGAGATGGCATGAAGCTCGGTAGCTAGCCGTTGCCCACAACGATGGTGTAAGGAACACTGTCATGCATCTCAGTAAGGCAGAAGATGATGCGGCACAGCAGCCTGACACGCAGCAGGCATCAGTCTTGAAGGCCCCCGCTTGGAAGTCATTCTCCCGATGTCATGGCTTGGCCGGAGAGCATTTTGCACTTCCGCATCGGTCTTTGCAAACAGGCGCAGGCTACCATACCCATTCGGAAAGTGCACCTTGTGTTCAACGCTGACAATGTCGACCCCTTTGCATTCTGTGTGGAAACAATCTAATGAATCAGCACTTATGGAGCTCAGGTGTGGGCCAACCTCCAAAGTCCAGACCCCACAGCCTTGTGATGCAAAGCGCGTCCGTATGCAGAAAACGTGTTCGCTGAGGTGAGAAGGCCAAAAGCGCTCACAAAGGAGTGGCTGCTTTGTCCTGGGACCTTGATGACACAAGACGTCCGGTACAGAGAATGTGCTCAGGACATGAATGCAGAAGCATCAGGATGTGCTCAGGACATGAATGCAGAAGCATCAGGAACCCGTGTTTTTTGTTGTTGAGGCCTGCGGCCACAGCAAAAAACTAAAGAAGGCGCCCCGCAGCAGCAACAAAAAAGCACGCTCTGCCGCAACAGCAAAAAACAACTCGCCCCCCCTGCCACAGCCAGATAAAAACACAAGCCCACGAGTGAGTGAGTGAGTGAGTGAGTGAGTGAGTGAGTGCACGAGCGCGCCCGCCGCAGCCCGCAGCAACAGCAAAAAAGCACGCCTTGCGGCAACAGCAAAAAAGCCGCGCCCCGAAGCGACAGCAAAGGCAAAAGCAATAACGCGCTCCCCACTGCCACAATCACGGGCCAGCGAGTGAATGAACAAGCGCACCCAACAGAAAACAAAAAGCTCCCCGCAGCACCAGCAGAAAAGCAGCAACACCAAACTCATCTTTCCGAAGCAGCAGATACCATAGAATGCAGGTTCGTTGGTCAGTTCTAGGTTGAAGTCCCCTTGTCAACCTTGTTGGGTACCCGAAGTATCACCGGGCTGTATGACAACAGCGGCCCCCCTAAACACTAAACCCTAAACCCTAAATCTTAAACCCTAAACCCGAAATCCTAAACCCTAAACCAAAAAACCCTAAACCCTCAGGCTGGAAGCCGCTCTTTCCCTACGGCCGGGAAGAGTTGAGGCGGCTGTCTGGTCTTCAGCCAGATCCCAGAGGCCCTTGGTGCCAGAGGATCCCACTAACTTGTCAACTTGTCTCGTTTTGGGGTTTAGGGTTTAGGGTTTAGGATGGGGGTTCCAAAAAGGATGGTTTAGGGTTTAGGGTTTAGGTTTGAGGTTTGAGGGTTTGGGGTTACCGCAGGCGATCTGTGCATATCCAGTCGTTGGAGGTGAGGATGATGTGGTGCAAGACCTTTCCAAAGAGTGGCGTTTGGAGGCAGGCATCGTAGCCTGTGCCCGCGCCCTGCTGCCACTCACAGTGGCAAGCTGCGCCAGGACCCATCGCAAGCATTGACGTATCTGCCAAAGGATGAAGCCCAGGCGTGAAGCCCGTGCTCAACCGCATTCCACGCACCATGGGCATCCGCAAGCATCCCCGAACCTCGGAAATCGGAAGCCTCTTCAGGCTGCCCGCCTGGAGAACATCTTCCAGCTCCAGTCGGGGGCCTGGAGGATCTGAGCACCCTGCTGCACTGACGTAGCTTGTTGTTTCCAATCCTAGGTTACACTCCATGTTGTAGGAGTGTAAGGCTGGAGCAAGACGTCATCGACCACCGCGCCGGGCTCAAAGGCACCATTGTAAAGGACACCTTGCAGTACTGGCAGCGGCTTTGGGGCAGCTGTGTGGAAGCCACTTGTAGCCACTTGGTCAGTTCGGTTGAAGCGAGTTCTGGGGTCATCTCGCGTCGCTTACGCTTGCTGCTCGTTGCAGGACAGCAGAAGCACGAAGTTCAACCATGTCATAGCTGAAAGGCCAGCGCCTCCATGGCGCCCCGTAGTACACTCTCATTCGGTAGTACTCCATGCAGCTGAGCAGCACAGGTTCGGACAGCTCTTGGAAGAGCTGGAGATGCTTTCGAACAGTCGGGGTCCAAGAGTGTGCAGAGCTTTGCAGAGGTGCAATAGTTGGAACGGCATCGGCGTGGGACAGAGGTTCGCGGCGAAGTGGCTACGAGTCGGGCTTTCCCTTAAAGCTCACGGCTCATGAGTTGTCGGGGATGTTGGAGGTTGTTTGATGTTGCTTTGTTCTTTTGCTCTATGACTCCCACCAGGTCGCATGCGACACTGCCTGTGACTCTGGAGGCATTTGCTGTACCCTTTGCCATGTTCAGCTTGATTGCCCGAAGCATCGTGGATGCAGGCTGTTGAGGCACGGATGCACGAAATCGAGAACGACTTCAGAAGGATGGGACGTCCTGGGCCGGACACTTAGGCAGCTTAGGCTTCGCCGCTGTATGCAGCATGCAAAGCACAGTGGGTGGAAGACAACCGAGTACTGCAAGCACGCTTCGTGTCACTGTGGTGTGGAAACACAGCGCCAAGGCGCAGTGTCTTTGGCCTGCCTTTCAATGAGCCGTACAAAGACTACAGGCCGCCTTGAAGCAAAGCATCGAACCTGGCTGGTGATGACTATCAGCTTGTGTCCTTGCAGCCTCATCTGGGATGCCATCCACCAGTCCCGCATCTTAGAGCTGGGCGGAGACCAAGCTGACTATGCGCTCAAGGCCCAATGACTTTTTAAGGTTTCGCCCCCCCCCCCCCCCCCATTTTTCCTGCGCATCTTGCAGGTCAAGGTCTTTCCGTATGCTGCCGGGGTTGGCATCTCGGATCCTTGCGAAGCATCGTCTGTCATCGTCGTCAGATTTTGTTGGTCTGCCAGATGGCTGAGGTGCTGAGCATATGGGTCTTTATTGCAGCCGCAATGGACATAGATTGACAAGTGAAGGGTTGCAGCTTAATTCGTGCTAATTCGTGCGACAATCGAACGGGAGATGCGGCTTGGACAGTTTAGCTCGACATGCCACACATCCCATCGCAACCGGACCGTCGTCGCAAAAGGTGCAGAGCTAGCCTGCTGTTGCGGAATGCTGCAGGGCAATTTCAGTCGAGTTGCCAGATTGTGCTGAATAGCTTCAAAATAAGGCAGCCCCACCTTAATTTGCCGGAAGACCATGCCAGTTCAGCTTGTTGAATAACTGAATTGGCACAAGTTGAGCTGGCCCACCTACAAGTTCTCATATTCCGCCGAAGTTCCCTTCCTGTTAGTTTGCATCATATTTTGTATTAAGATGTATGTCCTTTGGCTGGTTGTGCTTAACGAAGCCGAGGATTTTCATCCTGTTTTGCACAGCTGTGTGGCAGGTGACGGCGGTTCAATTCAATTCAATTCAATTAATGTTTTGCTTTTTGTGGGAGGGGGGGGGGGCGGGGCGGCCTTTAAAATCGGCACTCCATGTTGCGAGTTCTTCACTGCAACATTTTGTGGAAGCACCGCCGCCCGTTGTTGCAGAGTGCTGTTGAGAGTTCATTGTGGCGGGCTCAGCATGCATGTGAGAAGATTAGACGTATTCCGACGCGTTTTCTGCCTCCGAGGTGCCGGCAATCATGTCAAGGCCATGAAGCTGCATATGGGTGGCACACGCGGGATGAAAAGATGTGCGCTTCCGTGAGGCCTATGCGATTAATCTTGCCAACCCTGTTGGCAGTGTTTGCGTATCTTGGAATAGCAGCATCGTCCGGACCTTACGGCCTTACACGTCAGCAGCCACGGCAGGTTCTGCACTTAGCTTGCATCCCTTCACGCCCTTTCGTGCTTGCCTGTCCAGGATGGGATGCTTTCTGGCCGCGCGCGCGGGAAATGACAGAGGCCATGAGGGGTGTTTTGGTAACTGTAAGCCCTGAATCCGGGAAAGTGTTTGATCCTTGCTGCATGAGGCATACGAGGATCAGACCCTGCAGTGGCCAGGGCGCGCAGCAGTTGCTTGATTTGTTGATGCTGATTCGGGCGACGATGGTTTTTGGTTGCGCCAGGCAGCAGTGCAGCTGGATGTTCCCATGAAGGAGTCTGATTTGGTTCAGCCCAACGAGGACCGGTTCAGCATTGTAGGTGGTTCAGCATTGTGGGTGGTTTAAAGAGCACCAGGAGCCTGAACGAGCCACCTATTTGTATGGCTTCGTTCCTTTCGCAGAGCTACTGAACGGCCGCGTTCGGGTCCCAGTTGAAATCTGCGGCTGTGCGGTGGATGAGTTCGCGTTGTGCCGAGATTGCCATGATTTTCTTCTTCGTGCTCATCTTCATGGAGTTCTTTGCCGGGAAGGCGTGAAGTGATCTGCCCTGGCATGCTTGAGCTTCCGTTCAGTGATTGGCTTGAAATCCGAGGGCCTTTTTCAGATGATCGGCGAGCTTCTCGGCGTGAAAGTGACTGCAACCACGTCTTAGTTTCAATAGCCTTGGTTGCACTCACAACTCACGACCTGTCAGTTTTATGAGCTGCTGCACCACTGTAAGCTAGATGATGTTGAGATGAAGCACTTGTGGGTGTATGCTTGCGCTTAGCTGAAAATGCTGATTCTCTGTTACACTCTGCGGCGCTTGGATATGGGATGGTCTCGCGAATCTTTGAGTCTGTTTCAGATGAGGTGTTCGGTAATTATCATAACACTTGCTTCTCCGAGCGCTCTTCGAACGTGTTGACAGTTGGTGGCTCTGTTTCATCTTGAAATTTTCGGCAGAGAAACTGCTCGCATCTATCAAGCTAGGAAATTTGCATGGCGCATCTGCGTGGACGAGCGGCAAGCCAGAACGGCCTTGGGGATGGAAACCCATGAGCCACATGCCGTCAGTGCTTCGTCCGATTCGTCCGAGTCTTCGTCCCAGAGACCAAGAGACAAAATCACAAAATGGTTCAGTAAGGGCATCCTGTGATGTTCCCCCTTATACTAACAATCCTTAAAAGGGGCTGTAATAGGGGGTATTATAATCCCTATGAAGGACTGTTAGTATAAGGGGGAACATCCCAAGGGCAGCCCGTAGTGCTTGGTCACCGACGTCCAAATAGCTCCTTGAACTGACAATGCAAATCGCCCATTTGCACACGCGTGACCTGAAATGACACGTGACTTGGCTCAAGTGTTCCACGCTGACGATTGTGCCTACCGCTGCTGCGCCGGAGGCGGCTCGGCACACTTCAGCATAGTCTAACGTGGCTCAACCCGCTATGCCCGCAATGCCCTTGATTCTGCAGCATCGTGGCAAAGGCCATGCCGACTTCTCGAAAAACCGCGCTGAAATCAGTCTCGACCTCGAGACGGACATTTGCCAGTCCAAGAAGAAGACAATGCAGCATGTTTCTGCATTCCAAGCTGCGCACTTGCGAGTAGCTGAGGCCCAGTACGAGAAGAACATCGGAAAAGGAGGGCCAAGCCTTTTGGCTGGAACATCGAGCAGACCTTTCCAGGGATGTGTAGGTTCTCATGTTTGTGCATGATACGGCGGCATCAGGCAACTCCGGCAAGAGCAAGGAAGCGTGCCAGCCCGAGCGAGGGTGGAATGCTCTTCAGTCCCCAAGTTTCATGTCGGATCTTGCTGGTCATGTGGTGTTTCTGTGAATTCTGTGAATTGAACTGGACATACGTGAGACTCTCGCCGTTTTACAACACACTGCTTTAGCAGCAGCATTGGAACGACACTGAGGGCCCCGTTCACAGTTGGCCCTGTGGTGCTGGCCGTTTTTCTGTTCGTTGTGGCCCGCGCCTTGGCAAGTGCTGCGTCTCCGAATTAGCATCAAGCCTCTCGCAAAGCGGTAAAAATGTCTGATAGGTTGGATCTGCCATCATCCAGATCATTGCAAGTGCGCAGAAGGGTCAGAAAGCTCAGATGCATCTTGCAGCAAGTGAAATGGCTGACAACATGTGGCATAGTCCTTATTGAGATTCTTCAGGCCTCATCTAAGATTACCAATGACACGCAGCCGGTATTTTGACTCAATCAATCAAAGTGGCCACGCACCCGGAGCATTCTTCAAATTGTTCGAAGTGTGCTGACTGCCTTCGGCTCGTTCAAGGCTTTTTTGTGTAGCTGCTACTCGAGGACACATCCTGTCATTCGTAGGGTCACAGTTGTTGCCAGGGGTAGCACGTTCATTCTGCATTTGCCCTACAGGAAACAGTGGAGAAACAGTCAGCCGTGAGAGGCTTGAGGCGTAAACAGTTAGTTTTGCTGTGCAGTGGAACTCTTTCAAGGTCCAAGACAGGCTATGACAGGCTAAGATTTATGCAGCCCTTGTGCACAGGGGGTCTGCAGCAACAACTGTGTGTTGAATGGAAGTGTCTTGACTAAAGTGTGTGGCTTAGAGCGGGCGGAACTCCGCCCTCTGGTGCAAAGACCAGCGCTGGTTCACGTGCGCGCGTCCGTGTGAAAAAAAAACTTGCGTAGACCGCTCCAGCGACCTTGACGACCCATGTGCGCCATTGCACAAGCAGCCCTAAGACCCTAAACCCTCAGGGCCCTAACGCCCTAAGCTTGCAAAGCCCCACGGGCGGGATGCACACCAGCCCCTGTCAGCTGTCTACAAACACAAGCTGCCGGCCCAAAACAAAGAGCAGAAAAGCGGGCAAGTAGAAGTATCCAACCTTCAAGCCATGGCAGTCCGCAGGTGCGAGTGGGAACACACATGACATGGTACCTCTTGTTGTCCCTTTCCAGTTCTCATTTCCGAGCATTTTTTTTTAAATTTCGGGTACAGTGCGCCAAGAGGGACCATACTTTGCAAAGAGCTGTCCATGTGAAAGGATCCCTAAACCCTAAACCCTAAACCCTCAACCCTAAACCCTAAACCCTAAACCCTTGATCAAAGATTCTTCGCTGAAGCCGCTCCCGTGCGCAAGGTCGAGCTCGCTCCTGGTGGTGGCCGTGTGGAGCTGAGTGTAGCCATGGTACCCGAAAGCAGCTTACTTTCCTACTATTTGCTTAAGAACCCCCCCCAAAAAACAAAGAAAAATATTCCCTGTAAGGGCAATCTAGGGATTATGGAAAACCCGACAAGATGGATCTCAAGAGGAACCCTCGTGAGCCCCCAAAGGTTAAAAGGCACATCTACAGCTTCCACGTGTCACGATAATGATGCAAGCCCTCCGATGCCCCCGGATGCATTTAGAAGGTTTAGGGTTCTGGGTTGTTGGGTGATAGGCCAGTGAGGAGTCATCCCATTGTGCTAGTATAAAATGGCCTGTTCATGTTTGCACGTGATCTTCGTATGTGATGGTCTGATAGAATACACAGCCGGTCGTCCGAGCCCAACAAAGCAAGACGATGCAGAACTCATGAAAGCCGTAGCTGCACTCCGTCTGACTGACCACCTACAAGAGTACAGTGCCCAACTCAAGCCCATAACTCACCCTCACTACGCGACGTCGCCATCAGCATACGTGCAGTGTAGTGTGAGACTGCGAGTTGTATTTGGGGTTTGGTGGTATGTGTGCCTCACTTGACTACAGTGTCCCGGTTTCTGCTGCACTTGAAAAGGCGTCTTCGTGTAACAATTGTGCTGGTAACCGGCTAGTGCCCTGCGGTGCGTCCAGAGACTCAGCTCGGCTGGTGGTCTAAAGCAAAACCTAAACCCTAAACCGGGAAAAAAAAACCCAAACCTCAACCCTCAACCCTAAACCAACCCCGACCCCTCTAGCCCCCCGCCTCGAACAAGTTGATCTTGGGAGCTGCCAGGCCTTCCTCTGCAGCGCGTACCTGCTCTCGACCACCTTTGTGACTCCAGCCGCCCCAAAGGCCTGCCCACAGCATCTTAGGAAGTAGATTCCAAGCCCGGATGAGAGCAGATGGTGGTGGGGTGGCCTTCTAAGCAGCGCGCCAGCGAATTCTGCCTTGAACCTTGAACCCTCAACCCGAAAACCCCCTAAACCCCCCAAACCCCAAACCCCAAACCCCAAACCCCAAACCCCAAACCCCAAACCCCAAACCCTAAACCCTAAACCCTAAACCCTAAAGCCGCAGCAAAATTCTTCGTGCGAGGAGACAGCGCTCCGTGGTGCCGACGCCGCCCTGATCGCGGCCGGTGTGGCCTCCATGCCAGAGGCCATCGAAACATCTTTTTCCAAAGGGTTTAGGGTTTAGGGTTTAGGGTTTAGGGTTTAGGGTTTAGGGTTTAGGGTAAACTACAACAAGAACCTAAATTAACTAAGTCAGATACTATACCTGAATCAGCTATGGGTGGAATTAGGTTATATTTCACCCAGTGTTGGGGCTGAGTGGTCAACTATGGGGGGGGGACGATTCTTCCGGGTACTTTCACCCAACAATCGTACATCTCAGTCAAATCGCCTCAATCTTCCTTGGAGGCAGCACACGCGCGCCTGCCAGAAGAGTTTGTGATCTTCGCCCCCATCGTCGACGTTCTGCCCATCCTGCCGCACCGCTCCTCAGTGAGTCGGTGCTTTCGGCTTTTTCTCTGGGTTTTGGCGTACTGTACTTTAATACTTGTCTTGGTTCTGGGTGCCTACTGTAGCTACTTATACCTCAAAAGTATATACCCTAAACCCTAAACCCTAAACCCTAAACCCTAAACCCTAAGCCTCTACTCCAAAGGAGGGTTTTTCTTGGCTGATCAGACTGCCTGCAAGGGTCTTCTTCTTTCTCCTGGCCTTCCTCTGGCAGGCCTGGTTCACCCGTCCTTGCAATGTACCCTAAACCCTAAACCCTAAACCCTAAACCCTAAACCCCAAACCCTAAACCCTAAACCCGAAACCTAAACCCTAAACCCTAAACCCGAAACCCTAAACCCTAGACCCGGAACCCGAAACCCTAAACCCTAAACCCTGAAGCGAAGATGCCTCTGATATCCTTCCCCCGGCATCGCTTCAGCCAGGCAGCCGTGGGCTTCCGATGAGGTGGACGTAGCCTCAGGTTGCGACATCCGAAGGTCAGATGTGTGAGTGTATAAGTATGCAGCTTTTGGGCACCGAGACAGACCCAGGTGCTGAAGATGTTTTTGGATACCGGAACCGGCGAATGAATGTCATGGCCCCGGCTCGTGTGAGATGTCTGCTGAGCAAGCAGCAACCGGGTAAGTGAAAGAAAAGCCTCAGGCCTTAGCAACCGCAGCATCGCTCCTTCAGTTTGCTCCCAGGTCTCGCCGGAAAGCAGCCAGAAGCAACAGGCGACGCACGAACGCGCCGACAAAAAAATGGCACCTCGGTTGGCCTCTGCGCAGCTCAAGAACATGAGAAACTGTTATTGTTGTTATGATTATTGTTATCATTATTGTTATTATTATTGTTATTATTATTATTGTTATTATTATTGTGATGACTATTGTTATTATTATTATTATTATTATTATTATTATTATTATTATTATTGTTATCATAATTATTAATATAATGCTATTCAGAGAACAGTCAGAGAACTGAAAGTGCAGTCTGCATCGTCCAGATAGGGTCAAGGCTGAGCAGAAGGCCTGTGCAGTGTAGAGATCCCGGGCACCCCTCATGCCGGCATTGAGACACCGGAGGACATCCCTTGAGCTCAAGAAGACGAAGTCGGCCCTCAAAGCGAAATGCATGCTTGCAAGATCCGAGTTTTTCAGCAACAGCTCAGAGAAGTTCTTGCAAGAGCTGAGCACCATGCTAGAGGTCCATCTCTTTCTGCCAGAGCAAGAAATCATCAGAGCAGGCGAAGATGGCGACAGGATGTATTTCCTGAATTGGGGTTCGGTGGAGGTTCTTCTTGCTGATAAAGTGATTGGCGTTTTAGGCAGTGGAGAGGTTTTCGGCGAAATGGCACTATTTGGAAATGGCAAACGCACCTGCACTGTCCGAGCCATCGACACGTCCGACTGCCGCAGCGTCAATCAGCACAGTTTCCAGCGGCTTCTGACGGCTTTTCCCAAAGAGCGTCAGCGATTTGAGAAGCTTGTGGAAGACCGAATGCAGGAGACTGGCAAGGTGAAACAGGACATTAAGCGAGAGCGAGATGAGCGAGAGCGTGACGAACGCACATCTGTTGCGTCAGGGTCGTCCAGACTTCGTTCGATAACTCTGAGAAGTGTGTCGGTGATCGCCAAGATGGGCGTGAAGGGCCTTCATCCTAAATCTGCATCGGTGGATGGGCCTGTCGGGTTGTCCACGGCCGAGCCTGCTCGAAGGCCGAGACGCACCCGACCAGCAACTGATGGTGAGGTTTGGGAATACTCGGGTTCCAGACTGTCTACCGACTCAGCCATTGGTGTGGGTTCGGAAGCTTCAGCAACTGATGGTGAGGTTTGGGAAGACTCGGGTTCCAGACTGTCTACCGACTCAGCCGTTGGTGTGGGACTGGAGGCTTGCGAACAGTCCACTGCCGAGCCTGCTCGAAGGCCAAGACGCACCCGACCAGCAACTGATGGTGAGGTTTGGGAATACTCGGGTTCCAGACTGTCTACCGACTCAGCTGCTGGTGTGGGGATGGAGGCTTGCGAACAGTCGAGACACACCCGACCAGCAACTGATGGTGAGGTTCGGGAAGACCCAGGTTCCAGACAGCCTATCCACTCAATTCCCGTTGTGCTTCTGGAAACTTGTGAATCCGTTGGTGCGCAGTCGACTGCAGACGAGGGGGCAAGCATGATTAGTCTGAGTCGCCGGAGCTCAGCAGGTACTGGCTTCAGTGGTGATATCATTTGTGAGACCAGTGAGGGCATGGACAAGCGTTCGCCGGGCTCATGCGTTCCGGAAGATGAAGCCGGGAGAGCATGCCTTGCAGTACCCGCAGCTCGGACATCGTTGTGTACGTTGTGCTTGTGCATGAGTGTTATTATCTCCATGCACATAGGTCATAGGTCATAGGTCATAGGTCATAGGTCATAGGTCATAGGTCATAGGTCATAGGTCATAGGTCATAGGTCATAGGTGCAATCTAGAAGCATGAGCTAAGACTATGTTAGACAGTCTCCATGAAGCATCTTGGGCATGTGACCACGTGAACCCTGAGCTTCTTGCAGGAGACGGCGGCGACGGCGCCGGAAGCCCTGCGAGGGCCGCGGGGACCCCGCCGCATTCCGAATCTTCCGTCGGAGTGCTTGCCGAAGTCGGCGCCGGCTTCGAGCCCGCATCGTCGGAGGTGCAGTTTGGCGGCACCCTTCAGAAGCCCCAAAAGACACATCCAAGCAAGACAGAGGCGATGCAAGAGCTTGGATGGGAGCCTTGCGAGCCTTGAGAGCCCGAGCCCAAAGGCACCATCAAGCAAAGGCTCCGGCATCGGTGACATGCACACTGAGAAGCAGGAGGAAGGAGGTGAAGCTGGTGCCATTTCAGCCCTCCCGGTTGCTCTTCCTCAGGTTGAGGAGGAACGGGGCAACTCGAGTGCCATCGCTCCGGCCGCCGTGTCGCCATCTTTCAACGAGGCTTTGGACCGCCTTGGGGCGCTCCCTCCCATCCGACTTCTTTACACAGGAAGGATGGACCTCCACCCTTGTTTTGGCCCTGTCTCCTGCGAGCACTACGAGCCCGAAGGGTCTGACAGTCTCAGCAGCGAAGCGAGCGAAGTGAGCGAAGCGCGCGAAGCGCGTGAGGCCAGCATGAGACAAGCCGAGCACAGCAAAGCGCAGAGCTGCTTTGACATGTACATGGATGCTGGAAAGTTCAGACTCGGACAGGCAGCAGCTTGTCCGCATGGCAATCGATCTCGCACAGGTTTCTGGTGGCTCGACAAAGGAAATGTCAAGGCATGAGCTACAACCGCTCAAAGCTGGCGCTGACTCATATTTTCCAGCTTTGTGTGGTCTGCATGTTTGTAATTACCACTTCGAACCGCTGCACCCGGGAGGCAGAATTCACATCATCACGTTGTTTGCTGCTGACACATGTGGTTTCAAGATCAGCAGCACGAAGTCATCGACTCTCACTGCCAGGTAGAAAAAGGGTGGAGCGACTGATGTCACTTTGTTGGTGACGTTGCCAGTGCAAGTTCACTCATGTTGCTGTTGGATGTGTGTTGGTGGGTGGCCTGCATCTCTCACTCCAGGCATTCGGTACACACGTATACACAAACCAAGTGTGGACAGCTTGCCTGCACTGTTCTTTTCTGAGTCACAGGTTGCGCCATGATGCATCATTGAAACACACCTCCGCGATAGTACTTGACAGTCTTCGCTCATCTTTGCCCTTCTGCATGGCTTCAATCGGCGCCCGTGGAGATGGACGTTTCCCTACCTGCTTCGGGCGCCTTGGCCGAAATAGTCGGAACCCTATCGCAAGCATGGTACCGACAGGAGCTCTGCCTTTCTTTGGCTGCGACAGGTGATTCCACCTCTGAATCGCGGGCTGGAATGCCACCATTTTTGCGCCACTCCGTTGGAAGAAAAAAGGGTCATTTTGTAGGGTTACTGGAGCTGGTACTCATGCAACTAGGAAGGGTCTCTAGTGAAGAATCCCCCTTTTTCACGGTCAAATCTGAACGGGTTCTTGGGTTTGAGACCCAACCTCTATTTCCAAGCCACTAAGAACCACCCTCGGCAATGAATTCATCTAAGCTAGTAGCCAGACCATGTGCTCCAGATCGACTATTGAATCACCCCTGTCACACCGTCTCCCTGATATCATGAAGGAAAAGTGGAGGTCAACCGCTCTCTCTTCCCCAAAGACCCGTGCAAGATTACTGTTCTTACGGGCTTTTGGTAAGAAATGCCAGGACGTACCATTCGTCTCTCTCACTCTTGTTCCACAGCCTCGTTCACGCATCACACCTTGAGACCCCAACTCTCATATCTCGGTCTTTGTTGATAGCCACCAACACCAACACCACCACCACGACCACCACCACCCGCGTTGCTATGCGTTCCTGCAATCTTGGAATGCGTCTACGAGGCCCGCTATTTGAGCAATGGCGGAAGTTCGAGCAAGGCTCCGTGAAGGGCCAGACTGGCACGGATGGCAAGATGATGGATTGTGGAACGTGTTTCACGCCGCCAACGAAAACCTGTGAATGTGAAAAGCAAGCCAGACAGATATGCGGGATGCTATTGGCTGGCTGAGAAAGTCTATTCATGGACATGGCGGGTCGCAACATGTTTTTGGATACAATCCCGCATCAATCCATAGTTGGGCGCACACCAATGTCGTGACCAAGTTGGGTTTCGACCCAAGCTTGGCGTGGATCATGCGTTTGCTGCCCTCGAAGAGGTCGTTGGCAAGTGCGTCGAGTAGAACATGCCAGTGTGGATCGCAAGCTTGGACTTGATTTTTTTGACCGAGTCGAGTTTGATTCATTGTTTGCCACGCTTTGCAATCAGCGTTCGTTGACTTTCGGATCTGTGTGATTCTCGAACAGGTCATGTATCAAGTACGGCGCTTGTTTGGACATTGAATGAGGTGTGAGGCCAGGAGGCTCGCTTTGTGGCGACCTGCTGGGCCTCCTGGGCCGACTCGCTGCGGCCATTGCCCGGCGTGATGCCGCATCTACTGATGAGCTCGCCCTTGCCCCGCGTAAGCAGTCGATGACGTCGCTTACCGTGCCCACCTACGCGAAGCTGATGCACGAGTTTTCGTTGCCCGCCCCACCCTGCCCGAGTTTTCCCTGGCATCTTTCGCGCGCTGAGCTTGCGCAGGCTCCGCCTAACCCTTTTTCTCGCGGCGCCAGATGCCGGTGGATCACCGTCGCTGCCCGTCCGCGCTCAAGCGTCCGGGCCTGCAGAGAAGCAGGGGCGACGCTTGCCCTCAATGTGCTTGTCAGGACGACAGGCACGCAGACGTCACATCGCCAACGGCCTGGTTTTGTCGTGGGGGGGTGCCCATGTCGCTGTCGACTCCACCTGGTCTCTCCTCTCCGCTCGGTGCCGCTGGTGTCCCGCGCAGGGTTAGGAGTCAGACCGCTATCACTGCCTTGCTAGCTGCCAAACGAGCCAACCAGCCACCTCCCCGGTCGCATTCGTCTCGGCCTTGGTCATGCGTCATCTTTCTCGCAACATCGTGACCCTTCGTGGCCAGCAAACGGGCTTGGAGAATGCATTTCGAAGATGGAGGGCGAAATTAAGTTCACAAGGTGTGCATGTTGACATCTCGGATCGGTGGACCAGTGTGAGATACGCGGATGACATTATTCATCATTATTCTGTAGGCAAAAACGGCCGATGAGCTTGTGCCAAATGATAGAGCAGCTTCCTTAAGAGTTCAAAAACGTCGGGTTGCATTTGTGCTTTCAAAAAATCAAACTCCTCACGAACGAACACTTGACGCTCCATTGCGTATAGGCCGATAAAACGTGCGCAAATCCGAGATTGCAGGACGTATTTAGTCGTGTTTTCGAATTTTCAGACCGCGCGCATGATGAAGCAATGTCAAGCGTGATCGCTCAACAATCATGAGCGCAACCCTACACCTTGAACCCTAAATCCTAACCCTGAACCCGAAACCCTAAACCTTCTTCTTCTGTTTTTGTGCGAAATAGTGCTTTGTTGCTGTGTGCAGACTGGAAACAAAGGGCCAAAGGGTTTGGTAGAGATTTCTGACGCTGTAACAACAACGTTGCATGTTCTCGTGCGCTGGGGCATTTTCCTCTCCATGCCCTCAGAGGAGCGTAGTCTCCTAGGCATCATAAAAGAAAGCAAGCGACGCGTCTCCGCCTGCAAGCTGGGCCCAGAGTTGGGTGAGGGCTTCGTGCTGCACCGTGGAACCCTTTGCTCGCCGCCTTCCCCTTGACATTGGCAGCGTGGTCTGGCTCGGTGTGGCGACTTCGCGGACGGCGGTGCGGTGCGCCCGTCATCGCGGAAACACCTCTGATGCGCCCTGTCGTGTTTGCGCATCTTGTGTTGACTCTCTCGCACATGCATTGGTAGAATGCCCTGCTCACCAAGCAAACTTGTGTCCGGCACGTCCTTTCGCTGCACAAGGGCCACCCTCGTAGTGAGACCATGGACACTGAGAGCATCCTCCCTTAAAACCGTTTTCCAGCGCATTGTCAAGACATGTTCCCCCCAACATGAAAAAATCGGAATCGGTACGGGTACCCATTTTTTGGGTAGGGGGGGGGGGACCAACTCTCCCCCCTCGAAGGGGTGGTCGCAGACTTTGTTCTGCACAGACCCGGCAGTAAACGCAGCCCGAAGAGCACAACATTGCATTCGTTGGCCGTGTGTGCCACGCAGCCGGGATTCATTCTCTTATTGGCCCGTTATAATACTATTATCTTTCTATCTTATAAGGAATGAGCGAGAGAAGATAAGGCCCTTTCATCCTTTTCCCCTCTATTATTATATTAAGGTTTACCGGGCGGTAAGAATATTATATTTGCCGGTGGTACTTCTTTCTTCCTCTTATCCCGTGATAATAATATAATAATAAGGGCTTTTTCTCTTCTTAGTTCACATTATAATAAGTGTGAAAGGAATGAAGTGAGTGAACACGCGAATCATGTGTCAGCCACAGAGTGCGTACGAAGTGAAATAGCACACTCATGAAGGATTTCCTATCCCCCATCCTGCTTCCCCTTGTTTGGGGGGGGGGGTCGATAAATGCAAATTGCAAATGGGGTGGGGGGGGGGGGGGGGAGGAGGGGGGGGGGGGGGGGGGGGTTGTTAAATGCAATGCACATGGGGCGACGTGCCTGGCTCTGTGCTGCAAAGCCTGCCATGTAGGTCCAATGTGTCATGGTTGCAGGATCACTCTTCAAGGAGTCCACTGGACTTTGTCTCTGAACTAGTTTTGCCTTTTTTTGGCTTAAGTCCGCTGGACTTAAGCCCCCACTGCAAATAATGATTGCGCTGCTTGCATGTATTTGGGAAAGTTTCTGGGGCTTAAGTCCACTGGACTTACACCCCCACGGAAATTGTGTCTTTATGTTGGCGTTCTGGTTTGGGCTTAAGTCCGGCGGACTTAAGCCTCCGGAGGTGGTGCACGTCCATGGGGGGCATCAATTTGCTAGACATATCACCATCAAACTGGCTGGCAAACATACGTGCGGCACGTCTTTTGGCTTAAGTCCGCCGGACTTTCGCCAAAACTTGTTGGCCTCAAAAATGGAGATCAAATGTCACTGAAGCATCCACTGGGCTTTTGCTGGTCTGGAACTTGAAAGCTGTCACATAACTGCCTTAAACGAATTTGCACAAGGTTCAATCCGCAACTGGTTGCGAATTGAACCCTGTGCAGAAACATGCATAAACAAGAGAAGAACTCATGTTGGAAATGATGGGGCGTGCGCAAGGTTCAATCCGCAACTGGTTGCGAATTGAACCGCGCGAGGAAACAAGAGAATATTTCATCTTGGAAGCAAGGCTGGGCCGTGCCGACATGCTGGCTGTAGCACTTTCACCCATTTTCACCCTCTGACGTTGGGAAGTTCTCAATTGCATTTTTCCTTTGAGGCATGCTGAAACGACGTCCGAAAATGCGGATTGCACTTTTCAACCCCCCCCCCCTCGCGGACATGGGGGATGATTTCCTCACAGATTCTCTCATTTTGCTTTCTTTTCCTCTCTTCATCCTGGATCTTGGAGTCGTTAAGCGCGCGTTCTCACCACGACCATCTTGCAGCCTGCCTTGTCGAGCGTGCTGCCGCCAGGATGTGCCGCGAAGCTGGTGCGGCTGTCGCTCTCAATGTGCTTGTCTGCGACCTCAACGTCCACCCAGTCCGGCAAGACGACAGGCGCATTGAGGTCATTGCCAACGGCCTGCCATTGTGATTGGGCGCAACTCGCAGTCGACACCACGCTCGTTTCTCCCCTGACGGCTGCCGGGCTACCCCGCAGGGTTGCCGGCGGAACAGCTGGCGCTGCGCTTGCGACGCCAGACGTGCCAAGGAGCGCACACTTTAGTCCGCCTGATTGCAAGGTGCAATGGGGCGGTCCGCACCGCCGCCTTGAGCCGCCGCCATCTCTGCCTACACGCTCCGGTGGTCGGCCCTCCATCCTTCGCTGCCGCGCGCTCCTTCGCTGCCAGCCTGCTCTCTCTGCCTGTCACTGGATGGGGAGCTGCCGCCCCTGAGCGACTGACTCAGCTGCGCAGCCACCACGAATCGTTAGTCTAGCATGGAAGCCAAGGCCTGGAGCCCGAAAGATGTCGATGTCGCTTCTCCGCGCGGCGCTTGCGTGTGGTCATTCTGCTGATACTTCACATCCACCTTGCGCAGAGATGTCGACCTGTGCTTGAGATTTCAATCATTTTCAATCGCTTGAAGAAGCGATGCGTTTGCCATACACCAGAACTCTCCAAACCTGGACGCTCTCCTGCGGACGCAAAAAGGAGTGGCAAAAAAAGAAAAAGAAAAAACTATCCAAAACCCAGCGCGACGGTAGCGCACGACCCGGTGCCGATGTGAGGAATATGAAGTCTTATTAATGATATTTTTTCTTCTTTTTGGGGGTTTTCTAGTTTCTGAAGCTCTATTATTTGTATCCTTCTTTTGGACATCTTTTCATTTATTATCTTGTCCAACTTTAGGGATGTGGCCTGGAGAAGCTTTCTATCTTCCAGATCCTTGTGAATTAATACACTTCTTTTATCTAATGCTGCCATATCTTTAGGAAATGCTTTTATTAATTCATAAATTTCATCACAATATATTATTTTCTTCACTTTGTGGTCATTCTATTTATCTTCTCTTTTATTAGTTTGCGATTAAAGAATTTCGTAATCTCGCATATTCAATTAATGATTCACTTTATAGTTGGCCAGCGCTGGCGCTTCAGCAGGCCCGAGCGCGCAAGCTCCGCACCTACCCGGAGTTCCAGCCAGGAGGGCAGGGACGTTGCCGGTTGGTGGTCTTCGGGCTCGAGGTTGGCGGGCGCTTCGACAGCCAAGCGTTGGCGCTGCTCCGAAGGCTCGCTCGCGCTCGCGCCCGGGACCGCGCCCCGTGGGCAAGTGTGGCCGCGGGCGCTGGACAGCCCTCGCGTTGCTGGCCGCATTGCCGGCGCACGCGCAGAGCTTGCTGGAGTTGCCGGTGCGCCCCTGCGATGCCGGTGACGGCGGCGAGCCGCCACTGGGAGAGCTCCTTGCGGCGCCGCCGTAGTGGCCTGGAGTCATGACTGTGCGGCGGACAGAAAAAAAGGCGTGTGGAAAAAAAAATTCCGAGAACGATGATCTCACTGCCCAAGTCGAACCAGCACATCTTTGTACCGTTCCGCGCAACTTTTTACGCTCACAGGGACGAGTCCGAGAAAATGTGTTCGCGAGCTCACTAGAAATTCAATGAACAGGCAAACGAAACATCCAAGAACCTGATGTTGGACATGTTAGACATGTTCACTGTTGTTCCAAGCTTGTGCAAAGATGGGAAAGGATGCGAGAAAAGACCACCCATGCAATATGTTCGCTTCTCTCTCCTGCTTTTGTCATTTAATTTCTGCGCGTCACCTTGTATTCTTATTGGGGGAGTGAGTGAGCCCACAAGAATCATGTAAACTCGCGAGTCTTGTTTGGTGGTTTCCGCAGCCCTTTGTTCAGCTGCGGGCTCCTGCAAGCCATTGTCGTGCCCGCTTTCGCAACTCCGAAGCATGAAATGACATGAAGTTTTTTTATGTTTTTCCCACACGCCTTTTTCCGCAGCATGTTTATTCAGGCCCATGATGCACAGATCATCACGGGTCTCCGAAGCATGGGATGCGCATGGCCAAGGTGAGAGTTTCTGGCTCTCGCACAGAGTCTGGCGAACTATGCCGCTTGGCTGGATGAGTCGAAGGTATTGACAGTTGAGCTGTGTTTAGCTGCCTCACCTCGCTTCTCTGCATTGCCAATTGTAGCTGGAGTCTTGCTACAGCTCGACTTGCATCCCAACAAGGGCTGCACTGTCATGGTTACTGATGAGGACAGCTGGCAAGTGGAGATCTCTACAAGGGCGGACCCGCAAGCCATGGCAGGTTGAGGGCCTGTCAAGATCCCCTCGTCTAGTACGGCGAGGCGATGGGCCACCTCGGGATATCTACCTATAAGTGCCGATGAACCTTCTGTCTCCTTTTTGCAACCAGGTCTCTTGCAGCCTCCTAAACCCCCAAACATTAGACCCTAAACCCCAAAGCCCCAAGGCCTCCCCCCCGGCCAGTATCGAAAAGCAGTTGACATGACAAATACACTTCAGAGTTAGAAGCGGGTAATTATGGCGAAATCCTTATTTTGGGTACTTACAACCCTATTTCTGAGTACGCATGAACATCCAACCCTACAAAAAGCGCACAGTAATCAACAGGAGATCAAAGGAGAATCCCATAGCCCATATAGCCCTAAATCCCTGCTTCTGTGCATCCAAGCAGGCCACCCATCCGAGCTTTGTGCCGAGATGGAGATCCACGTTGCCGCGCAGGCGCGCTCTGCCGGATGCCACGTAACATGTCACACCGTGCTATATGGTATCGGAGTATAAATAGATGTAGCGTGTTAGGAGTCTGACTTCAAGTTCATCGACATGCTATTCGCTGGCATCCTTGGTCTGAATCTTGGCTCCGGAGTGCTTGAACAGGCTTGCAGAGATGTCTGGCTGTGTGAGCGGTAAACATTCAAAAAGGTTCATGCTCCAATGGTGGTGCGTTTGGCTCGCCGAGACATGGAAGAACTCGGCACTGCCATGCAATGTTCAAGCTTTCGCTGACGCGCTCAGCTTTAGTAAGCAGGCTGCAATTCTGTTGAAGTAAGTGGCTGGTAAGTCGCAGAGATTCTACGAGCAAGCTAGACGATCCAACTCGTGATGAAGCATCTTCGGTTTTTTTTTGGATGGAGATCAATCGAGTGTAAGTGATGGTGGGCACCACTTCCGGGCAGAAAGCCAATGGCAGAGTGCCCCGCACTGTTGGCGAGCTTCTACAAGACGTGGAAGTTATCTGCCGGACGGATGTTCAAGGATTGGATGCAGCAGGCGCCGATACTGCGGCTGCTCGATCATTAGCTGCAGAGCTACTGGAATGTTGCGACAAAGTTGCCAAGGCACAAAGGGCGAAACCATCCCTCAGCAACGGACAGACAGCCAAAGGGAAGTTGCAGCACTCTCAGCGGCACATGATCGTGGCATACGCGATTGTTGTATCTTTGACGCTTCCCTATTATGTATGTGTGCGCTACCGAAGTTGGTTCGTGGACGAAGGCTTCGCCATTTATCGGAATCCTGATGCCCGAGGAGAGACGTTTGTTCTTGAGGTGCTTAAGCACGACTTCTGGGGAACATCTCTCAATCCACCAGAGGGTTACGTCACCCACAAGTCTTGGCGCCCTCTGATAACCCTGATGTATGCTGCAGAGTGGCAGCTCTGTGCTCGATTTGGCTACGCCGGTTTTGAAATGAAACCAATGCGACTTCTTAGTTGCCTGATTCACAGTCTGAATGCTGCGTTGATGCTTGCTGTCTTGCTTCAGGCACGAATACCACTGCGGTGGGCTGGGTTGGCTGCGGCATTGTTTGCTACACATCCTGTACACATTGAAAACATCGTGTACTTGGTGGGGCGTGCGGATTCCTTCTCTACTACCTTCTACCTGCTCACGATTCTCTTCTACTTGCGCAGCTTGAGGACCATTACGCTGAGTCCGCTGCGGGCTTTGTGGTTCTATGCTGTTCTGGCGGTGTTGAACATTCTGTCGGGGCTCTGCAAGGAACCAGGCTTCACTGCTTTGTTTTTCGTTGCTTGCGTGGAAACAGCGCTGCGATGCAGGTGGGGGCACGTCCTTGGTCTGCTGGCCTCCTTTGCTGCCATAGCAGGATTGCGAACTTGGTACGTTGGCGGTACGGATGCAGGCTTTGGTTACGTGGACACCCCGATACGTTACCAAGATGCGCGGCTACATGGTAGTGAGTCTCAAGCATTGCTGGTGCGGACCTTGTCATACCTGTTTCAGCACGGGTACTACGCGCAATTGCTGGTTCTCCCCTGGAACCAGTCGTGGGACTACTCGTACGAATCCTTGCCCATGGTGACAAGTGTTGCAGATCTTCGGCTCCAACTGATCATTGCAGCCTACTTGTCGGTGGCAGCCTTGGCATGCCACGGGATGCGTCTGCGCGGAAAGTGCCCCTCCGTGCTCATGGGACTCGGCCTCATCGTCGTTCCATTTGTTCCCATGTCAAACCTCTTCTTTCTGGTCGGTACAACAATTGGGGAACGGTTGCTTTATCCGCTCACGGCAGGCTGGTCGCTTGTAGTAGGCGGTCTTGGTAGCCGATGCTCCTGGCGATGTGCGTGGATAGTCGCTGCTGCTGGTCTTTCAGTGTATACAATCAATTCGAACATCCGCATGTCTCATTGGGAGTCCCCAGCAGTTCTCTTCCTGAAGGATGCTCAGCACTGGAACGGAAGTGTGAAAGTGCTACATGCAAAAGCCTCTGAGCTCCAGGCGCTTGGAGAGCTGGAGGAGGCTTTGCACTATTACCAGAAGTCCCTGGATATCTTCGACGACCAGGCTATCACTGACTACTGCATTGCCCGGATCTTGATCAACTTAGGCCGCTTCACCGAAGCTCACCAGCGTTTCGAGAAGATTTTGAATGGGCACGGTATCGGACTCCACGATGGCAACGACTTTTTGTGGATGACAGACCTGGGGTACTTGCTGGTGCAGCTGGGTTCCGATCAGAACGGTGCCCATTACCTTCAGGAGGGGCTGAACCGTATGCCCTATAATTGCTATGGCTGGAATGCACTTGGTGTGGCACAGGCACGGCAAGGTCAACTGGAGCAAGCGCATGCATCGCTGACTCAGAGCTTGCAATGTGACCCTGAGTCGGCTGTCACGTGGAGTAATCTGGCTGTTCTATACGCCTATGGCAATGCAGGAGAACAAGCGTCAGAGGCCCTCCAGCAGGCACTGCGCCTGAATGCTTCGCATCCTGCAGTAGCACACAACCTTCAAGTACTCCAAGGCTTATCCCCACACCTACAGCCCAGATTTGAGCTTTACATTCCATATCCCGGACGTGGTGGCAGATAGCAAAAAGGCAATTTCCGCTGGCTCGAGACATCTCGAGACCTCGTGGACCTAAAAGGTAGCTGGAACCATGAGCCCTCAGTATGGTCCCTTATGCTGGCTAATCTGGATCCGAAGTATGGGCCCTTGTTATGCATAATGTATAGAGGGGTTTTCTAACAAGGGACCCGATTTCAGGGGCCACACTGGGAACCTTAAAGAATCGGAGCATGCCCTCGGCCCTTCACTTTGAGCCCCATCGTCTTAGGAAGGCGAGCCACGAAGCGAACCCTTTCAACCCAAAACCCTTATGCCCAGAACCCGTAAACCGCAAACCAAACCCCTAAACGCTTAGCAATTTGCTGCTGGCAGCTGCCGAGGATTGCGCATCAAGCTGGCTTGGGTCGCAGACACAGTTTCTCAATGGACACATGGAGATTGGCCATGGATGACCCAGAAATACCCAGAATCGTCTTGCTTCCTTCTTGTTAAGTTAGTAGGGCAATATAATTAATTCCCCAACAGATACGTTCATGGGGTCTACAATAAAGGCGCGGTGACCAAGCTTCGGTTGACGGGCCATGAGAAATCCGAGTGTGCTCGCGGCGTGAGATGCTTCTTTCACGTGAACCATATAGGTCGCTTTTTGTGAGAACGAAACAATCTTGTTGCAGGAACATGTCTCCTTCAGCGCGAGTTGCGTCCAAGTGTCCTACGAGCGAGAATGCATCAGTCAGTCTTTTTTGTTGCGCGTGGATTGCGATCCAAGCGTGCCCGCGACGCGAGAACGCAGCAGTTCCTACGCATGCACAAACATGTGTTTCTTCGCTCGCAAAGAAATCCAACTGTGCTCGCGCAGGAACTCAGCAGACACATGCACATGTTCTTGCGCAGGGAGAAAAAAGGGCGTACGCCGCCGAAACCCTGTAAACCTTATAAGCCCTGATGAATTCTTCAGGTCGCCCCTGGTCTGGGCCCCGAGTGGAGACGCACCCGACCACAACTGATGGCGAGACTTTCGGATTCCAGACTGTCTACTGACTCAGTCGCTGGTGTGGCGATGGAAGCTTGCGTGCTCGAAGGCCGAGACGCGCCCGACCAGCAAGTGATGGCGAGGTTTGGGAAGACTCGGATTCCAGACTGTCTACCGACTCAGCCGCTGGTGTGGGGATGAAATCCCGACTGGGGATGGAATCCCGATGGAAGCTTGCGAACAGTCCAGCCGAGCCTTCTCGAAGGCCGAGACGCACCCGACCAGCAACTGATGGCGAGGTTTGGGAAGACTCGGATTCCCGACGGTCTGCCGACTCAGTCGCTGGTGTGGGGATGGAAGCTTGCGAACAGTGCAATGCCGAGCCTGCTTGAAGGAGCAAAGCGCAGAGCTGCTTTGGCATGTACATGGGTGCTGGAAAGTTCAGACTCGGACAGGCAGCAGCTTGTCCGCAAGGCACAGGTTTCTGGTGGCTCGACAAGGGAATGCCAAGGCATGCGCTGCAACCGCTCAAAGCTGGCGCTGAGTTTCCAGCTTTGTGTGGTCTGCATGTTTGTAATTACCACTTCGAACCGCTGCACCCGGGAGGCAGAATTCACATCATCACGTCGTTGTTTGTTGCTGACACATGTGGTTTCAAGACCAGCAGCACGAAGTCATCGACTCTCAGTGCTAGGTATAAAACGGTGAGGCGACAGATGTCACCATATTGTTGACATTGCCAGTGCAAGTTCACTTCGATTTGTGTTGGTGGGTGGCTGGCATCTCTCACTCCAGGAATTCGGTACACGCATACACAAACCAAGTGTGGAAAGCTTCTTTGCACTGTGCCTTTCTGCAGCGCACGGCATCATTGAAGTAGATTTCCGCGATAGTACTTGACAGTCTTCCTTCGCTCACCTTCGCCCTTATGCATGGCTTCCATGGGTGCCTTTGGAGATGGAAGCTTCCCATCCTGCTTTTCCTGCTTCGGGCGCCTTGGCCGAAATAGTTGGAGCTCTGCCTTTCTTTGGCTTCTCTGCTGATCTCTGCAGAAGGTGCCGGCTTGCACCGGCTTCAACATCACCATCTCCGGCACTTTGAGCCTGACAGGTGGTTCCACCTCTGAATCGCTTGATGCACTGCAAGGCGGGCTGGAACGCCTTCCTCTTGCGCCACTCCTTTTGTGTGTTTGAAGGCTTGCAGCTGATCTTTGATCTGCTCCCAAGCTCAGCGTACTCATTCATCGACGCTTGGCCTTAGATTCAGCCTTAGATGCCTTGGGCTGCTTCATTCCAGTGGGCTCCGTCCTCGAATTGCGCAGGATGGCATCGCCTTGGACATACGGGACGATGGTGGCTCTGCTCAGGAAGTCCGCCGCGTCGTCCTAAGTGGTTTGGCTTTTGATACCTCCCACGAAGCCTGTGGCATGAACTCTGAGGACACTATGAAGACATGCTGCAGGACATGCGGGTTGCACACCCTCACAGTGGAGCAAGGGCTCATACTCGGGTTCAAAACTTATCTTGCGCCATGATTGGCCGAGGATGTGATGAAAGTGCCTCCGCCCCCAGAACCAGGACACTTCTGTCATCTCTTGCCATGACTCTGCAAGTACAATGACAGCATTGGATAAGAACCGTCTACAGTTCAGTTTCAATGAGGTACCCTCGATTCTGAATCCGGGAAAAAAGCGATTGCCTCCTATACTTCTTTAACTTTTCACACAACATGATATCCAGCCCCTCAATTCCTCATTCACCGTTGCTCACTCTTTTCGCATGCCGGGGGGTCTCAAGGCTCAGGGTGCCCATGTCTTAATCCAAAGATTTCTTGAGCAGAGCTGTCATTCCGCACAAGCACAAGACGCCAGTGACAAAGGCAACTTCTGGACCTGGGGGTTTAGGGTTTAGGGTTTAAAGGGACCCCAAATGTAAGAGTCCCCCAAATAATAGTAGGACCTAGCAGGATTTCCTGGTCTTTAGGACCTCAATAAGGTACCCCTGCTGCAATTTCGGAGATCCCCATCTAACTGCCCTGGAGGCTACAACATGCGAGTCTTCATAGGCCCGATCTCAAGCGAGCTTTCGGAGGCGCACCGTGGGTTCTGGGTTTAGGGGTCTAGGGGTCTAGGGCATGCCTTAACAACCCAAAACCTACTTTTTGCCTGAGGATCCAATAAGGGTTTTCTGGTCACAAGCACCCAAAAGTAGGTTTTTGGGGTTCTTAAGGTAGGGCGATACATCTGTGCGCGTACCAGAAAGACACATTGCGGGGGCATGTGGGCTCCAAAATTTCGAGCCCAACGCCTTTAAGCGCCTTTAAGCACCTTGTGGGGCCCATGACAGCCAAAATTTTGAACCGACGTCGTAATCTTTGAGCGCCTTCAAGCGCCTATTTGGACAAGCGCCTCTATCATTTTCGGAATTTTTGAGGTAAGCGCCTTTAAGTTTCAGCGCCCTTGAGCACGCGCCTTTAAGCGCCTTCAAGCGCCTTTAGGCGCGCCGCCTTTAGGCGCCTCTGAGCGTCTTTAGGCACCTTGAAGCGCATTGAAGCGCTGTTGGGCGCCTGTGAAGCGCCTTTAAGATGTTCAAAAGGGCCCTGTAGAGGCTTATAGAAGGTTCTAGAGTCTTAAAGAGGCTTGAGGCCAGTTCACAAAACAATAGCATCTTCCCCCAGGATAGAGGCGCAGAGGCTTAAAGGCTCGACAAGAAATAGAAGCTTCCACGGGAAGGAGGCTTAGAGGCTTGGCGCGAAATAGCCCATTTCCCCCCACCATGGAAAGACAGCAGCATTGGCCCTCGCAGTCATTGAATGCGCCCATATGTCCATTGTCGAGTCGTGAGGTTGCAGCCAATGTGACATCTACCCATCTTGTTCCGATCCTGCTTCCTTTCAGCTCACTGCCAGCAGCTGGTTCGCAGGGCATGGTTTTCGCCCGGTCATGTGTTGGTGGCCGTACGGAACAAATCTGTTTCATCCAGTTGCGTCTTAGGATCGACAACTTGTGCAAACCCAGCCGTGGATCAGCTCCTTAGCACCTCGACCGCAAAGGATCACGTGCTCATGGGTCCACGGCAGCGGGCCACAAGCAAGTCCATCATGTCCATCCTTGATGGGTTGAGGAAGTGCTGCCGGAGCTTCTGATGGCGCGACCCATTCGAACGTTCCATGCTCGAGGACACAGCTTCGAAGCATGCCTCCGCCACTTTCTGCCAACCATGGACGAAGGAGCCAAGACAGTGGCGCTGTGGGTAGCAGCTGACCCTTATTTACTGGCAATGTGCCAGGGAGCCGTCCCTAGTCTGCAGCAGAGACCCAGCATTAGAGAATCGCAGTCTGGACCAAAAAGCCCTGCTTTGCTTGGGAGGCCGATGAAGCCACCCACTTGGGCATGAGCGTGGTGTATCATCACAGTCGCATCGGCCGCAATATTCCGTGCATGTATGTGCAGATCATTGCAAATCATGCCCGGCCCGGCAAAACCTTTGCATGAATGAAAGACGTGACAGCAGGCCCGGGCGGAAATATCAACGTGCTGGAAGAAATGAGGCGGCTGCATGCGAGAATGCTGGACTCGAGTTCTCATGCAGCTTTGAGCAGCGATGCCCTTGAGGCTGATGGCTGCACAAGGCCCGCAGCTTTGTTCACCAAGGAAGCTGTGTTTGCAAGCCGCGTCTGAGTGATGGGATGCTGCTCACTGCGCCTGACAGTTCAGGTCCGGATGTGTTCGTAGTTTGCTCTGATTCTTGGACGGAAGTCTCTTTCGCACAGCCTTATGCTGCCAGCAAGCACGTGCCACACGCACCGTAGCACCTTACTGACTGCTGTGCTTGCTTTTTTTCTTCGACCGACTGAATAAGGTCGACCGACTGAATAAGGCACAAGTACCCTCAGCACCTTGTTTCGGATATTTTTGCGGGACATTGCGAGACTCAGGAATACAAGGAAGGCGTTGAGATCATGATGGCCATCGACTTCTTGCACTTCACTCCGCAGGACTGCTAGCATGATTGCAGAGACTCCCAGAGCGCGTCACCATCACGCATTCACGCCTCACCAAAATGAGTGTGGAGCAACGCCTCCCTTTTGTTACCCGGCTGTCCGGAGACGCACGCCATACCAAGACCCTGGCCTTTTCGAGCTTCCCAGGGAGTTCTTGTTTAATCAAACTGTTGCTTGCGTTGGCGGCCAGGCAATCCTCATGTGGGACTCGGCGCGCCCCGAATTCTCAGATGCTTTGCTCGTCGCCAGCGCTTTGAGCATTGCAACCCCAGAAGTTTGGATCCTTGCATTGCAGCTCGAGACGCTTTGCACTGCCGTGGTTCTCGAACCGGATTTGAGTAATTTCTGGTATACGCACCTCAAGTCACGATGCACTCAACTGAGGAGTTCGAGGATCGAGCTCCTTGACGTAAGAGTGTGCCAAAGTTGAAAGTAAGTTAATTTAGCTTAGGGTCTGCTTTAGAACTGTGTTCGAGGCCCTGCAACCTTCACCCCTGTGACAACGCCGTGACGCGGGCGGACTTTGCCAGCGCATACGAGAGTTCCCCTGCCGCAAACCAGCAGCTGCAGCACGAACCTGGTCATAGGAGAAGGTGTGTTTGCATCTGCATACTATTATTTAGACATGTCTAATAACATAGTACCCAGTTGCAACAGTAAGGTAGGCACACCACCGAGCCCTCTCTTTATGCTGCTCAAGCTGCAGCAGCCGGAATGGCCTTGACCCATGGCGAAGCACTTGGAGAGTCAACCTTAACCGTCTATCCTCATTAAATCCCCCAATCGGTCCATGTACCCATATAGTATATACTTGGGCCCTAAAGCTACTATATGGGAACCCCTTTAAGGCCCAAGTATATACTAAAGGGGTACATGGACCCTTTGGGTCCTTGAAAGGGCTTTCAAGTCTCCCAAAACGCCTTCAGGGCCATTCAGGGTTCCTCACTTGCAGAGAGATGGGTGGTCTGTGACAGGGCAACGCTTGAACTGATACAACAAAGGACGGTCAAGATGCAGGACCAGATCCACGAGAACTTCCGCAACGCTCCTCCTCCCTTGAGCACCACGGAGTGCAGAACCCTAAGCCCGAAACCCTAATTTTCTTTGGGTGGGGATTTTCAAAAGTAGGGGCAGGCTTTGTTACCCTAAGCCCCAAACCTTAAACCCTAATGGTTCACTTTTTGGAGCTTATGGTGTTTAGGATGGCTTATCGGACCCCATGCCCTTAAGGACATTTAAATGTTGAGAACTTTGGGTAAGCCTCCGTAGCAGCTGTGGGCTTCCACTTAGCTTTGAAGGTATTTTACATTGTCACGTGTGTCCAAAGCCTTCTAAATCGAATCCCTCTAAACCTAGAGGGCTTTCGAGAACACAGCCCCGCATTATTTGCTTGCATCCCTGCACCCTAAAGTCTAAAGCTTACGAGGGCTTTCTGCTTTGTGAGCGCGTCTCTGTTCTGTCAAGACCTGGCAAAGCATGCCCATTCGTCGATGCTGCTAAAGTGCTGCAGCGCAGATAGCTGTGTCTGTGCCGGCCCTGATCATGGCATCCTTCCCTGCGTCCCCAACAGTTCCGGCTCCCTTAGCCTTAAATCCCATAAACCCACAGAAACACCCTTCGGGGTGCCTTGAGGGTACCCCTTTTCGGAATGTCCATAGAAGTATGATTGGGAGTTTCCCTTCTGGCATGGCTCTTCACTAGCTGGCGTCGGCTTTTAGAAGCCGAGGTCAGGCAAACGCCGCGATTGTGGATGGCCTGATGGATTGTGCTTCCAAGGATGTGTCTTTTTGTGGCCTGTCAGCGGCGAATCTCGCAGCGCAGAGCTTCTCCTGCGCCACCGCGCCAGGAATCCTTCTACCAAAACTTGTGCGTCGACCACCGCGGCTACCTGGCGTCCCCGATAATGGGCATCTCCCAACTCGTTGCACCTTGGCATGAGGTCCCCCCCCCCCAAACAAAAATGACAAAACAAAACAAACACGTACACACCGCGCAGCCGCGCACACACTGACCCACCCACCCACTCACCCACGCACCCACTCACCCCACCCACGCACCACCGCGCCCTCGCGCGCCCCCACACGCGCCCGTGACACAGCGCGCAACAGACAACAGACTACACACGAAACACAAAAAGCAACGCACAAGACGCGAGACACCAGACACAAGACACAGCGCTCGAAGCGCAACACACAGCATTCAGCCCACACCGCACAGCTCCCGGCGCATGGCGCATGGTGCACACACACACACTCTCACACACACACACACTCACTCTCTCTCTCTCTCTCTCTCTCTCTCTCTCTGTCTCTCTTAATCGCTCTCTAGCCCGCTCTCTCTCTAACATACTTGCACCCTTATGAGCCCACCCCCACCGCTTCCCCTCCACTTGTACTTGTAACGATCTGTAGCCGTCATGGTGCGTGCTGTGGCCTCGAGGCCGTGAATGTCAGCGACGATGCCCGACGATTGTGGGCAACTCAGAGACCTCAGAGACCCTGACCTCGATTCATGCACACGGTTTAGGGTTTCGGGTTTAGGGTTTAGGGTTCAAGTCTCGTTGCCAGGCAGCCTGGAGGACAGGTCCCGGGGCAGGTCCCGGGGCAGGGCCCGGGGCAGGGCCCGGTACAGCCAGAGCCACCGCAAGCCGATCCCATCAGCACGGAGACATTGCTGGGCTACGCAACACTGACGCCACAGCTGCTTGAGGCGGGCTCTTCGGCTGTTCTAGCTTAGCCGTGTTTGGCCAAAAAAAGGCTCCCTCTAATCGCCTTCTCCCTTTGAGGTGTATGAGCTCTCCAAGGCCGGTGGATGGGCACTCAGAACAACCATGAGCCTTGCAGTCTTTTGGAGGCCTCGTTGCCGTTGCCCTCAATGGCTCGACGCTCAGCACACGCCAGTGCGTTGGCCCAGGCCTTTGGTGGCGCTGCCTGGGGGCCGTGCTATTAATGTCATCATCCCCTGCGCAAACTTAATGGCGAAAGAATAGCACGCGATGGTTCTCCATCAAGTGTAATCTAATTGAATCGACAGGGATACGAAGACATGCAACAACTAGTAAGAGCATATGGTAAAACCCAAACTGGAAATAACAGTGGGACTAGAGAACAAATCTGAGGTGCGCAGGACAACCAAGATACAACATGAAACGCGCAGAGAACATGAGACAGCTGCAGTTTTTTCCCTGAAGTCATGCCTATGCAATTGATACAGTCGCATTGAGCGCATTGAGTTAGATGGACACTTCCTATGATCGGAAAAAGTATATCTGCGAGATGGTCAATTCTTTCACTTCTACTTACGAATGAAAGAAAGACAAAACTTCGCATGCGATGCGTGCTTCCCTGTGGCCAGTACTTAGCCCGTGTAGGGTTTAGGAGCCAAGCTTCTGAACTGCCGAACGCTCAGGTGTATCCCAGACCTTTGGAGGATACGCGACAGCTGGTGCGATACCCATGCGCCTTGCCAGCAGAAGTGTGCTCTGGTCAGCACTGCTGGGTCAAGCATGCCACGCAGAATTCCAGGTGAGGCCGGTTTCGAGGTCATCACTGCAGACTTGTTCAACATGCTGGCTAACGTAGCGGCCAATTCCACAGGCGCGAAACCTTACAAGCCCTGAACTTGCATCTGCATCTAGCTTGGACGGTGTGTGCTTGTCATCTTGGAAGGAGGGCCACAGACCCCGTGCTTTCCATGCCTGGACGGGACCTCCCGAGATCCTCGAAGCCTGCCGGCGCAATTGTCCTACAGAGAGTCCGGGAGGTTCCTCTCAGAAGGCTCCACAAGTCCAGGATTACGCTTAACGGTTTAGCGTTTGGGGTGGTTGTTGTGGCTTCGTGGCCTGCCAGCGAAGGTCCACAGTGCACCGCCTGCGAAGCAGGAAAACAAGCAACGACGCAAGGCCAGTCAGAATGCACCGAACCTTGGAGCAATGGTTTCTGACCAACACCGAGAGCCTAGGGCAAAGGGATTCGGTATGATGTGCTTGTCCAAGGACTGCCTGCGAGGAGCTGTGTGCAGCCCCACCAACAGCACTTTGGTGGTCGACGCCCGGCAGCGTCTGGCAGCGTATTGAGGTGCCACAAGACGTCGTATGCACTCTGGTTGGAAATTGTTTACAAAGTTGGATCAGTTATCATCATGATAGTTATTGTGAGCTCTGTTGAGGGTAGGTCGTGGTGCCGACTGGGTGCGCGTGTTGCCTCGCATGGGCTCCCAGCTCTTCGGTAGAGAGAGCGTGTCCTTCCATTTCGGGTGAGTGCCATGCGGAAGGTTTGACGAATAGGCTCGCTGCTCTTCATGCTGATTGCCCGTCGAATCACCGGCCGTGTTGTGATGGGGTGTAGGCTCTGCATCTCGCACCGGGCTACGGAAGCTGCCTGGATTCTATGAGTGAAGGCGACCGTTGCACGGTTGAGCTTAGGGTTCGAGCTTCAGGCTTCTCGTCGCCCCATGCAGGGGACAGTTGGTGCACAGAGCGCAGGTGATGGTACCCGTGCATCGGCCCCGTCTGTGGGGACGCCGGGCATGCCGGCCACTCCGGACGAGAGCGAAGGCGTCCCCAGCAAAGGCTTGAGAAGATCGGCCGTGGCCTTTGCAGCAGCTGCAACGGCCTTCCTAGCGGCTCGGCTGCAGATCGTTTAGTCAGTTTAGTCCCCTTGTGCGAGCCTCCGGGTCCCTCGGCTGAAGCCACTGGACCAGCTTGATGATATCTGATCCTCAGAAAAGAAAAGGTGTGGTCTTTGGCGTCCGAGAGGCCTTGGCGCCATGCAGCACGAAGCCCGCAGCACTTTCCGTGGACGTCTTCTGGCAGCTGCTGTGTCTGATATGTCAGGTGGCATTGCTTCCAGGTCGAAGTGCCACCTTCTGAGATCTATGAGATGCCCGGTGCTCGGAGCCTGTTGGCGAAGGTTTTACGTCGATTCCTAGCGTCACGTAAGAGTTGTCTTAGGTTCACTTGTAACTGAAGCAGCCCTCCGATGCCCTCAGGTTCAAGGCAATGGTGGCCATCTTGCCACCCGGCGGCCACCCGGTGTCTTGGAAGACATTGGTGATGGAGAGCCCCTCATTCTGTCGAGTCGTGTCGCTGGTATGAAACCCATATGAAACCCTAAACCCTAAACCCTAAACCCTAAACCCTAAACCCTAAACCCTAAACCCAGTACAGCAAATTAACGCGCAAGAAAACGTAGGCCGATGTCTGAGCAGCGTGAAGCTAAGACCAACTTCAGCCCAGCTCTGCGTCGCAAGCTCGAGCGGTCCACAGATCCGCATGTAGCGACTCGGTTGCTTTCAGAAGGAGGCCAGGGAGTCCCTAAACCCTAAACCCTAAACCCCAAACCCTAAACCCTAAACCCTAGGGCCTGCCCAAAGCACATCCCAATCTCTGAACTCGGGCTTGAGTATATTTCTGACCTTTCCCCGTAAACGCATGCGAAACGGGTAAAAAAACCCTAAACCCTAAACCCCTAACCCTAAACCCTCAACCTCAACCCTAAACCCTAAACCCTAAACCCCCCCAGAAATTGCGATTCCTTCAACCTGAGGCCTTCGAGCTTCAATCTGGCCTGTGGTCTGGTTCTGCCAAAAGCCTTTGCAAGCCAAGCGACTCCATCTTTTCCGTCTTCGTCGACTCCAAGATGTGCCAGGCAGGCTTCCCTGCAGGGTTTGGGAAGTTTAAGGTTTAGGGTTTAGGGTTTAGGGTTGAGGGTCGAATCGCAGCTGGGCCATGCCCATGCCAAGAGCTCGGCATATTACGGCTCTTGAGGCGAAGCTTCTGCACTTTTGCGATGACATTCTGGACGGTTCCAAAGACGATCCGATCGCTCTGAGCACGTATGAGAACTGCCGTCATTCCGTCAGTAAGGGCGGCGTTTCTTTGAGCTACTTCGTCAGCACGGCTCGGTAGATCATGAAATGCCATCAGGCGTTCAGTGCGTAGTATGTTTGGGACTGAGGGCTGAGGCTGCTAGGCTGGTTCAATGGTCATCATTCGGCAAATGAGGCTTTGTCCTTGAACCGCCAGCCAAACTAGAGCATGACATGGACAACGTGACCTGGCTCTGAGAATGCCGCAGAACCAACGAGTGCAGAGAGTTGCGCTTCAGCTCAGTCTGGCTGCCAAGGAATACACCACGCTGGACGGATTGCAATCAGAGCTGGGACATGATGAGCAGGACCAGGATCCCGACATTTGCAACTCGACCAACAAGTCCTTTACATAGAATTGCAGCATGGGATTCAGTCGGCATATGTCGGCAGGTTGCAGAGATTATGCAGAATACAGCCTGAAGCCGAAGAACTTGAGGTGACACACTTGCTGACTGCGATGTGCTCGTTCGGACCCTGCTGATCTTGCTGCTTGTTGCGGGAGCCAAGCGCACGCAGGCCATTGATGACCCAGCTGAGGTTGCCATGAGGCCCTTGAACTTGCTGCTGATTTCGGTTATGATACTTGCGACGCTGTTGATGGCGGCCGCCACTGTGTTCTTCGCGCGGGCATTGTTTGGAAACGACTCTTGTCGGCACTTGCTGTAGTAGTAAGAAACTACAGCACTAAGAGCCCACCGAGCCATCAGTGCTGCGAGAACACTGGTGCCTTGGGCCAAGAAGGTTGAAACTTGTCATCAGTTCCGCCACGCCTATGTGCTTCATGACGCAAAGGGCCACTTGTGCTCAGATTTCCAGAGCACCTTATCTTCGGAGCAATCCTCAAGTTAGATTCCGATCCGGATCCTGCCATCAATCCTTAGGTGAGGGGTGTGGGAGTTCTGGGAAATTTGTTCATCGGGAGGGCTGTCCAAGCATGGGTTCCCTAAACCCCATAAATCCCATAAACCCCATAAGCCCTATAAGCCCTATAAACCCTATAGACCCTAAAACCGCTAAGGGTTTTAGGGGTTAATCCCCAACCCGAAGGAGGAGGCATTCACAAAGAGGGGCTGCAACGTCATGTTCTTGGCTGGGCTGAGCCTCGCGGCGGTCATTGGCCTCGACATCTACTTAGGCTGGCATAGTTTTCACAACTGTTATATGCTTCTATAGCATTTTATGAACAATAACATGGATATGAAGTCTGCGTATGTTTTTTTATGTGTATACATAAAGGTTCTGCTGCTGCTCGTCGTTGTGGCCAGGTGAGAAGTATCCTTTGGAAGATGTCTTTCGAGTAGAGGACCTCCCGCCTAATTGCCGGTTCGCAGTCGGGCTTCTTACAGACCGGCGCATCTCTGCGTTTGGCCTGACATGGTTGGCATACTCTGGGAAGCCGAGTGGATGATTTGATAGGCTGAGGGCGAAATCAGACCGCGTCGTTTTTTGGAAAGAAACAATACTTATCGGAACATGGAAGGCAACGAACGGCCGTGGCTAAAGCCGGCTGGAGATGACTCAAGTGCACTTACGGTGCAGGACCTGTACTACTTCATGCTGCCCGATGGGTCCGACTCGCAAGGCAGTGGCTACTCCAGCCTTCTGGGGACAGCGGAGGCCGGCAACAAAGTTGGTGATGAATTCAACCTCTCAATTTTTCGCCCATACTTCGCCCCCTGTAAGGTGTGGTCTCCTTCTCCGGCTCCGCTGCCACAGCTGTCCAAGCGATCCCAGAAGCATTGGGGAGTTCTGGAACCCGAACCAGGCAACCCGCACATGTACAGTTCGCGCAGATCACACTGCAAGCCTCAAATTCATGAAGGTCCTCTCCAGCCGCGCCTGCACCCGGAGATTCTTGGATTTCTTGGTAGCACGTCTCCAATCCTTCTGAGCACTTGTGATCTGCCCCGGGGCCCAGGTCTTCGATGTTGGATCTGGAGGATGTCTTAGACCAGGCTCGCCATCAAAACGCCTCCACAATCTTAGGGGGCGTACATATAGAGCCCTGAAGATGTGCTGACAAAGCTGTGTTGTTGGGTTCCGGTTTGAATACGGTTATGAGGATGATGAAGAGAGGGGGCTCGTGCCTTCCAGGTCTACAACAGTTCCCGAACCAACGAGCTCCAGCTGGCCGTCATGAAGCCCCTTATGCAGATTCCACCCACCAAGTGGAAGGGAGCCCTCGCCGTCCTGGGTAGCTAGGTTTGGCCCAGTCAGCTATTTCTGAGCAATCGGCTCGGTAGATTTTCGACCTAATGTCACTGATCTCAGACTTGCCAGACTTTTGCAGCCTGTTTTTATCCTAGGCGGTTTAAAAACTCATCGGTGCGCAACGCTGGAAGCTTTTCCAGCAGTAAAAGCAGCTTTCGAGAGCTTGTGCGACTCTTTGGCAGAGTAGCCTCCCAGCCCAGGCGCCAACCTCATGGCAGCCTTGGCCACGAAGAACATGGGAGCATTCCTTGACCCGCTAAAAGATGCTGCCAAGAGGCGCCCTTTTCGGGCGTAGGCCCGTGTAGTTTTTTGATTTTTTGTCTTCCGACCCGTAGAAGAGGAGATGAGGGGTTTCGAGAGCTATCGCAGACCCGTGAGATCACGGAAGGGCATGGGGCAAATCAGACGTCATCATCAACAGCTGGTTGCAGACACCTGTCTTGATGGCCTTCAGCCTTGCCATGAGTCCAAGTTGGTTCATGGCGTTGGGATGTTTAGGGTGCGGGGCTTGGTACTTCAGCTTGCCTGAGGTATCTTCAGCAATCCATCATTGACGCGCCCGGCAAAGGCGGCGATCAGTTCGATTCAATGCTTAATGACTTCCAAAACATGAAGTCCGCTCCCAGACTGCATACATTGTGATCCTTTGGGGGTGCCTTAAATGGACACGTATATAAGGTAGGTGTGCCTTCATATTTCCTTTGGGGATACTGGGGATGCTGGTTATAGCACCCTACTTCAATACACCAACAAATGGGTCCGAAATTTTGGAACCTAGTACCTGGCTTTGATGTTCAGTTTGCCTCGCGGCTTCTTACGAGGCGAATGATGTGTGCGACACATTTGGATTGAATGCCTGCAACAGCAAGAGCCTCAATGTGTTGAAGCCCACCTTGGGGTGTTCATGGTTGCTTATGTTCTGGGCTTGTGGCTCCAGCCAGAGGCCTTTCAGAGCTGGAGGATGTGAAGGCTGAAGCTACCACTCTGTTTTCAAGCTTGCGAAGCGTGTTTCAGGACAGCAGTCAAGCTTTAGCTTTGTGTGCGCTGCGACTTGACGCCAGTGGCTTCCAGGAGAAGTTGGCTCAAGCCAAGAAGCTGATTGCACAGTGCCTTTTGGCAGCCTCTGGCAGCTTCTTGCAGTTCCATAACGTAGTGAGAAGGGCAGCAAAATCTCCGGAAAGTCTTCGTTCTGAGGCATGAAGGTTCTCTCCAAGATGAAGGCTTTCTGGAAAGAAGTTCAGGAACCGGTGAAACGAATCATGGCCTTGGTTGTGGAGGCAGGACGGCAGAGTCAAGCTCCAGAATTCCCTCACGGATTTCAGGTAGCTTGGGTTTAAGGGAGGGCTTAGGGTTTAGGGTCTAGGGTAAATTAGGGTTCAATTCTCATGTTGGCCATGACCACAACTCTCAGCCTTTGACCTAGCTCGGTCCTAGATAATGCATATTGCATAATAGTACGTAACACATACCATGCCATATACGTTGATACACTTGACATCATGCGGCACATCTCTAAGCTGGTCTACATGGGAGTTTGGGGGTCACAAAGCCAGCGTATCCTGCGTGCACGACGATTGATTTGTTTGCTAGTGTACACAGGTTCCACACTGTAAGTAAGATCTCTCTAGCGTGCTTCAGCGTCATCGCGTGGGCTTGATGATCCAAGTTCATCCAAGTTCGGACCAGGCAGCGAAGGACACTGGCTCAGGGCTTCTGAATTCGGCCGCTGGGCAAAGAGTGTGAGCTTGAGCAGTTTCAGCCGTCAAGTAGGGGCTGTGGTTGCTTAAGTTCGAATATGTTTCGACATTGCATCCCTGCCTTCCCCAGCTTCAGTAGCAGAGGTTGTGAACGCTTTGGGAAAGCCGGAACTGCTCGACGACATACGCTTGCTCTTTCAGACTGCTGGCGGCACTTTTCTTTTCACAGGGATCGAAATGGTAAAGTCATCCGTAGTCAATAGAAACGGGGACCGTTGGAGGGCGGCTTGTTTTCTTTTATTTTTCATGTTTATGTCATTTTTTGTCCTACGGGGCCCTCGTCTTTCGTGCATTCATATATGCATGTATGTGTATACAAGTGCAACGCAATCCACATGAAAGAATGTCACTTCCTAATATATGTGATTTGCTACTGCGGAGCCTGTGACCCCACTTTTGTCATTGTTCCAGCTGTTGCCCTTAACCAGAGCATTCATGTCCGCACGATGATAACGTCCGTGTTACAAGAGCATCCATGTCCGCGCGATGATAACGTTCGCGTGACCATTGCGTGCGCATGGCCAGAGCATCCATGTCCGCGCGATGATAACGTCCGTGTTGTCAGGGCATTCATGTCCGGACGATGATAACGTCCGTGTTGCCAGAGCATCCATGTCCGCGCGATGACAATGCCCGTGTTACAAGAGCATCCATGTCCGCGCGATGATAACGTTCGCGTGACCATTGCGTGCGAATGTCCAGAGCATCCATGCCCGCGCGATGATAACGTCCGTGCTATCAGGGAGACCATGTCCGGCCAGAGCCTCCATGTCCACGCGATGATAATGCCCGTGTTCCCAGAACAGCCATGTCCGCGCGATCGATGACAACGTTCGTGTGACCAGTGCGTGCGAATGGCCAGAGCAGCGCAGCATCCTCCTTTAACCCTCAACTTCAAGCTGTTACAGGCTCGTGAGGACATCCAAGCATATCCAGAAAAAAAATCCTGCCTTTGCCCTTCCCAAAAGTAGTACGCCTAAAACTGCCCTTTCCCGCCTTTTGACGCGCAAATCCATGGGAAATTACCATGCAATTCGGGTGTTCACACATGCAAACCGACCAGGCGCCTAGTGGTGTAGTTGTAGTAGTGGTAGTGGTAGTAGTAGTAGTAGTAGTAGTAGTAGTAGTAGTAGTAGTAGTAGTAGTAGTAGTAGTAGTAATAGTAGTACTAGTACTAGTACTAGTACTAGTACTCGTAGTAGTAGTAGTAGTAGTAGTAGTAGTAGTAGTAGTAGTAGTAGTAGTAGTAGTAGTAGTAGTAGTAGTAGTGGTAGTAGTAGTAGTAGTAGTAGTAGTAGTACTAGTACTAGTACTAGTACTAGTACTAGTACTAGTACTAGTACTAGTAGTAGTCGTCGTAGTAGTAGTAGTAGCAGTAGAAGTAGTAGTAGCAGTAGTAGTAGTAGTAGTAGTAGTAGTAGTAGTAGTAGTAGTAGTAGTACGACCACTACTACTACTAATACTAGTACTACTACTACTACGACGACTACTACTATTACTATTACTACAACAACAACAACTACTACTACTACTACTACTACTACTACTACTCCTACTCCCACTCCCACTCCCACTCCCACTACTACTACTACTACTGCTACTGCTACTACTTCTGCGACGACTACTTCTACTCGTAGTAGCACAAGAAGCAGTACTAGTATAGTACCAGTAGTAGTAGTAGTATTAGTAGTAGTACTAGTAGTATTAGTAGTAGTACTAGTAGTAGCACTCATAGCAGTACGAGTAGTAGTACTTGTAGTTGTCCTTGTGATTAGTAGTACTAGTAGTAGTACTATGGTAATAGTACTCGTAGTAGTACTAGTAGTAGTACTAGTAGGAGTATTAGTATTAGTACTAGTAGTAGTACGAGTTGCAGTATGTGTACAAAAATGCGAAAACTCTGTAAATACCAGTGTTTTGGGCATGGACGTAATATGAATGACGTTCTTATCCCCCCCGCCCCCCAACAAAACCAAAGCAGCCACATGTAGAGTCTTTGGCAGAAAAAGAACGAATTCTACCCTCCACTCTTTCTTCGATTTCGTGCTGAAACCACACGTTTGAGGCCCTCAAGTGAGGAAAAGCATGGCGTCAATTATGGCACTGTCGGCAGCAGAAGCAGCAGCAGCAGCAGCAGCAGCAGCAGCAGGAGTAGTAGTAGTAGTAGTAGTAGTAGTAGTAGTAGTAGTAGTAGTAGTAGTAGTAGTAGTAGTAGTAGTAGTAGTAGTAGTAGTAGTAGTAGTAGTAGTCGTAGTCGTAGTCGTAGTCGTAGTCGTAGTCGTAGTCGGAGTGGGAGTGGGAGTGGGAGTGGGAGTAGGAGTAGGAGCAGGAGTAGGAGTAGTGGTGGTGGTGGTGTAGAAGGCGTCGTCTTTGTTTAGGGCTCGTAAAACTTGATCGCACAGGAAGCTCTTCACGTCCTTCCCGCACGTTGTTCTCGCAGTGCGCCAGCTAGCGGACCACTTTGTTTCCTTTGTTCAAGGTGGCCTTGACGCAGTACGCTGAAAAATATGATTTGTCTTTACATTTCAATGACTGATCCAGTTCCCATGCATTGTAGCGATGAACCACCCCAGGCTTGAAGCCAGTGATCTTGCAGTTGAAGGAGTCTGAGCACGAACTCGGGATGACATTTATTAGGCTGTGTCGACGGAGCAAATATTCCTTTGGAGGACGCAGCCATTCAAGTCAAGAAGCTTCTGACACGAGGCGAAATGAGGTGATTGTCATGGATGTTGCCTATGTCCGGGTCATATTGCGCAAGGGCCTGTTAGTATCAGTATTGGATGGCCTGTTTGCGTTGTTGTGATAGTTCGGATGTTGATGGTGTTTCCGATGATCATGATGACGACGTGATGGTGGTGGTGGTGATGATGATGACATGGGTTAGTTTCCAATTTTGATTCTGATGATTCGGTCAGGTCTCGACAAAGCGCAAGTCATCTTGGCAGAAGAAGCAGACAACAAGCAGCTTTGCAAGCAGCATATGTGCGAACATGCCCGTGCTTCTAGCTCTCCCTAAGCCCAGAATGCAGCTCCGCTTTCGAGGGAGGCCCAAATCAAGTTCAAAATCAGCAAAGAGATTGACGCCAAGGTGAACGAGGCCAGAGCGTGTTTCCACCCAAAATGAAAGCATCGGTATCGTCAGCTGTGGTCCCTTCTTGGGTCCATTATGAGAACACGGCCCCTCAGAAAGGGATCATGGTTAAGTTGAGTTCCCACGTGACTGCTTCTGCAGGCTGCTGGTATCTGGGGCATCGTGGAAGAGATCAAAGCAGACAGCGCCACACAGAACGGGGCCACTTGGTGCAGTCACGTCCTTCTTCAACCCCATAGCTGACGGCCACGTGCCCATCCTTATCTCAGGCAGGGAGCGCTTCGAACAGCTCCTCTCTGCTGGAGCAAGCGGCCTCCATTTCAGGCAGCTCAGCGGAACACCTTGTGGCTGTTACGCACGAAGCACGAGAGTCACGTCACGTGTTGAGCATGTCAAGCTGCACTGTTAGGGGACGTGATGGGCCTGATCTCCAACTTTGTCGCTTCCTCAAGTTGGCGTGGCCATTTAGAGCTTTGTTCGGTTTCGCAGTCTGCTGGTGCGTGCCGTCCATTCACTGCAACGTGTCTCTTACAGGCTTCTGCGGGCAAGCTGTGCAGCCCTGCGGCACGTGTGGGCACTATCTTCCTTTCAGAGCCACTGTGTTTCCATTACTTTCTGCAATTGGTTGCTGTGCTCGTTGCTGCATCCTTGCCATTCAGTGACAAGCTATGCTAAGGATCCAGCACATGCACGCAACTGCCAGGGGATTCGAGACCAAGCGGGGCGGAGTGTTCCAACATTTTGGTTATATCACATTTTGCCTGATTCTGCTTCTCGGGCTTGTGGTAGTTAGCTTCGCGATGTTCCACGTCGGCTTTCTCAAATAGTCTGCAAAGCGGACGGGCGCAGCACAGATGAGAAACAACACGAAGCAAAGCCGAGAGATACAAGAAGACTTCAGCAGAGAGCAGAAAATGTCGTGGCATGTCTTCCATTCTGTGCGTGCATGCTGCACTGTGTGGAGTTTGCCAACTCTACCGTTGTCATCGTGGTTGTTCGTGCAGTGAGGAAGCGAATTTCTACTACCTCCACGGCCTCCTTTTTCCTTGCTTTGTTCCGGGTCGCTGTCTGGGTCCGGGCCTTCGAGGAATGTCAGCTCATCGTTCGTGCTCTGGTGAGCGCTGGCTGAGCAGGTGAAAACCTTTGCGTGGGCAATAGAGCCTCGGCACACAACTCCGAATCACCGCCCTGTGTTTCCAGGGCCTCAACCTGGGAGTTTGAGAAAACAGGGTGCCCGTTTAGGGGAGATCCTATAAGCAGGATTCTGCTATTTCGGGGGTATTTTTTTTCGGGACCCCTAGGTGGGGCGATATCCCAAATAGCTATCAAAGCCTCCGCACTCTGCTTGTGAACTTCATCGGATCCAAGGCTCAGGTGCCTTATGTTCGCAGTGCAAGCCAGGCCACGTCCTTTGCAGGTTGTTTGGGTGTCTGGTTCAGGGCTTTTGAGGGTGCATGGGCTCTGACGCTGTGTCCGCTGACTTGATTCGTGAAGAGCTCCGAAGTGCCAACAGTGTCTAACTTGCGGACGCGGCAGGTTGGGTTTCGGATGACTTCCGTGCTGCGTCTATTCCAGACCATTGTCTGCCCTGTCCGGACCACAGGTGTTTTTGGTACCAGTAGAAGAGATCGTGTGCAGCTTCATGTAAGCGAGGCGAACGCTAGCAAGACCTGAGCGGCCGCCTGTGACACCGGAGGTGAACAGGAGTGGGCAACAAAGTGGCACCGGATTATTGTCGGAGCATGTGCCTCGGATCAAAAGTTGAATTTGAATCCAAATCTCGTTGCGACATGGCTAACATTGAAGCCAGATAGCCTGAAGAAAAGTTGGCGAGATAACTTGCATCGCTGACGAGTAATGTCACGGCTGCGTGGTGTTGCTGAAGTGGACAGGCTTGTATCTGGTGGGATTTGTCTGGCTACTGGCAGCGCATTTGAATGCCTGTGCCCTGACTGCACCTGTGCTGACCCATGTGCTGCCTTCTGTTTAGGTCCAAAACTGCACTTTGGACAGCTCCTTATTGGTGAAGTCGAGGCACCTCGCTATCATCCACGTCGGTGCTAGCACTGAGGCAAGATCGTTGCCAAGTGTGCTTGGTGTTGATCCTGACAAGTGCATATAAGTGCATGTCCAGTACGATCTTCGGGTTGTGATCATCTTGCTGGCGCTGGCAAAGCTGCCTCCTCCTTCCCTTTGATCTTCGAAGCCAGCGCTGCATTCGCAACAACTGCAAACGAGTCAAGGGGTTGATCGAAGATTGTGATTCAACCGGCTGATGTGTGTCTGCGAGCTCGCTGGTGACAGATGGAGCGGAAGCAGCTGTTGAAACCACTGAACAGATAGGTATGCCCACATCGGTAAAAATAATCGAGACATTTTTGAGGAGATCGTTGGGCCGTCCTAGGGCGAGTGTTCAGAGGGCGTCAACAGGCCAGTTAAATGGAGGCATTTGCGAACCCATTGAACCGATCTGAAGCTGATGCTCCCGACAAGCACCTCGAGTGCTGAGCAGGAAATGTGAGGTTCTAATGCGATGCTCGCACACGTTTCATAGGTAACGCACTTTCTGGAAGTATTGGTCGGAATTGCTGATAAATGGCCGCTCTTTTGGCGCAAGAAATCTAACAAACGCGGTTCCAAGAAACATGCGACAAGCACCATCAGCATGCCTAAACACTTAGTTTTTCCACGCCAGTAACCAGTCAGGTTTCATGAGCCCAATCGGGTTTGTTAGCTTTTTCCGTGAAAACGTGAGAAAAGCAAAAAGTCGAAAATCCGGCGGCTTTTCTCAAGAAACGCGATCATGCCTAGTAGTGCGCAGAACCTAAGAAACGTTCGCAGCGAGTTTTTAGAGAGGTGACCTCCTAACGCCCTTAAGCCGAAAGGGTGGACTTTGTTTTAGCCTCACCAGTCACGAAAGTGCCGAGTCATGACTGACTGACTCTTCTCTTGCGCTTTCTGCGCCATCTAGTACTGAAAACAAGCAAGATCATCATCGTCGTCGTCACCATCATGGATCATTATGTTCGCTACCATGATGATGATGATGATGATGATGATAGTCGTTATTGTTATTCTTGCTGTTAGTACTGTTACTGTGCAATGGCCAGGTCCTTCGTGAACTACTTGCAGTTCACTGCTATAACGGTCAAGGCTTGCCCGCGTTGTTTTGCATCTCTGTACATTGGTGTCTGTGCCCGGCCATGTTACTGTAGGCCATGGACTCGACTTATCTGGCTACCTACTTGCCCAATACGAAGGCAGGCCGAGGTAGGTCACAAGGTCCAGGGTCACAGCACAACGTGAGTGCAAAGGACTTCTTGCGGATGATTAGCGCACTGATCCTGAGCCTTGGCTATTAAAAGAGAGTTCTGTGCAGAAGACTGTGTGCAGACACTGGAGCTGAGGGACCCAATCTCAGAAGTACCAGTGAGTTGCTTCATCCCGCAGTGGCAGCCATACCAGGCAGGGCAGACATGACAAATTAGGGTTTAGGGTTTAGGGTTTCCTGCGCGACACATCCAGGCGAGGATTCACGCAAGCCTGCAGCAAAAGGGTTTCCTGCAAAAACCGCTTCCCTGTCTCGTGCAGCGAATGCCACACCAATGTTTTTTGGTCCATGTGAGACCCCTCTGGTCTTTAAAGAGCCTCGCAGGTGAAGGTCCTGATGGGTTTTTGTGTCCTACCAGCTGTGCTGATTGTCAGCTTCGTGTACCTCTTCACATGGGAGTCTTGCCCCCAGAGGCCATAGGACCTTAGGACATGCCACAGCTACCCACAGCTGCTAGTGCAGTTTTCCTTCCTCTCCTGAATTTGGGCGGCTGAGGTTCATCTTGGCCCCAGTGCTGCACCAGACCTGCTTCGGGCAGGCTGAAGAGTCTGCTTTATGACGCAAGCTGACCACAGTCGCATGGGGACCCTATTTTTTGGGCGATTTTTATTGTTGTTGTTGTTGTTGGTGGTGGTGGTGGTGGTGGTGACTATATGTCCGTACGAAAACCTCTATTTCCGTTAAAATTGCAGCCAAAAACCTTTATTGTCTCTAAAATTTAGCAGGAAATCATCTACATTCTCTATGTTGATTTTGAGAAAACGTCTATTTTCTCTATATATGTTTCCATGGGCAAGTTAGGGGAGAAGGAAGGGACAGAGGGAAAGAATGTAAGAAAAGAAAAGAGAAGGAATGAAAGACATGCATAAAGAAAGAAAAGAAAGAATTAACCGAAAGAAAGAGAGAACGACACCTAGCTGCATCGCACATGAGGGTGGGGGCAGGGGTTCAGGTTTCTGCTTCTTCTTCTCTCTGACTCTCTCACTCCCTCTTGATTGGGACTAACGGTTTGATTGTTTAGGGTTCAAAATTCCGGTTCCGGTTCAGCTTGCTTCAAGGCATATGAAACGCCCCACCCAACCCCCCCTGCACTTATGAAATCTTGTGAAAATGTTACTTTCCTTTGAAAAACATGGAGGAAATACAGGTTTTCCTTTTTTGAAGAATGTGGAGATTTTCTTAATTTTCTTCTTTATACCTACAAGTAGAAATTAGAGGTTGTTTTCCTAACGAACAAATGGAGGTCTTCCTACGAATATGGAGAAGGCACAGGTTTTCTCAGCAAATGTAGAGAAAATATAGAGAAGATAGAGGTTTTCCTTGAATATATAGAAAATGAAGCAAGCTTGCTTTAAAGTATATGAATCTGTTGGAAACCTATCATGCATGCATTGTGTTTGCAAATGGGGGAGGGGGCCGTATGACAATAGAATGTCAAACTTAGTTTTCCTGTGAAGTTACAGAGAAAAAGAAACAGGTTTCCTGTGAAAACATGTGGGGACTTCTTATGAAAGCATTGAGAAATTAAAGGTATCGAGAAAATCGAGGTCTTCCTACTAAAATACAAAGAAAATGAAGGCTTTCTATGTCCAATCACAATCTAGAGAAAGTAAGTTGTCCTTTCAAGATATAGACATAGACATTTGAGTTCGTATGGAAATGTATAAAACCCCCTTCCAACCAAAACAAAAAAGGCAAAAACAACAAAAAACCGAAGGGCCAAACAACATCTCCACCCCAGTTTCATCGCCTTGTCGAGGACAGCTCGAGCTCCAAAAACGAGCATTTCAGCGACTTGGCCTTCGCAGTTTTGCCCGCAGTTCGTTTCAATCCAGTCATCAGTTGTTTGATTTAAGTAAGCTGTTTAGGGAAATGCCTGGTGCGGCCACTACATGGTCAGGTGGGCGAGAGGGCCATCACACACAAGGCATCGCTAGCAGCTAGCACGAAGCATGCCGACAGCGAGCCACGAACTGCCTCCGATACCTTACAGGTCGATCTGTCCACCACACGCACAGCCTGGAGTGCCCCGTCTTTCTGTGATACCCACGTGTGGCAGCAAGTGTATGTGATGAGTTTCTGAGCTCAGGTTCCACTCATCCTCAGCCAAGCCAACTCTCAGAAGGAGGGCCTTTAAGGGGAAATATTTTGGAAACGAGATCTTGGAGGGCGAAGACGTGCGTAGAGACACCAGTGTGTGGCCGTTGTGCTGTTCTGCATAGTGCACGCAATGCCTGTCGGAGTCATGCACTTGAGATTGGGATGTTCCCCCATTATACTAACTGTCCTTAGTGGGGATTGTCATCCGGGGTACTATACCGTAATCCCTATTGAGGACTGTTAGGATAAGGCGGAACATCCCAAAAGTGAGATCGAACCATGGCCGAAGTCCGCGGACGTCATGCTTTAGCAGGCTTCTGGCAAGCATGTCAGAGTCCACGACCATCTGGTGTCACCTGCTTGCTGCCTACAGCCACAAAATCTGCAGGCTGCAGCTAGCCTTGGCCTTTTTTTTTGATATTCGGCCGAGGTTGCTGCCCATGTCCTTATACAACATGGTCGGTGCTCTTCTGTGTATAGACCCTCAGGCCGCTTCTGGGTTGCGCAAAAAGCTTTGCGAGCTTGTTTTGCCAACTTCGCCAGGTGGGTGCTGTTTCAACGGTCGACTACCCTCGACCTGTTGAGGGCTTAAGCCAGCTTACATTGCTTTGCACGTTGAGCCTGCGTGAGCACAGCCAGAGCTGGGCACGCCCCCAAGGTGTCGGTGGTGTTGTCGAACGTGGGGTTGAGATGCGACGACCTCTCCCATCAGCCGTGGATGATTCTCGCAATTGCAGGCTTCATGCTGGTGTTCGTTGCTACTGTTACTTGTCGGGCTGCCATGCCACGCGCGGCTCTTACAGGATTGGCCTTGTATGGCTTGGCGCGCCGGCCTCAACTGCCTGATTCTGCAAAACTCATGCAGGCTCCATGTTGGGTTGCTTCAGTCGCAGAGGATTCCTTGTGGCCTGCTGTTTGCCGCGCGTGCCATGTGCCTTTCCAAGAAATTGGATGATCTTGCAAAGCTTTCTCCCTAGTTCTGGCAAACCCCCTCACTGAGGTATTCCGAGAGCTGGCTGTCGGAGAGGGCTTTGGGATACTTCATGCACGGCTCAAGGCCGTGGTGCTTTGCCAGCTGCCAGAGTTTGCTGTTGCTGTAGTTGCTGTACTTCAGTGTCAGCTTCCACTCAGGGAAGGGCCACAAGCACAGGCAATTGATTGAAAAACGCGCGCAATTCTAGGACTCCAGAGCAAACTAGGAGAGGCTCCAAGGATCTCACAGGCTCCCCCGGCGGGCAGAGCAGAGCGGATAGACCAGAGCTTGCGCTCGTTGCAAGACCTTGCAGACATGCTGGCGCAGGCCAGAGTTTCTGTACACCAGCTTTGTGATGCTGATGGTGACTGTAGCTCGGACTCAAACCTTCCCTACCATTCGCCACAGCATGCCACAGCATGCCTAATGCGGTTGCAAGGTAATCTCAAAGAACGCGCTTGCTGTCTAAGGATGCGGCCGTGATATTGTCTGCAATGCTGACTTTGACTCAATTCTTGCGGCTTCTGGGCCGCTCGACGGCAATAAGCTGGATCGGTTCGGCTTCCTGCGCTGAGTGGAAACCTAGGCCTGATTTCCACTTGCTGCATCATCTGCCTGGCCATGGGTTCCCTCAAACCCTATGACAGACGAGACCATGCGGCCTGGGGCTCAGGCTCGGCCGATCTCAGATGTGTTCACCATTGTTCAGCCCTGATTTCCCGATGCTAAGGTCCTGCTTAAGCTGGAAGTGTCCAGCAACTCTGCAAGAACCACCGATGATTGTTTCTGCGATGTTTGATTAGCGTGCTTTTGCGAGCCCGGCTCATAAAGTTCTTGCCTCAGGCATGGCCTGCCAAGTGCTGGGACTCTCCTTCGTTGTCATCACGTCCCCCTTGTGTCTTGTCTAGTACTGTACCTCCTAAACTCAACCCTCAACCTCTATATGCCATGGTGCCCTATGAGATACCCAGGGCTGCTGCGAGTACTACCTTGGTGAACGTTGCTGAGCTCATGGAAGCCAGGGGCCAAGTTGCTTCCTGCTCGTCAGTACCTCTTAGGCTCCGAGTAGACCCCCCAATAATCGGATGCCCTTGTAAGGACCCGAATAAGGTACCCCTAATGTCGGAAACCCCCCAAATGGGCCATTGGTACGGTACAAAGGAGTCACAGCTTCATCGACATCTGTCAGACTGGGGTGGTCGGAGAATAGACCCTATTGCAACCCACTTACCACAACTGGATTCATGCAAACCGGGTCCTCTCACAACTGCCGCCAAAACTCGGTGCACAACCGAAGAACTCGGCGCAAGATCTGTCAACAAAACGCAGCTGAACAAAGTGATCAAAGGCTCAAATTGTTTCAGTTCCATAGCGCGATGCAGGCCAGAGAGTGGAGAGTGACTGTTTTTCCTATGATAAACAGGTTTAGGGCCCGGCAAAGCTCGCGGGGTCAAAAAGGGCTTAGGGCTTAGGGGTTTCTAAACATTCTAGTTTGCCTGCGTCTCACACAGTGAGACCACGGCCTTTCCTCTCGAAAACGCGCGGCGCTGAGTTCGGAACCTTCGCGAGACATTCTCGACGAGTGTTCTCAGCAATTTAGGGTGCTCTCTAATCCCTTCAAGGGGTTCTACTATAGGGGTAGATAATCCCCTTGTTGAGAACCAGTTAATTGCGTACTGACAGTCAGATACTTGACAGAAAAGTTTGTGCTTCCTTCTTTGCCTTGTTCCGCCCAGGAGGCATCTCACAAGCAGGAACACGGCAGACACTATATAGAGTAAATGCATTTGCTCTGTGAGCCTGCCTCCGAGGTCGTTCAGATACCCCTGCACGCCTTCATATGGCTCCTGGTCGTGTGGGCTCTGATCAACAATTCGGCCACTGTGCAAAAAAAATACTGAGAGCTCGTTCCGACACAGACGTGGCATGACCCAGCGGGCGAATGCCAAGGTGGTGAAAAGGATTCAGCAGCTTTGGCAAATTGATTTATCCTTGGGAGAAAACAGTTCTTAGTTGCTCTTCGAGACTGCAAGGTACACACCAGATGTTGCTGATCTCCTGCGCCCTGAGCAGTGGCTCCATGGATTTCTTGATATGCACACGGACAAGGCCTATGGAGGGCACAGAGAGTAGCGATGACTTCGGCTGCAAAGACGCGACAATCAGGGATCACAGAGGGATGAGACTGAAGTGGACCTTCGGATCTGCGGAGCCATACCTTGCACAAACATGTGATCTTGAAGAGTTGCATGCCAAATACCACGTTTGGTCCAACTGGAAGAAGCTTCGATTCATGGCTCCTTTTGCGCTCGTTGTGCCTGCGCAGGTCACGTTTGCCCGGAGCTTGGGATCAACAGAACACGGGTAGCAGCAAACCCCGAACCTCAAAACCCTTGTTGCGCGCAGCTCACCGAGGACCCCATCACCCATGAGCTGGACATCTCAGGTCTATCCAGAAGTTCGAAAAGAAACCTCAGAGCTTCTTGTCTCGATTGGGGTGTTGTTACTCAATCAAAAATTCTTTTCTGGTGTGTCCTTTTTTTGCTTAGGCAACAGCCCCGAAAGCTTAAAGAGAAGAAACCGTCAACCAGCCCAAGCCGAAGTCCAAAGCTTCGTGCCGCTGGTCCTTTCAAGGGGTGGACCGTCCATTAGAAGGAGAATCCTTACAAAGGGGGAGCCTAGACCTTCATTGTGGGTTGTTTTTGGGGGACGTGGTTTAGGGCTTAGGGAAGCCTAAGTCCTGAACTATCGAATCTGGAACCTCTAAACCCTAAACCCTAAACTCAAAGTCGACCCTGCACCCCCTACCCTGGCCCCCCCTGGCCACCCGACCTGCTTCTGCCTCAAACCCCTCTAAAACCTCTCCTTTTCTGTGCAGCTGAAACCCGTGCTACCACCGGGCCTCAAACCTCTCCCTTGGCTGAAAGTGGCCATCGGTGAAAGGGATTGCCATGAGTTTAGGCCTAAACCCTAAAAGATCCTACAAGGAATAGGTTTGGGTGGTTTTGCCGCCTCGGACGGCGTGGGGTGGGAGAAAAGTATTAGATGGCCCTCCACAATCGGGCCAGAGCTGCTCTTCGTACCTGACGAGGCATTCGAGCCGCTGCTGCATCCTAACCTTCACAGCATCTACGCCCTGTTACAGCAAACCCTAAACCCTAAACCCTAAACGGACATTCCAACCGATGCCTTGCCGGCCTTGTGCGAGTGTGAGCGTCGAAACCCTAACCCTAAACCCTAAACCCTAAACCCTAAACCCTAAACCCTAAACCCTAAACCCTAAACCCTAAACCCTAAACCCTTACTAAACCCTAAAGCCCTTGAGGCAGCCTTGTCTTCGGCCTTGCAGCGCTACTTCGACGCTGCGGCTCAGGGGGTGATCCCCTGGGCTGAGGCTGGGGGCTTTTGGGTTTAGGGATGGAGGGTTCAGGGTTTAGGGTTTAGGGTTTAGGGTTTAGGGTTTAGGGTTTAGGGATTCATCGATTTTCACAGTGAGGAGTGGGTTCTGCAATCCTTTCAGCCGGACCTTCAGTCAGCCCATGAACAACTCTTTCGTCATTTCTCATATGTAGTTCTGTTCAATAGTATCAGTTCATCTTGGGCTCGTCAACTGGCCCGTTTGTCCTAGACAAAAGGGGGCCAGATTGCCCGACACACGAGATGTTGGGGTGACGGCTCCATCCAGGCGAGGACGTTCTGCAAGCCTGCTGCAAAAGGGTTTAGGGATTTTAGGGGCTTCTGAGACTCTCAGAGGGTTGTTTAAGGAAAATGCTGTTTTTTTCCTTGTCGCGGGCTTTGGGGTTTCAGAGGGCTTTGGGGATCAACATACGTGAGGGTCCTGGGTATGATTTGGGATATTCCCCCTTAATCTCTTAATAGGGATATAGTACCCCCTATGATAATCACGACAATCCCGATCAAGGACTGTTAGTATCAGGGGGAGCATCCCAAGGTATGATGGTCGCAGGTTATGGTTTTGGGCCCGTGGGTGGGCAGGCGCTTTTGTGACGGTTTGGGGGGTCCAAGTCCTTTAGGGGGTCTAGGCCTATGAGGGTTTGGGGGTGCTTTTGTTGGATCTCTACGATTTTGGAGCATCTGGTGGCAGTTAAGGTGCTCCCGCTTGACGATCCTCAATGCGCAAGGTCGGCCACGAGAACGACTTCGAGGAAGTTGTCATGGATGAGGAAGAAGGGTCCAGAGGAGCAAGATTGATTGCGGTCTCCCACAGTCTGAAAGATCAAATGGATCGCATCTTGCAGGTTCTGGGTCGCATATATATATATATATAAATTACTCGTAAGAATACAAAAAGATACTTGCACAAAAAGCAGTAGAGCCTTGCGGAGGACTTCTGCACCTCGGCTTCCTCTCGGCAGCGATCCGGGAGATGATGATCGAGGCTGGCCAGTAGGCATCACTGCAGGAGCTGGCAATCGCTGTTTTTTTTCAAGAGGTGGAGGTATCCCGGTCACTCAAGCACGACAGCATGAGGAGCCCAGAAAAATGCCACTGCATTCCGATTTCTTCTGTTGGTTGCATTCTTGGCGTGCCTGAGGAGAGGGTCTCTATGGCACGTGCCCCAATTGTTTGTGTATGTTGAAGGCTCGACATCTGTTCCGCGAATCCATTTAATCATTTGCATGCCTGAGGTCTCAGTTCCTGGCTTGGATCAGGACACTGGCCTGTCGCAAGTTGAAAAGTTGGTTGAGACTTTGTTCATGTGATGTACTCTAACGAGAAACCTTGTACAACCGATACCCAATAGCACATGACACAAGGCATACGAAATGTATCATACACACGTAGCATGCAGCGATATCGCACAGCATTCATCTTACATATCTAGTATGTAGTTCTTGATCTGTAGGTAATGGATATATATATACATACATATATATGACTACTTTGTGTCTATATACATGTGTATATGTATACTTAATTATGATATTACCTGATATGATATGATATGATATGGTATGGTATGATACAATATGATATGAAATGATGATGTATGGCATTACACATGTCTAGTTTTGTTTTATGAATATATGTATCGAAGCTTCGTTATCGAGTACAGTGCGTGTTGCATATGACATACTATACGCTGAGCGTTAGATATTCTATATTCCATACTTTTTTTTACCTCGCATGCATTGTATGTCAAATACTACTTATGAAAAGTATATTGTATTTTGCATAGTGCATAAACTGTAACATCGCCATATACGTAGTTGCATAGTACATGCTGAATGATATGTTGCATGATATATGTTACACGCAACGCATAGTATGCTGTGAGACATCATGTATCCCATGCGTGTGTATTCCATGTTATGTCTGTGGTTGACAACATGCGTTCAACAGCTAGTGTTGGCTGCTGTTGTTCTTGACGTGCCATGTGTTTGGCACGCCTTGTCCTTTACAAGGAAGTTGGACTTCACGGATGCCGGGCTCTTGAAGCACGCTTTATGGGGTCCGCGGAGAAGCGTGAAGCACAGCGAGCAACTTTCGAACGCTGCTTGTTGCCGAGGCTGGCGAACTCTCCCTCGATGACACCGGCAAAGGCAAAGTGCCACTCTGGCAACATGCAGTAGCATGAAAGAACCATGCCACACAATGACCCTCAATAAACCTGGATGTAACAGGGTTGACTCATCCGGTATTGTGATCCCAGTGGTATACGTTTTACTCCTGGAAGAGATGGTACGTCATCATCCCGCGATTGCCAGCCATCTCTAGTGACTTGTGTCCAGTCCTCTTTTGGGTGGAAGGTCCGATTCAGTGTCTGGAATAGCTGCCAGGGATATCCTTCCGAGAAGCTACGGAAGCGGTGCGGAAAAAGTCCCGGCTGTCAGCAACAACTGAGGAGAACGCTGCACAAAAGTTTTGTGTTCATCGCTTAAAGTTCTGATTTTTGCTTGCATAATCTTGGCTTCCAGGAGCTCTACATGGACGGGAGCTGAGCAGGAAAGGGTTGGCGAAGGGCTTGGCCTTTTCCGATGAACGTCAGGCGAGCATGCTGCTAGCGCGAAGCATCGAGAACGGCTCAACCGCGCCGACCTCCCAGCAGTGCACCAGAGTGACACAATAAGCGGTGTGTCAGGGTTAGGGATTTAGGGTTTAGGGTGAATTTGGTGCTACCCGTAGGGCAGATTTCAGAACAATAATAGTAGAAATCACATTAATAAGAATTTACATCAAAGAGATGTCCAGAGGCTCTACGACATGCAAGTTCGTCAAGGCCCTCGCCGCCGGAAACTCGGCATGCGGGCTACTTTGAGCTCGCGGGGCAGCGTGTAGCAGTGAGCTCCGGCTTCTGATCAAGGGGCCTCCCCACCCTTAGACGCAAAAAACGACCCCCCAAAAAAAGCGCCCTCGACTGAGAGCTCGAAGTCGATCAGGGTGATGCCCTGAAGTTCGACCCAGTCGCACCGCGCGAAACTGCAGCTGACAGCGCCAGCTCGGCTTCAGGATGCCCAGCCGATGCAAAGAGCCAGTGGCGCTTTTGCATTCTGCATGTTCATGAAACGGTGTAGCTACAGCACGGGGAGCCCTCAAGCAGTGGTACCACTGTGCCAAAACCTGCGGTGTTGGATGTCGTGAGTGATGATTTGCGCGATGGCCTGGTGATCCCTTGTAAATCTAATCTGACGCGCAGCTACAGGTGAGACGGTTGAAGCGACCGAAGACAACAACACCATGCGTGAGTGGCAAGCTGGCCAGCCAGTCGAGGCAGCTTTATATCAGATTATGTCACTTAGCGTGGCTACGTGTAGAAGGCAAGCTGACAACTGAATCTTGTATCCTTCTTCTGCACCTGAGGAGTTCCTGGAAGCCCTGGCCACAGACAGTGCTGTTGCCAGAAAGTGGGGGAAGGACCTTTCAGCGTGAGACTAAGGAGCTGACGGTGACCACGAAACAGCCAGCAACAGAGGACAGAATCGCAAAGATCTTACCGGCCTGTGGAGGTGAATGGCAGCCTTAAAGAGGTTCGCGTTGTCGTTCTTCAGGAGGGGGAGGAGGAGGAGGATGCCAGCCAGGCCAGTCGGCAGCAAGCCGGTGAGACCAGGCCTGCTGATTTTATCATCCTGCCAGCAGGCCGCGGAGTCTTTCGAGGTGCCAGAAGCCGCAGCTGTCTACGTTCAAGAATCGGCTGACACGGACCAGGACGATGACAGGCGGGCCAGACGTGAGCTAAGCACATGGCCGCTATCACAAGTCGAACGCCTGCCAGGGAGCTCCCGGCACTCCTGCAGAACAACAGGACAGAGTTGATCGACACGGCTTTCCGAACTGCCGAAATCCATCCAAAAACACTTGAAGACTTAGTTCCAGTGACCGGCTATTGAAGGAGCACGGATGCGGAAACGCTGGAAGCAGTGGAAGCAGTCCCAGTCGGGCGAGACGCCGTCCTTGCCCACGCGCTAGGTCGAGCCGACCAGCCTTGACAAACCGATTCAGAGTTGACACCAAAGTCCATGAACTGACATGAATCCTAAACTCAGCCTAAGCTCTAAGCCCTGATGCAAGGCCTCCAAAGTGCCAGTGCACTTCATGCAGAGTGCGCGACAATGCAAAAAGAGCACGATCAATGCTTCGCCGAGATTTTCGCAGCTTGACCCATATTGGGGGAAGCCTCACCATGCTCGATGGGAGTTAAGGACTTGGGGTATGGATGTCTTGTTTGGATGTGGCCTTCCCAATGGTCGACCATCTTGTCCGTCAGATGGCCGCAACCAGAGCTCCTAGCAGTCCTAGCTTTCTCATGCCTGCGAAATGGCCTTGAGTCGTTCCCGCCCTTAGACCCTCGAGCCCAAGGTGCCCCCAAGTTGCACAACCGTGTGGGGCGCTCCCCCGAGAACCCAGGAGTTGCAGGCAGAGATCCAGGACTTGCACCGTCGAACTGCGAAGGTTCGGTGCCCGACATCAAAGCATACCGGTGCCTTGAACAGGGCCCTACGGTTCAGGGTTTGCATAGGGTTTCGTGGCCTTCGTTCACAATGTTCAATGAGGACCCCTGTCATGGAGTTCTAAACAAGGTAGTGGCTTCCTTGCCTATTCTTAATTAACAGGGTATTGGGCTCCTTGAGACGTGGTACTCCCGGACCAAGTTTCGAGGCTCAGGCAGAGCTTGCCCAGCTGGAACTGGAGCATCACGGTCTTGACAGCTTGCCGACAAGAGAACATAGTGATGCTGGGTCGGCACTACACACATGTTTGCAAGTGGTCGCGATGTCAGGTGCTTCGTGCCAAGACATATGTGCAATCATCGGGATCTAAGGAGCACCTATCCCATCGCGAAGGCTAGGGGGTGTGTTTGCGAGCGCAGTTAACTCTGTATCCTGATAAGTGCGATCCCCGGGAATGTGCGGAGAAGAAGCCCGGAATTTATTCAGCGGGATTGCTTTAATTTCATCCCCCGGAGTTGCTTGAAAATATCGGCGACGCGAAGTTTCGGCGAGGAAGCCTTCTGAAAGCCTTCTGAGTTCCCTCTGAAAGCCTCGCCAGACCGCCCCCCCCCCCCGCAAGCCCCCCCCTGCCCAAAATTGCCCCCCTCCCCACACTAAGGCCGGGATCTTTTGTTCAGCGGGGGGGCGGGGGGCCGGGGGGGTTTCCACTAATCAGCATCCAACATTTCCTGCAAACACTTTGCAGGCCACTTGAATCTTGAATGTTGTGGTTGAACCCATGGCGAAACAGATCCCCAAAAATCCAGAGCCCTGACCTGCCAGTAGAACAGTCCCCCTTATCGCCCCGGGCTCAGCGTGGTGTTCTACAGATCTGCAGAGGGGCTGGAAGAGCAGGCAGCCGCTGCTATCGTACTGCATGGGCTGTACTGTAAAAACCTCTAGCCCTCAACCCTTTACTTAAAATCAAGGAGTAATATCGTAATTAAACTTTAGCCCTGAAAGCCCTATGATTGGCTTTGGCGAGCGCAGGCCTGAATACCGGCAACTCAGATTCGCAAAGAAAAGCCGGAGCCCCATCTCACGGCTAGCAAATGTGCCCAATTGCAAGGGTGGTATATGCATAAAAGAATCCCTAGACCAGGCTAAGCCCGGAACCCCAAGCGAAACTCTCTCTCCCAGCTGCCCGAAGCAAAGGACGAGCAGCTCGGTGTGCTGAGTTTCCAGCCGAGTTTCCGGCCAGCAGCGCTCGAACCCAAGCCAGCCCGATTGCCACACGAAGTGCTGGATGGCACGAACTACGTACATGATTGCCAGTGGAGCGGGCTTGCATGCTGAGGCATCCTCAAGGCAAAGCCTGATGTGCGCTGCGGCCTTTGAATCACGGCATTGCATGTGCCTTGTGAGCCGACAGGCCAATCTGAGCCTGCCAAGAAAGCTGGCGCCTCAGGTTTGCGGAGTCCAGCTGTGAAGCCGAACAAGCGGACTGCCATGCCATTACCCAGGAAGAACGCAGAACTCCACACACCCCAAGACGCCCGCCGGCCAGCAACCTCGTCT